TTGTTGGAGTCTGCAGGATATGGTAATCTTTTAAAAACGAGGTGCCACGAGGAGGTCGTCTGTCTTCTCCTCCTCATCAGTAAAGAAGAGGACTCTGTCTTTGCTGCTTTCAAAGCGCCATACCTCAGTCCTGTCTCGGCCACTCCTACGCTCCTGATTTGCATCGATCCTTTGGCCCCTCAATCAATAATAATTAGAAAAGCATTTAATGACTTTGTGAACTCCTAACCTCCGGTGTTACATAATTGCACCACGAGGGGCTTTGCTAGTTAACCAGAGTGGGGTAAGCACGGTGTAGTGTCCTCAAGTGTTTGCGGCACATCTAGACGAGCCTTTCAGGAGATGAGAAGCAAGGGGGAGATGGGTATTTATTTCTGCTGAGGGTGCTGCTGCTCAGCGATGCAACCATTATATGATATGGAAAATGCAGAGGAAAAGCAACAAGCTGAAGCTCTCCTATCCTATATTGATTGTACACAACGAATTATGCTTGAGGGTCGAGGGTTATCCATTTGAGATAGGGAAAAAAAACAACAAAACAAAACAGAAAATGGTCGTTTGCAAAGTTCACAGCTTTGGACTTCTCGCTCGTGTTTTTTAATTGCTAGCTTTGATAAAAGAAAAATCAATGAGGAATAATGGCCTTTACCTCAATACACCTCATCAGTGTAATTCAAGAAGGGTAAGACTCCCTGCATTGTAATTATGTGTAATTTTCCCCACTACAAATAACATAGAGGGACTTTCAGGGGGGAAAAGGCTGTGCACACGCTTGATACTAATTCATTGTATGCCAATAGAGCTGTCATGGCATGAGAGCCTTGTTTTTATGAAGCAACACGCCTCAGATGAGCCGCCTGCAGAGAGCGCATTGCAAATCTATGATAATTTCTCCCTAAAATCAATAAAAATATGCAGGGCTCGTTTGCATAAAATAAATGAGGCTGCTAAAAATGACTTGTGCCAAAGTTTGCCAGTTAGAGTGATATTTCACTTTGTTAGTGCACATTCGGTCTGTAACATGAGCGCCGGCGTATGCAGTAAGTTAATGAACAGTCAACCTCAGTCAAGTTTCACAGTGGAAATCCATAGTAATTAATGCCGAGGCTTTTCTCATCACACATTTCAAACATGCAAAATAAATTAAGGATAAAAATCAATGCGGTAATATCATCCTCTGCAGTGCAGCAGTTCAGATTGAAGCAAGATTGGGAGATTCAATAGCAAATACACTGGGTATAATGGATGCCAATGGTGCATTAATGTGTTAATTAAATCATAGACTTAATAACCTGCAGCTAACCATTGTCTGGATGTAAAATGGGATTTCCATAAAGGCTGGGTCTCTTAGAAGTAAAAACAAGAGGAGATTCTATGTCCTATGAGAGACAGAGAGAGGAAATAGTTTAAAAAATTCACAAAAAATATCGCAAAAAAATTGGGGGTTTAAGGTTCTTTTACTGGGAGTGTTTTTTTCGTGCAATTATTTCAGAAGTCAATATTTTTTTTCGAACCCGTATCCTGTCAATACAAGCGTTCACATCAGCAACATTTTCCCGTCCTGCCATATTGCGGCATTTTTTTTTTCGTATCACGGTCAAATTTTTTAAAGTTTCGCATACTGTGTGTCCACTTCTGACCAATCAGATTGCGTGTTGTTGCGACGTCTGATTCACCGGTATATTCAACATGGCTGTCACAGCACCATTAGGTCTCGACTCAGTACATGCTATCATGACAGACAGCCATCTCAACACTAGTGTCTAATCAGAACTGAAAAACAGTCAGTCTGCTGTTGTGTCAGTCTTCTTGCTTCCACCCGGGATGCGTCTTTTTTCCCCCCGGAAAATCACAAAATGTGATGTAATGTGTATAGTCAGGCGCATCAAAATTCGCCCCCAAATATTTCGTAATTCGAGTCGTATATTTGCGTCGTTCCCGGTGTGTAAGGACCTTAATTCTTGATATTTTGGGGGGCCTCTATGCTAGCCTGGAATTTATTCATCGCTTCTCGAAAAAACGCAACATCCTTGGTTTTATTTTTGACATCCTGGATAGCTTTTGTGCTCAAGTCAAGCAATCAATGTCATATGACTGTGAGCACCCAAAACACCACGTACACAACTGTTATTTGACCCTGTTATTTTCATACCTTCAACACTACTAGGTAATCATGCAAGGCCTCCCTTTGATTAGCTTAACAATGGTAGCCACCATCGTCATTTCAGCTTGGCCATTCGTCAGATAGGAATGTGATCTATGATGTACTTCTTTGCTACTCTTAAACATATTTTGCTGTCCTTAAGAGAATTGGGGGGACAAGGCCTAAAACTGATACTGACAGGAAATGATCATCGAGCTGTTAGGCAGTGCTGCATTAAAAAAAAAATAATAATAATAAAATCAATTTTAAAATAAGGCATTACTCTGTAGTGGAAGTCACTGCATGGGCTCAAAGTCACTTAAAAAAATGGTGCTGCATGCAAAAATGTGGATCCACAAAGTTTGCCAGAGAATTTTGGTCCAGAAATGTTGGATCTAAGTCAAGATCATATCTGCAAAGAAGCAGTGAAGTGGAGGACTCCACCTGGGTTCTGAATGCGCAATGAGTCGGCAAAATCCTTGGTAACCTACCACAGTACAGGCAGGTCATCTCCCTGTTGCTAAGCGACTTTTGCCATGTCAAACTTGCCGACTTTTTAGCATACTTGCAGCCCACGCTATCCGCCTTTGAAAGAGTGAAAAAATGCACCGTTGGTGCCACTTTAACTGTTGCGGTAAATGTAAAGACTTGTCAAACAAAAGCAGTTATATCCGGTTGCTTTTATTGAATATATAAATAAACCAAATTTCTCCATTTATCCCTTAAGTATTCAATTATTCTAGCAGATATTAATACTAGTGTTGGTTTTGGAGAACCCTTGATTGTCTATTTGTGAGGTTTTCTGAGATAATGCTTCACAGCCAGTAATCCGCATATGGCCACAGGCTTTATAAAACTTTCTTTTTTCTTCTTTCATCCCAAACAGGCTTGATTCCAACCTCATCTCTCCTCACGTGATCCCTTATTGGCACTGGGAGAGGATAGTTTGGTGTGGAGCCTCCGCTATTATTAAAACAAAACTCTTGGTTTTATCTGGATGATTCGCTCAAGTGTGCAAGCAAACATGATCCGGTGCCAAAATGTTGCTGTTGGCAGGGCGGATTGTGTTGCATGTTTCTGTCTGTGTCTACCACAGCTGACGGCTGTACTACTACCAACAGTGCGCTAAGTTGTTTCCGAGCCAAAACAGCTGATATTTTCTTCAAGGAAAAGAAAAAAATCAAGGAGGTTGTGATATCTTTCAACGCCAATTCTGAAAGGTGTTTTGATGGAAATGCGCACTCTGGAGTCAATCTCTTGACATGCCACTGCTGTAGGCCTGTAAGCAGTTCCATAATATTGATCCCCAGTGTGTAAATGCAAGTGGTTTTTACAACACAGTGCTGGTTCATTGAAATTGATTACCAATACACCTGCCGTTGATATGATCTTGATCAGTGCTTTGAATCCGGACCCGTCGCTCATGGAGATGTTGTTTATGCAGATGGAGAAACCAGACTGGCGGCTTTGACGGAGGCCCGGGATGAAAATAATCTTTAACTGTTTGATCAGTTAGTGGTCGAACTAATGCTGCCTGGCAGACAAAGAATGCTGAAACACTCCCAAATGTGCAACACAAAAGAGGATGGCTTTGCGAGCAGTGTTCATGGATTCAGCTTAGGAACAATTAATGCTTTTAAGGGGGGTGATTTTGCACGATTGTATCTTTTTACTGGCTATCATTTAAGGTAATTTGCTCGGGGAGGGGAGATGCATTATGTTGACTGCTTTGCAAAATGTCATCTTAATAAACTCCATCAAGACTGAGCTTTCAGAGCTAATAGACCATCACATTAAGATCAAAACAGAATAAAAAAAACTGTAAAATTAAGAAGGGATGCACCAGTGGAATCTGAAAAAAGAAAAAAAAGAAAAACCCTTTAAAGCGTATGTATTTCCCTGGAAGTGACAGTTTTAGATATCTAGGGCATCCATCCAAAAGGACACAGATGTCACAAATTTGATGTGACCCAGATGTTCCGGAGTTTGCACAGCCACTGAAACTTGGGATGCATTTGGACAGTAAAAGGGATCCACATCCTCCCCATCTGTGCACACAGAGCCCATCACAACTGGCAGCTGTTTAGGTATATGGAACAACGCTTGTATGCAGCTGATAAAAAGCACACTTTGAATAGACAGAGCACGGGTGGGACTGAAAATGCACAGGTACACACATGCAGGACTGGTACTGCAATTCACAAGCAAAGGGATGCTGTGTAAAACACTAGTCAAGAACACAGTTTGATTGTATGCCAGTTATAGAAATTGAAAAATGTGTCATAATATACGACTACTGAAAGTGAGCATGCATCAAGTCTTCACTCCATAGTGGTGCTCATTAAATCAAATGCCAGTTTTCAAGGATGACAGGCTGCAGATCTAACAAATAAGCTTTATATCCCATCCTTTATAAGGGACTTGGGTTTGTATTAAATAATGTTATGGGACGACGTGTCTCACAGTCTTTACCTCATTTAGCGCACACGCATGCTTGAGGCTGCAGCCTCTCTCTCTCCGGTCGTGCTTAATCTGTCCCTTGGCTTTTCAGTCACATACTAAGACACATGCACCTGCCTCTTCCTGCTCTAATCTTACTACTTGAGAGTTTGCACAGTGATCCACAATCAATCTTAAGGTCCTTTCACACCAGGAGCGTGTGTGATTATTTTGGACGTCAATATTTTTTTCAAACCCGTATCCTGTCAATACAAGCGTTCACATCAGCGACGTTTTCCCGTCCTGCGATATTGCGGCACTAATTTTTTCGTGTCACGGTCGAATTTTCTAAAGTTTTGCATACTGTGTGTCCACTTTTGACCAATCAGATTTCGTGTTTTTGCGACGTCAGATTCACCGGTATATCCAACATGGCTGACTGGCTGATTGTTTACGTGTCGGAGAACAGAGTGCTTTTTGATAAAAAACACAAACATTACAAAGATAACAACCTGAAGGACAACTTGTGGAGAGTCATAGCATCAGATTTCTCATGTGACGATGGTTTGTGTGCTTTAACAGTTTGCTAAACGTCTTTGTTTTAACTTTCATCTGTGCTAAGTAACTTTAGCTCGTAAGCTAACCTGTTCAGATACAACATACCATGTGTATTTTCACTGTCTCAAACTCAATCTCGTTGCTGTCACAGCACCATTACGTCTCAGTTGTTACCTTACGTTTATGGATTATAGTTTAATCCAAGGACCTTTAGTCAGACATTGATCCAAGCTGCAAATGAGACCCTAAACAGTTGATTAAATTAAGTAAGAATCGGATATTTCACTTCCAAAACCCAAGAAACTGTTCCCCTCAGCTCTTCAGTATATACAGTGTTGTTATTGAAATTAGAGGTGATGCAACACAGTAGGATAAAAGCCCCTGTCCTTACTAAAGGGAGTCAAAAAACTAATCAAATAATGTGCAAACTATCAATATGTTTCCCAATGCTCAGACTCTTCTTTTGCATGCACAGAAACCACTACAATACAGGGCATGGCATGATGGAAATATTCCATGCAACGTTCAAATTTATTCTCAATCATCTGGTCGACAATCGAGGCCTGGCAGAGATTGAAACACACAGTGCAGCTTTTGAAATGTGCCAATTTCTACAAAGTAGGTAGAACACAGTAAAAACAGACGGCTCACATAAAGATAGGGAAAGCTCGGGCCAAAAAAACATCAGATTTTGCTGATTCCCTTCCCATTCCCAAGAGAGACGAACCAAAGAGAACCCAACAGTCGGCGCTGATAAAAGAAAAGGGGGGATTTGAGTGACATTGCAAAGCGAAGACGACACAAATTAAGAAGGCTTTTGAAAATTTGCAAAGCCAGTCCCCTGAAAACAAAGTGCCTCCCCATTAATTTTCCACCCAAATCTTTAATGAAATGCAAATCAAACATTCCCTGAATTTGATTAATCTCCGAGGGTAGCCGAGGCCCGCTGGCTGGAACAGTGGGAGACCCATTGGCAGTCTTGTTCTGATCTACTCAGCTTTTGCTCTGCGATGATTCATTTATTTAATTGGGATGAACTCGAAGAGTGTTTTTTTTTTTTCTTTCCCCTCTCGTCTTGATTTTCCTTTCACACCCTCTGCCTCGCACCCATAAACATGCATACACTTATCTGGACGAGTTGTTTATCCTCATCAAAGAGTAAAGAGAAACTCACTTGTCAGAACTCTTTAGTCAGGTCAGGGCTCACCTCTCAGATGCTCATTGAACTGATTCGGTATTGGCTTTTTCGACACATCAGTGAGACACTCAGATGGCTGATGCGCATCTGTTTTCTTTTATCCCCCTCTTCCCAGTCTACTTAATCTCTCTGGGGTCATGACTAGCCCAAGCGTATCCCAGCATGCACTGGGAAGAAGACAATCTGTATTTGTTATTTCAATACAAAGCCAACAAAATGTGACATCCACCCCAACAAAGTGCCAAGAATAATTAGTTATGTTTCACTTCATGTGTTTTTTCTGTTATTCATCGAGGCTCCGTGCATTTCTATCAACAAAGTCCTTGTTTTTGGTGAGAGCGAAAAGGAGTCCGCTCTCTGTCCTTGTGAAGTTATTTATATGAGATGTGCATGTCTGTGCTCTTTGATGTAATTAAGAACTTAACCTAGGTTCATCTTGTTAATGGTTCCTGAGTGTGTGGCTATCACAAGTCAACATCTGTCAAATGATTCCCTTAATATTGAGCGGTTTTAGGCTTGTTTCCTGTAATTACTTTTGATGGAGGCCACTCGCAAGTTGCCCTGCGGTACGCTAGGAACTGACAGAAACTTTGAGTAAATTTGGGATTTTTTCTTTTAGATTTCAAAGTTTGACTGATTAAGTTTGCAAATATTCTCGAGTTTTGAGTCCAAAACTCTTGCTGCTTAACAAACTTGGTACACAGGGAATGGCTTAAAAATTACAACCGATTTCATACCTATGCAGCAACTTCCACTACAGAGGCTATGTTCAAACTGCAGGTCAATTCCGATTTTTTACCTCTGCCAAGGAGGTTATGTTTTCGGTAGCGTTGGTTTGTTTGTTTGTTCGTCTGTTAGCAACTTTATGGAGAAAGTAACAGACAGATTGACCTGAAATTTTCACCAGAGGTGCGTCTCAGCCCCAGGAGGATCCCATTACATTTTGGTGGTGATCAGGACAAAATTCTGGATACTGTGATCCAGAACACACAAAAATAAGGGTGTTGTTCAGAATTTTCAATGCTGAAAGATAACCAATGGGCGGCACAGTGGTGTAGTGGTTAGCACCACGCCTCACAACTAGAAGGTCTTGGGTTCAAATCCTGGTCAGGGAATTTCTTGTTTAAGGGGGGACATGAGCTGCTTAGCAGAGGTTGCGCTCTCCGAGTGCTTTTCTAGTTAATCATTTGTGACACGTCTGATTTTTTCATGTAAGTGTGAACAGTGCAATTCTGATTTTTTCAAATCCGACCCAGGCCTCTTTTGTATGTGGATATGAATTGGATATGTATCCAATGTGACAGCAGTGTGGACGCTCAGGCGCGTTCATCCGACCTATACGTCATCAATATGTGACAAACGTCACCATTGTTAGACAACGCAAATAGGCGCGGAAAGCTATTTTTGCTGTGTGCGCATGCGGGTCACTTCACGGACGCATTCCGTTCACATTAGATGCCACATTTGTTGTTGTAATGTGAACGACCGCACGAAAAGATCGGATTTAACAAAAAATCATATCTTTTTGTGCGTCATAACCTGCAGTATGAATGTAACCAGTCATGTCTATTTTAGTGCAGTGCTACCTGAGGGCAATTCATTAACATCCGATTCTTTATGAGAGGGGCAGCTGGACTTGTTTGATGTTCTTGAAGATGTTTCAAGGACCAACAGAGACTATAAATTTCCAGCTTTGGCCCCAGTCACGTTGGAACTAAAGACGCCTTTTGGAAGAGGGGCGAAACGTCTTTGAGAATCTCAAACAAGTCAAGTTGCCCTTTTAACTACGAATTAGAAAACCATGACCGTGATGGATTAAAACCTACACTGATAACTCACTACCTCTCGAAAAGTTTTCAGGAATATGCCTCAAAGTTGACTTCGAAGATGTCAAAGAGACAAAGAAACATGACTTCTTCTACAGAAGTGTTTGTATCCTTGGGGAGAGCATACAGTTCTCGTCCCTAAGTAAATATGATGTAATGGTGCCCAGTCCCAATTGACCCATGACTCTCTCTAGGACATGGCCCTCAAGAGGCTGAATAGATGTGGAAGCTAAACTACTCACATGTGAAGCTAAAAAAGTTGGAGCAAAAAACGAAAATTGAATGGTCAAAATGCAAACAGTGAAATCGACTGAAAATACTTGTTTTTGAAAGTGCACATCGTGGTGGTAGGATATGACTCCAAACTCTGGCCTCATTTGGTTATGATGAAGATCATTTGCAAATGTGCTCCTTTAAAGCTCGAGAAAAAGCTGCCCCCGACCAACAAGGTCTCGGCTGGGTCAGTTTGCAAGGGCTGCCAGTCTAGTTCATGATCACCCAAGGGAAAGTTGCCAAGCTGAATATGAATCAAACAACAGCTCCAAAAACACCCCAGCTAATTGAAATAGCTGCTTTTGTGCGGCTTGTTTGTGTTTGTACTCCACTTAGACCAATTTCCCTTTGGTCTATTGTGAAGTTAACAAACTCGAAATGAGATCTAATATGATGTCTGTTCTTTTGCTCTTTGGGAAATGATTGTGTTCTGCAACCCTCATTCCCAAAAAAAAGGTCAGAGAGCTGTAAAACCAGCTTATGAAATCAGATTTTAAAAGTTTATACATCATTAAACTATATATTTAATTGGAAATGATGGAAAGACGACATATGAAATGTTGAAATGGAGGCATGCCGGTAGCACTAGGACTCTTCTACAACATAGTCATCATTGCAGAATATGGTTCGGCATTGTTCAGCATTAATGGTGCCATCCTAGATGTGTAGAGCACTTTGGAAGCATAAGTGATCACAGAAAAACGATTTTTGGTTACAGTTTGAGCCCGTGCGGAGACTTCCGCTGCAGAGTCATGCCTGTTTTTAACTGTAGTGCCACTTGAGGGCCCTAAAACCATGGTCGCATCTATTTTACAGGACATTTTGTATTGTTGATTCTTGGAAAGCATCATTTTGAAATGTTGTACTGGTTGCTTACGCAGTCCCTCACAAACTATTAAACCTCTTCCCATCCTTACTTGGGAAATTTGTCATTGTGAGTGAGTTTTGCTGATTCTAAGACACCCAATATAAATATTCTGTGGGGGACTGAGGCTTGAAGAGGTTGGGATAAATGGCAACAAAAGGGAAATGCATGAAAGCCGGGTCTCAACATTTATTTTGTGTAAACCTAGTATGAGGAAGACAGATAATGTCACGCCTCATTTTGAACAGTCAGGGGCAGAAATAAACGCTTGTTCATGTTGTGTAAGATCTGATCATTATATCGAAAACCATCCCATTATTTGGCCACTCTGAGCCCGAATGGAGACACAAACCCCACCAAACACCAGGCAGCCCTCGATTAAATGAGCCTCCCTTAAATATAGCCTGTACTTTCCTCTCCTCACACAACCCTCACGTGTTGCTCCCAGCAGAGGGGGAGATTTATATTCCAATACCCCAATTTTCCAATACTTTGGGAGTTTTAGCAGCATACTTTTTAGTTGTTAGCTAGTATTGGTCTCATGTTTACCCTGCTGTAATATATTTTTTAACACAATGAATTTTCACGAAGCATGCCTTTATGAATAATGCTACAACTTGACCTATTTCCACGGGAGTCTAGTGCACATGGATCCGGGTTGCTGGAGGGTGCTTTTATGGGCTTATTGAGCTCTTTTTTTGTTTCTTTGCACACACTGCATAGGTCTTCCATCTTTTATACTTTCTTGGGGGAGTTAATCCAGATTCAAAGATTTTTTTAATGCTAAAGACAAATGGAGAAGAAATCTCAAATCCTTGAAGACAAACAGGAAAAAGAGCTGCCAAGATACTTTCAGGCGATGGTGGCAAGGGCAGTGAAGACACCGTCTTCTTCACAATTGATCGTATTCATTCTAGACCCAGATTGATTTAAGTCTTATGACACTTTGGGCTCATGAATCCCCGCCTTCCGATGCCCCAAATCACAAAACTGTAAGCCTGCTCTATTTTGATACCCCCCTAGGACTAGATATACTGTATATTATCAAGATGCATGTATTCTTAAATCTTAGGGGTCGACTTTGACGGCACTGGAAGATGTTGCTTTCCTCGAGAATTGCATGCACAGACACAATAGGATGTAGGCTCTTGTTAGATGGTGCAAAAGCGGTGGAGTGAATGGATTAAATGCTCCAACGACCCAACTTTGTGTCGAGTTTTGCAGCAAATCACTTAAGGAATTACTGTTTGAGGACTTGCAATGGAATCCGTGCTTCAATTCAGGGATACAGGAGCTGGCCTTCATAGGTTGGGTCCTTCAGTGGAGGTTGAGAAACTATATTTAACAATGGATTGCTTCCATGCAGAAGTACTTATCCTTGTCCAATTGTTGTTGGATGTCCACCAATGGGGCTCCAGCATTTCATGCTTGCAATGATAATAACGCTAATCAGACTATGAGCAGAGTAAGAACACCAAAACTGGGTCTAGTCCTTGCAGATTTGGCCTTTTAAAGGAAAATCTGCAAATAAATGTAAATAAGTTCTCATTTATTACCATATATGTCCTCTTGGCTCAGGTAAAACAAGCAGCAGTGATATGGCAGCCCTTGAAAATTCTTAATAAAATCACATTACAGCATATTTGTATATTCTTATCAGAGTTTTTAGGGTGTAGATGTTTTGACCTTAAACAGCTGAGATTGTAAATTGTTTCTGTGATTTGTTATTCTACCTCAGCCAACAGCCTGCCAAGTGAAGTCGAGTCCAGAGCACAAGGGCGTCTTTGGGGGCTAAGTAAGTCCTGTTTTGTATTTCATGACATTAAAGTATTTCAGTTGTGAAAAACAATATTTTCCGATGCCAATAAAAAGACTGAGAGCTATAGAACACAGAGGATCATCAAGTAAATATACTCTGGTGCTCTCTCTGTATCAAGCTACAGTGGCCAAATCCCTAGAAGCCTATTTCAGTTTGTTTTTGCTTTCTGCCTGCTGTGCTTTTCTGTCATGCTCACTTTAAAATCTATTTATTCTTTCAGGGTGACGGGTTGTGCTTACAGGCTAAACACTATCCCCCCGTATTAAGCCAAAGGAACAGTGCCAAAAAGGCACACACACACACAAAAAAGAAAGTTCATCCTAGTCAGTTCCATAATGCAAAGACTATGAGCAGAGATGACCAATGTTATTTTAAGAAAACAGGATCCTGTTTCAAATAGCTCTTCAAAGAGCTGGAAACAAAAACACTGATTGATTTTTAGTGGCACAAACTGTCTGAACAAATAGGATCTTAGAGAAGAAGAACATCCTGTCCGTCTTGTGCTCCAGGCAGACTACAACAAAAGATCAGAGCATCAGAAAGTCTGACAAAAACATATTTTGGATAAAACGGAAGAAGTTTTCTCTTTGTTGTTTTTCACTGTGTATTTATTTTTGCTTCAAAATGGATAGCAATGGTTTGATCCATCACTTTTGCCCGGACTAAAATACTTCATCAATAAATTACCTTAAGTTTGGATCACCTTTTCATTCAGAGCAAAGTATTGGCATTTTGAATGTCCCAAACGGCACCCAGACCCCCACCCATATCGACATGTACTGCTCTAAAATACTCATAATGATAGTTTAACCAAACCCAGTTGAAAGTACTTTTACATGCTGAGAGAAAGCACAGCCAACCCTCCACTCAAAAGAACACACTTTTTTGTGAAATAAAATATTTAATGGAGAAGAGAGACCGGGGGATGCCCGTGTTTCTCTCTTGTCTCCATGTAAAATGATTCAGAACGATGCCAGTCCCAGACAGGTAGAATAAGTACACCCTCATCGCTACTTTCCCACGCACCAACTTCACCTCAATCCCAAACAGGTCAAATACAACAGACAAAGACCGTCATCAAGCTCTCCATCATGCGCACTCTCCTATATATGCAGAAATAGACGCACAGATATGATCACACACAACTTTAGGATTGTCCATTCTGCAAAATAATAATGTGATGCATGGCAAGAAGCTGTCAATATGAATGAGGACCAAGGGAGTCATAATGTTGTTGTGCTCATGCTATCAGCTCTGAAAGCAGAATGCTAAAATGTACCATCCCACTGTGAAGTCCAATCAATCTGTGAGACTGGCATCCAGGTGATTTTTATCCGATAGACAAGATCACTGTATCTCACTCACTGCAAAGCAGATAACACTTGTTGACATTCGGTCTCAAAAGATGGCACTGTGGTTCCTCCCATGAACTTGGTCTTAATTTTGGACATTTTCAAGAAAGTCAACGTCCGCCTCAAGCAACAACCCTCAAACTCCGACAGGTTCTTCGTCTTTGTTGAAGACAATGGTTTGTCAAAGCAGAACACGTTTTTCCTATATTGTTATTCTGCACAGCTCCAACTCTGTTTGAAGGAGGTGAATTAATTCAAAATTAAAACTCTGAACTTTTTGGGGTCAATTTCAAAGGAGTTTTATGTTGACTGTGTCACTCACAAAGTAGGGCAGCCAATTAATTTTATTTTACATAACCTCTATTTTCCAAAAATGCCAAGTTCTTGTAGTGCTTACATTGTCATAGTCTGGCACACTTTAAGTCCCTTCTGAATACTCTGTGTCATTTTTCCTTCTCAAATTGCCAATCTGTGTCTGTGATATTGACTTTTAAATGGCGTCGCCCTGTCTTCAAGATGTCAACACGCCAAGGCGCAGCAAGGGCCGTCGATCACCGACTCTAACCATATTACGGCAGGGAAAACTTTTCAGATACTCAACTTATTTGAACTGTATTAAAATTGCATAGTGAAGGTGTGAAGGGTGCTGGTGTAGGCAGAGCTGCGCTGTACACCGGGGGTCAGTTACGGTCATTCGAATCCTGGTGGACGCTCAGAAAACAGCAAAGTAATCAATCGCCCTTTGAAACTGGCAAAGAGATGGGCCCTTAACATCACAGGCCAAAAATGTTGCAGCTTATCAGCTTGCAAGCTCTTTACACTTTTGGTCAGAAAACAAGGACATCAAAAGCTTAAATCAATAGTTAATTATCTGCCGCATAAACATAAATACAGTTGCAGTGGCTAGCTGCAGAGGCGCTGGACCAAGGACTAAGATCTGCTCTTTTCTCCAGAGTGAGTGTTTTTCATCTTCACTTTTAATAATCTTCAGAAGGTGAGGGAAACCTCGTGTCCACATCCACATGTACACTGTGTCACTGCAACTGATTATCTGCTTATGGAAGTGAATCGTAGAAGAGGCTGCGCTACATATCATGCCTCTGTAGCAGTGAGTGGAATCTAATACAGCACAGAGTGTAGTGCCTGACCTTATCCTGTACAATGATTACATGCAACGGTGGGAAATGAAGTGCTCTGCCTGCCAAGGCTCCAGGTTCATTTATACATAGCCTTCATAAAATATACAGCCTATGGATCCTATGCAGAAGAAAAAAGTCAGTTCAGCCTATGTTACATACAACCAGATAGAACATACACGGACGAATCTGGGGTTTAAGTTTATTTCTTTCTGTTAAAATAGTTCTGACCAGATGAAGTGATGTCCCTGATTCCAAAAAAAGATGTCAAGCTGTGAGGTGGTCTGTTTCCCCATTAGGCAAGAGGACATGGGGTCCATAATTTCCAAAAGAGGCCTCTAACAGCCAGGGGGTTCCTGTCTCTTTGAGACAAAGGATGTGGGGTCCATGATTTCCCAAAAAATCAAGATCAAGACACTGGCAGGAATTGCTTGATACTGCCAATCTGGACTTAAATCTGTTTCAAAGTGCACATAAGTGGCAATTTTAACCTTTGATTAAATATAGGATAAACATGATTCAGTATTCAAATCCATCAGCTATCATAATTGTAAATTGATCTTTTTTTTTTTTTAAATCACTCTGAGTAACTCTAAACAATGGAAAAGTAATAATAGTAGGGCTGATTATGTAGTTTTTATGTTAATTGCATATCCTTCCTCCTGTGTTAGCTTTTACTACGCACCCACTATGTTAAGGGTCATTTTTGACCAGTCTTAAATCAGCTGTAAATTACACTAAAAACAATCCTCCATCATCCAATTTGGTTCTCATCTCTAGGTTTCCTTATCAGGCTTCATAATCCATGAAAATATTGCTGATAATAATTCTTGTAGTGGTCCTCTGGGCCTTTCTTTGTCAGCATACCCCTCACACAGATATCTACACTGAATTGATCTCACATGTCTGGACACGCCAGGCGTTGTTTTTTGTGCAGGGAAATACATGGAAGTTTCAAGTTTCAAGTTTCTTTAATTGCCACACGGCTAGGCCGGTGGAATTTTTCACAGTGCAGGTGGTAGCTGCAACAATACACCACGTTAATTTAAACAGACATTAAACAATTCACAGTGACATGACATAACATAACATATGAAACGGGGTACCACGGGACATAAAACACAGATTTCACACACGTCGACCAGAGGAGTTTAGCAGTCGTATGGCAAGGGGGAAGAAGGAGTTACTGTAGCGCTTTGTTGAACCGCCCAGAGATCCAAACCTTCTACCCGAGGGGAGGAGCCGGGAAAGATGGTGAGCTGGGTGTGGTGGGTCATCAATTATTTTGTATGCCCTTGTGATGGTATGGTGTTTGTGGATTGAGTCCAGTGTGGGGAGTTCACAGTTAATAATTTTGGAGGCCCTTTTTATCACCCTGCCCAGTCTGTTTAAAGTGTGCTTTGATGTGTTGCCATACCATGTGGTAATAGATAAAGACAGAATATTTTGAATTATGGCGGTGTAGAATTGTACCAGTAAATTCTTCCTGACTCTGTATTTCCTGAGTTGTCTGAGATGGAATAGTCGTTGATTTGCTGTTTTGAGGAGGTGAGTGGAAAAATCTCACATGATTAGAAGAGGATCTGACTGTCAGTGTGGTGCCTGACAGGACACTTATGATTTCAGTTTTTGCTCTAATTATTAGATATCAATCTAACCGGGTCAACAGCGACCCTATCACGACAAGTGCCATAATTTTAAAAAGAGCATTTTATAATTTAGTCAATTTAATTTTTTTTTTTTTATTTGTTTGAAATAAATGTTCCTGACAAAGTCAAAAAGTCTTGATGCAAATAAACTAATTTATGTGGTTTTTTTTAAGCATTTAAAAACAAAAACAAAGGTGCAGACCCTAACACAGCAGGAGGGATGTAAATGCACAATCACCATTCCTTATGAACCTCATTACAGATGAAGAAGTGTGGCTGATAAATCATCAATAAATGTATTTAACTTTCACAATCTAGGTGTATATTTCCAAGAATAAAAAGACAAAAATATACACATCTTACATAAATACATGAAGTACTCAGCATCTTCAATGTGTGCTTCATAAGCCTCTTTGGCAGGGACTCCTCCTCCCAGTGTTTTTGGATATCTCTGCATGAGCTTGGCACATTTGAGATCTTGGATTTCTTCCCATCATTGTTTGCAGATTTGCTCAACCCCTAAGCTGCTCTCTTAGAGTCGTTTTATTGAACAGCTTTTATATGTTTTTTTTTTTTCCCCTGAAGCCGCTGCAGTGTTGATTTTTGCTCTCTTGGGGGTTAACAGCTGGGATCTGCAGGTCTCGGGTCAAAGGCCTGCAATGGTTATTGATAAGCTGAGGTTGACTCATTAAAAATTTATCCGGCCTTGGTTTCATTGATGGTCCCACTGGTCTCTGTGGCGTTAAAGCCAACAGCCTGGTTCCACCGCCAATTTGGTTTTATACATTTTCCATAGTCCTGCTTATTACGATTGGTTTTCTAGTCAAAGAGTCTGATTTAATGGGCATCAGCATCTTCTTTGACATGTTCAACTTTGACTTCCCTTCCCCAGACTTGTAAAATTTGCTACTGACGGTCCTTCCAGCAAGATCTCCCATCAGACAGACAAAGACCTCTATAGTTCTGTCAGAGTCATTCTCTGGGGGTCCTTGTCAACCCTCTGACCAAGATCATACATCCTTTGTTGAAAACTATCACTAGTTCTACTCAATATTTTCTAACTTGTGGAATAATTTCTGCTGCACTGTCATCTCTGGGTTTTGATGATGCTTTTTATTCTACGCCACGTCTCATAAATTGCCAAGGACGAAGTCGTTTGAATGCTTTATTCGTTGAATTACCAGAGTGAAAGAGTTTTAAACACTCACCAAGATTGGCACAGATATCTTTAAATGAAAGAACAAATACACAGCACAATCGAGAGAGTCCTATGTGTCTAGTTGCTGTGGAAGATAGGAGTTATGAGGCACTATTTCAAGTTGTTCCTTGAATATAAAACATGTCCTGAACTGCCCTTGAGTCAGCTAAACCAACGAAAAGACCTTCTCAAAAAACCTTAAAATGATGTTTCCCTAAATAACTAGGATTTAGAGTATCGTATTGGAACAAGTACTGTACATCTTGAGAGAAATTAAAGGTCCTTACACAACGGGATTGTGTCTTTTGTATGAATAAAACCCATATCCTGTCAATACAAGGTTCACATCAGCGACGTTTTCCCGTCCTGCGATATTGCAGCATTTATTTTTTCGTATCACGGTCGAATTTTCTGAAGTTTCACATACTGTGTGTCCACTTCTGACCAATCAGATTTCGTGTTTTTGCGACGTCAGATTCACCGGTTTATCCAACATGGCCGACCGGCTGATTGTTTACATGTCGGAGAACAGAGAGCTTTTTGATAAAAAACACAAATATTGCAAAGATAACGACCTGAAGGACAACTTGTGGAGAGTCATAGCGTCTGATTTCTCATATGACGATGGTTTGTGTGCTTTAACAGTTTGCTAAACGTCTTTGTTTTAACTTTCATCTGTGCTAAGTAACTTTAGCTCGTAAGCTAACCTGTTCAGATACAACATACCATATGTATTTTCACAGTCTCAAACTCAATCACAGCGCCAGTAGGTCTCAGTTGTTACCTTACGTCTATGGATTATAGTTTAATGTTCTTATCTGGTACTGGCCCCGACTCAGTACATGCTATCATGACAGACAGACATCTCAACACTAGTGTCTAATCAGAACTGTGTCAGAGTCTTCTCGCTTCCACCCGGGACGCGTCTTTTTTCCCTCGGAAAGTCACAAAATCGCATCGGGCCTGATGTGTATAGTCAGGTGCGTCAAAATTCACCTCTGAATATTCTGTAATTTCGGGTCGTATATTTGCGTCGTTCCCGGTGTGTAAGGACCTTTCGGCCTTAAGTGTCTCAGTTAGGGTTAGGGCTGCTTTAAATCAACCTAAATAGTGTGGAGGTGAACTATGCGCTCTTTCACACAGAAAATGAAATGTACCTGGTTTCCAAAGAGAATGTCAAATTTTTGATCCATGTTTTATTTTATTTTTTTCACTTCCTTGTCCAAAAAACTGGATTACAGTTCATCTCTTTTTTAGAGACATGCTGTTGTAAAAAGAGTCAAATGTGGTTCAGCATTGTCTTAATTTGAAATCAAAAGTCCTCAGAAAAAAGTCATTTTGCAACAAAACATAACTATTTTTCATCTAGGATTAATGATTCCATCCTTGATATACATCACAGATGCTTGCTTTGAAACTAGATGGCCTCACTCCTGATGATGCGGTAACCATGGTTTCTAAAAAGGATGTCGCTTCAGTCAATCTTTAACAAAAATTTTTAATCACAGACATGAACATCTGTTTTGAACATCTACTTTTAACAGCTCCAGCCTCTCTTGGATGCCTCTCTTTGTAACACAGTCATCTCCTTTGGTTGCTTTTAGAATAATTGTCCAAAACTTTTTACAAATATTTTGCTTGTATCAAATCAAAGCATCACATCTTTTTAGAAAGAGGGGTTTGTGATCTAAAAGTTCACTAAATTTAGATTAAAGGCCGACGGTGGCTGGGAACTTTTAATAATATGCTACTCATGTTAATACAAAAGGAATAAATGTACATTTAATACAAAACAAAGCCCATTTCCACAGCTTATTTTGGAGATCAATGCACTTTTCCTCATGTTTGGGTACAAAATTCCACTGGGATTGCTTTGTTTTAATGAACAGTTTCTATAAAAGAGTTGCTGTTTTATTGTAATAGAGGTCATAAATCGCAGCATTATCAGCGGCTGCACACCCCTTTTCCTGGACTGTAAAAGCTGAAATAAACTCCTCATTGTAAAGGTGTGAAATAAATTAAAAGGCCACATCCACCAGAGACTGTTTCTCACCCAATATTTCGTTCGAGCTTTCCAGTCCTTCTAGAGGAATTCAAACAACCGACACTGAAATATCAACACTTGGAAATTATCTTTGAACCACATCATGCCTGAAACAGCTATTTCCTGAAATCTACTTGGTTTTCTTTTCTTCCTCCAGCAGATTAGTCACAGCGGGTGCGCGTTCTACTAACATGCAGGAATAAAGAATAAGCTTTCCTGATCTGGTAAATCAAAGAGTTTCTGGGTTACTGATCCTCGGGAATCGCGTGCTTACACCTGATGTAATAATGCGTGCATGCATAGCGTCCATTCATGGCTTTGTAGCGGCGGAGAGATAATCTCCCTCAGCCATCGGCTTGCATGTGCAACTCTGAGAGGTAATACACTGTGTTTGTCTGCCATTGTGCAGAATTTCAGACTACGCCTGAGCAACAATGTGGGAGCTCATGCAGGGCGGAAATCACGACACAAGATATTATCAAGGTGTGCATGATCAAGGCTTTATCTGTTCAATCAGAAAAACGTGTGCAGCAGCGGCTTGATTCATATTCGGGTGATTAACGGCAGCTGGTCAGTTGTTGGTTTTTTCATTTTTTGGGAACAAAATCATAATGAAGGTCAGACCTCGGAGAGAAAAAGGAAGTCACGTTTTTTCCTGTGATAGATCAGGAGATATCTGCCAGTCCAAGGTTTGAATTTGGGGTTTTATCAAATGACTTTTTCTCACTTTGCTCAAGAGCATAAATGAGAAAAACAAATCGACTGACACGAAACATCTGATCACAAATAATATCACAGAGAGAGGAGGAGATGGCTGCTTGGTGTTAACATGATGTTGTTGTGTTTAAAACAATTAATGTGGATCTTGTAAATATAGAAACACTGCGGCGACAACCGGGCGTGATGGAAATGATGGATGCACTGGCACTGCGGGATGTGAATATGACAGCAATGAGGTGTCACTCACTGATGCTTTGATTCAGTTGTGGGCCTCCTGCAGGAACAAAGAGTGCTCTCTTACCACTACTTCATTTACAAAGAGCTTGATCTCTGGGCTAGCTTATACATTTTCACCCATTAGGTGCTTTGGAATGACCATTTTTGGGCGTGAAGAGGGCTGGATATGTGAAAGGTCCTCAAGTTGATTTATAAAGGTGACAATAGCTGCGTTTAAATAGGCAAAAATAATCTGTATAATGTCATGTTAACATGTTGATATGCGTTTCCGAAACGCATCATGATAAATAAAAATGCGTCATGTAAACATGTCGATTGGAAGATTCCAATCCAATTCCACTCAATCGGAAAGAAATTGTATTCTGATCAGGAGGAGTTGTTAATGCTGATCCTTATTCCAAAACGCGTCCATGTCAATACTTATTCCGATCGTGACTCTCTTACCTGACTTGATCTTCACTCTCTAACCTTTGGCTTATTTATTGATGCCAGTACAGTAGGTTTCGTTATTAACACTCTAGCATAAAACACAACCGCAGGTGTCATGTCTGCTCCTCCGTTAACATAAAAAGGCGTACATACAGCGTAATCATGTCACATCTGTATGCTCAGTGCAACCTTTGACAGAACAATAAAATAAGTACGCAAGGGCGCCATCTAGTGACAACATTTAACAGTGGGTAAACTCCTGTGAGCCACGGCTGCGTTTGTTGGTTTGTTGACAGCACAGGCGTAAATACAACTCTTCTTCTGTGGTTGTTTTAGTGAAATTAGACAAGTCCGTGCATGTCCAAATGCCTCAACTGCACTACTGCCTGATGGTCATGTTTATAGACTGTTTCTATTTATTCTTTATTTAGTGTTATTGTTACAGTATTTGAATTTGTAGAATGTGAACTGTAGAATGTGGAGAGTCATAGCGTCGGATTTCTCATATGACGATGGTTTGTGTGCTTTAACAGTTTACTAAACGTCTTTGTTTTAACTTTCATCTGTGCTAAGTAACTTTAGCTCGTAAGCTAACCTGTTCAGATACAACATACCATATGTATTTTCACTGTCTCAAACTCAATCACAGCACCATTAGGTCTCGGTTGTTACCTTACGTCTATGGATTATAGTTTAATGTTCTTATCTGGTACTGGCCCCGACTCAGTACATGCTATCATGACAGACAGACATCTCAACACTAGTGTCTAATCAGAACTGTGTCAGAGTCTTCTCGCTTCCAAACAGGACGCGTCTTTTTTCCCTCGGAAAGTCGCAAAATCGCATCGGGCCTGATGTGTATAGTCAGGTGGGTCAAAATTCGCCTCCAAATATTTTGTAATTTCATGTCGTATATTTGCGTTGTTCCTGGTGTGAAAGGACCTTTCGGCCTTAAGTGTCTCAGTTAGGGTTAGGGCTGCTTTAAATTAACCTAAATAGTGTGGAGGTGAACTATGCGCTCTTTCACACAGAAAACGAAATGTACCTGGTTTCCAAAGAGAATGTCAAATTTTTGATCCATGTTTTATTTTTTTTTTCACTTCCTTGTCCAAAAAACTGGATTACAGTTCATCTCTTCTTTAGAGACATGGTGTTGTAAAAAGAGTCAAATGTGGTTCAGCATTGTCTTAATTTGAAATCAAAAGTCCTCACTGGTGTTTCACTGGTGCTGTTTTTTTTTTCAATTTCTCTCTGAGATTATTAAGTATCTACATATCTACCAACGTACCTACGTATCTACCTATGTATCTACCAACATATCTACCTACGTATCTACCTATCTACCTACCTACTCACCTTCTAATCTGAATAAGAATTGGAGCATGTATACGCACATCATGATCGGATTATTTGATTTTGCACCCATATGAACAGTGGATTCAGATTATCCAGTCCCTCAAATTTTTAATCAAATCAAGAAATTTGGTACATGTACATGTGGCTACTGTAAAAACCTGTGTATCTGAAATTCCTGAATTAGTCTTTTTTACTTTAGGAAATCATACATTTGAAAGATTATGCATTGTGTAAATATATATATATATATATATATATACACACACAATATCTCCTTAAGTCATCCCAGGCTGTTTCGTGAATGTACACTGCAGTATTGAGAATGTGCTGTTCTGTTTGTTTTCAGCCTCCTAATGTTTACCCAGGAAGATAACACATAAATTGAAGCCATTTCATTATCTTGGCATAATTAAAGTTCCTTTTTAATGGAAAAAAAACCCAGGTCAGATTAGTTCTGTTTTGGCGATAGAGCTGCCTATTAAGGCTAGAGTCACGGACTGTCTCTGAACCTCAGCATAATTTAAGATTTCTGCTGCATCCTTTGGGTTCGCAGAGACCTCAAAGTTGCTGTCTTTGAGGGTTTTTTCATGAAAAAAAAAGGATGATTAGAGTAAAAAAGTAGTTCCTCCGTCACCTTTTTCCACTTTTTGAGCGTCTTTGAGAGTCGGTCAAACAAAGAGTTGCTTAACACTTGCATACATAAACATGAGCTGAACCGATCTTTGACGTCTTTGCCCTCTCTTTAGTCTCGCTTTCCTTATTTTTTGAAGGGCTGCTCTCATGCTAATCTTGTGCACCTGTTGAGAGGTGCTGCCCCCTGCCACTCCCTATCTTTCCGCAGATGTCAACCCCCCGCCGACTCTGTCCCAGGATAAATGTCGTGCGGAAGCATGACTTGGGGGACAATACGCCCTTTTGCATAACTTAAACCCAAGATAAAGTTTCAGCTTTTTCCGTGTCTTCGTGCTCTTGTTAGGAATTTGTTTGCATCTTCAAACACTGGTTGAGGCTATACCCCAGATTTAAAAGCTGCCAATGCTCGCTTCATCTTGTTCTATTTATTCTTCTGACATTCGTTATACAAATGCTCATTCCGAAAAGCCTTACTTTGTTATTAAGGAATGCAGAAACACTACATTTGAGAGTCTAATCTGCTTATTACCATCATTAAAAATCTGTTTACTCTCCAAAAAACATCCACTGTTGGATTTTGCTTGAAATACAGATCCACTTTTTGGATGCTTTCTTCTTTTTTAATTCTCAAAATAATGAGACAGACTGTTAATGTAGTCCAGATGATGCACTTTGTTGTGCGTTTTTTGGGCGACAAATCACCGGGGAAACGATTCTCTGTATCTCCTGAATCAGTTGAATGACCCATCTGTCTTTCAGTGTGCACTCCCATCTTATATAATTAGGGAGAAATTGCCAAGAAATCAGGTTGTGCACACTGCCATAACAGATAATCCAGCGTCTTTTGAAATGCAATGAGGAAAAAAAACAAAGAATGTGAGCTGCAGCGTGTAAGATCTGGGGATACTTATACAAGGTCTTATGAATAAAAAGACAAAACACATACACATGTAAGCAGATAATAGAGAAGTAGAGGACGTAAACAAGAATGCAAGGGAACAATGGGCTAAAAGAAAAGAGAATGAATTGTGAGCGAGGAGGCGTATATGAAGGACAGAAGATAATGCAGTGATGGAATGCAAATGACTTGAATTCACCTCTCATTGTCTTGAATTTGCTGCTTACTTGTCAGCAAATAACCATGAATCTTAAGTTTCAGGCTCAGCGAATCGATTCAGATTTTGATAGAAATATATTAGTTCCAAGACCACTTGTTTAAAAGACATCACTGTTTTATACTATATTAAGTCAAATAAACAGAAATTTGACTTTCTTTTGTTCAATGGCGGTGTTCCACAAGGTTCACATCCGGGCCCCATGACATTCTCCATTAATTACTGACATAGTTTATAATTGTAGCACCTGTTATGCTAATCTTTGTGCAGACCACAGTAAATTACTGTATACAGCTGATATGCACCATAACAAAGGCTACGTTCACACTGCAGGTTATGATGCACAATTCGGATTTTTTGTTAAATCCGATCTTTTTGTGCGGTCGTTCACATTACAACAACAAATGCGGCATCTACCGTGAACGGAATGCGTCCGTGAAGTGATGGCACGCCCACAAAGCACAAATTGCTGTTTGTGTTGTCAAGTAATGGTGACGTTTGTCGCATATTGATGACATATAGGTGGGATGAACGCGACCTGAGCGTCCACACTGTCACATCGGATACATATCCGATTTAGATCCACATACAAAAGAGGCCTGGGTCGGATTTGAAAAAATTAGAATTGCACTCTTCACACTTACATAAAAAAAATCAGATATGTGTCACATATGGTTAAAAAATCGGAATTGACCTTCAATGTGAACATAGCAGAGTTTGAAAATGTTTGATGTTTGATTTAAAAAACTCTTGTGAACCTGAAACTGCTTTATTTAGAACTTGACTTAATTATTGAAACAGAATCAAGACAAAGTAATGTTTGTCAAACAAAGGCAAGTATTATTCTATTGTTTCATCCACAATCCAATGTGATATATATGGTTAGCTTAGCTATTAGCATAGCCAGTTTGAATGGGTTTTTAATTAAATTGTGAAAAAAACGCCAACATTTTTTTTTTTTATGCAACTAGTATTTCTGCCAGGGACTAATTAAAGCTCCTGTAAGCAGCTTTCTGTCAATGTTGACTTTGGCGCCCCCCGTGGACATTATTATGACTTGTATCATTTCTGGTTTTGGTCTCATTTTTGCGACAGATCTCCTGTTATCTTTTAAAAGGCAATAAATGTGACTCAAGAAGAACAGTTGCTGTAGGTGAGACTGTGTTTCAGTGTACCTACCCCCTCAGACCATTTACAGGCATCAAAAACAATCATGCAGGAAGTGTTAATCCTTTCATTTATGGTTTTCTTTGCTTTTGTACATCAACGAGATACATCACTATTTATTTTCAACTATTTCATCACTGATCAAAAACTCCTAACAGGAGCTTTAAACTGCATTACGTTTATACTATAACAAGCATTAAACACGAGCTATTATTTGCTGTTGTGTTGTAAACTAATAGGAAAAAGAAAAAGTGAGGCAAAGTGAAACTTTTCTTTCTCAGCGACTGTGGCAAAGGATTACAAACAATTTGATACAAATGGATTGGACTGTACATATTTAACTTTGTTTTGTACAAATGTTGTCGAGATAATTTGAAGACAATGACAAATGTTTAGTTTCCCTACATGCAGATAGAGCTTAATCAATTCAAGTGATTTTTCCTTTTTCAATCCAGAAGATGATAAATTTCAAACGTCATCAAAGGCCAAAATCGTTCATCATTCACCACAGAGCCCCGAGTCACTGTGTGTTTTCTTTGTTATCAATGTAAAGCAAGTTTCTTTGTCATTTCTGAGATAAGATGAGGCGCGATAAATCTGTTTTTGTAGCTAATAAAGCAAACTGTTTCTGGTGCAATGTTTTGCAGCCTCATCTCATCATTTTCGCCTGAGATGACATCCTGCTGTTTACCATTTCTGCCCATTATTTACAAGTCAGTGTTTGGACTATAAATTGTGCTTCTCTCCGGGCCCCCACTGACCTCCACACAAGATGAAAGAACCTTCAAGATTCTTCAGTTTGTGTCTGCGTGGGCACTCTGTCTCGCAGATACTTTTGTCATCATTACTGTTCAGCAGGATCACATCGGTCAGAAGCAGAGGGACCCACACTTTTTACTGATCTGTCCAGGGAGGCAGCGTAAGTCTGTCTCAATCAATGCGTGGACATAGACACAGTGAGAACTCGGAAAAGGCGGAAAATACACTAAAACCTCTGATTAAATGTCTGTTAAAATACTCAGAAAATCACTGATTGGGTACCAATTAGAGAGAAAATGGAGCCGCATTTCTGAGGCAGGTCTAATAATTTAAAATGTATTAAGAAACCAGGCCTGACAGTTTTTGCCCTTTCTAAACTCTGCAAATTATAGCTTACTAATCATTTATCAATGCAGATAGTCTGTATCACTTTTTCTTTCATTTTTCAACTTGAAAATGGGGTTTAGAAAAAAAAAAAAAAGTATTTTTAGCAAAAGTTTTAAAAGCCAAGATGAAAATGGGAAATATCTTAATATCCAATCTTGTCTTCCAATCAAAAATGGAAATAAACTTGTTTTTTCAGCATAACACAATTCCATGTGTCATCACTCTTGGTTATTTTGCTGATAATCTGACTCACTGTGTGAAGACATAGAGCAAGATCTGGCAATATTTTAAGTTATAAAACATATTTGACAGCCCATTAGCTATCAGAACAAAGCTTGTGTAACCTGAGTATTGAGCCACAACCACACGAACAATATAAAAGTTTAACTCTTTGATTAAAACACATGGTAGTTGCAAAGAAAAAACAGTTCAGCTGGATCATTCTTAAGCATGTGTTTGACTGGGCATTCTTGAGTGAGCACAATTCCTATCCAATGATACCTTCATAATCAACCTTATAGCTGTACACCTGCACCTACTCTGTAATTAAGGCGCATACCAGAGAGCCTGTTGGTACCAATTTTTGCTGTCTTGTTTTAGAGTTACCTTGGGTCCCTCTTGGGACTAGATAAAGCATGAGTACAGTACGCAGGTTGGACTAGTTAATTGGTCATAGGAAGAGCTTTCCAAACTGGAAATTTATCAGATACAGAGTTATGGTGTACTGGGACATTTTCTTTTGGAATCCCAGTACCGCCAGAACCGTTTCTTGGCCTCTCCACATTAGCGCCTCTTGCTGATTTATTCTTGCACCCAATACCAAACACCTACTGTGAGGGAGCTCACATCCCCCTCACTGAGGTAGAAAAACCATACACTGATGCATATTGACTTTTAAGATCAACTTCATCTAATACAGGAAGGTGTTTTTTTGTTTTTGGTGTCACATTTTTTAGCCCGATACCAGACATCAAAACGTGTTGTGTCTATGCAATGACTCGTCGATCTGGCGGCATTTGATTCTCATCACGGCACTGTAAATACATCAAAGGTGTGTTGTCCTGGTTTTGCTTAAATGAAAGAAGTTGCAATCTTCGCTAAACATGTTAACTGATGGCGTCTGCATGGTGTGGTCTTCTTTCCCTTGTCCCGACAGTTTGACAACTACAGTGTCACTGCTCTCCACTATTGCGCCATCTGCCCAGGCGCTTCGCATTGTGGGTAACTGTAGGTGAAGCAGACTTGTCCGATGCATACTGTGAAATTTTCCCGAATCAGAATGTCATCCTGGTATTTTTGGCATACTGCAAATTTGGCATTTGTTCACCTCCTGCATACAGCATACTACTAAATTACTAAATAGACATACTAAGTTTTGTGTCTCTTATGCTGGCCTGCTGCCGTAATTAAGGGCGATCAGCTACACCTGCTGCAATTAGGGGAATCAGCTACACCTGCTGCAATTAGGGGAATCAGCTACACCTGGGGGGTGTGGCTGTGTCTACCAGGAGTATTTTGCTGCATGTGGTTGAGACTCAGTAGAGTTTTGTGTGTCAAGTGTCAGTAAAAAGATACCAGCCAGAGCTTTGGAACCTGTTGAAACCTAATGGTAAATGATGTAGGAGTATGGAGATGTGGGGAAGTTCTTTTACGTGTCACTTTGCTAAATTTGCTAAATTCACTCCTAGAGAACCGACAGAGCACTCGCATCTAAATCTTCTCCTCATACAATTGTATGCCATATCTCTAATATACTTAAAGGTATTTCCAGTTTGTATTTGAGGTTTTACCCAAAGCTTGTCTCAGCAAAGAGAGTTTAGTAATAGAGGTGCTCCGCTTTGTCTTCCATCGAGGGCATAGTCAACATTCAGCCGCGGCTCCCGCCAAGGACTAGTCTGAATTGCCCCCTTCAAAGTCAATACTACAAAACTAAGTGTATCAAAAAAGACTGACAAGAAAAGGGTCCTCCTTCAGCCAAAAGACACTTCTTATGGCGAAATTTTGGAGGACACAGCTGGAGAGTTCTTTGCAGTTTTGAGTTTCCCAAACACAGTTATGGACCCTGTCATTGTGATAACTCATAGCCTGAAGTGAGTGCTTTCATTTGTAGAGCACTTTTTTTTTGAGATCAGAATTTAAGAATCAGATTTAAAACACTGCATAGACACTTTTTTAAATGCAACTTGGCTTTTCAATGAAATGAGGAAATAAGGAAAAGGCAAGGTCAGAAATCAAGTTGTATTCTAAATCGGATATGTTGCCTTTGGGAAGAAAAAAAAAAGTTTAGGTTAAACACTTCCCATTGTGTGCCTTGTTAAAGTTTTATTATTGGCATTTAAGATTAATAGAAAAAAATTGTCTTTTTTTGCCACGCAAGGTAATTTGAGAATTTGAATATTTTAAGGTTTCAATAAGTGTGCATAATCATTTAAAGTCAATTTGAATGAACAGTGAGGCAGAAATTAGCCCTGCTTTTGACACACAGTGGTGTCTTATATTCCAAAATACCATCCAAATACAGTATATAAAGAATTAACGCCAAAAATATAACCCGAATCTTTTCAGCTGTTACAAAACTGACTAAGAAACCTTTGCAAGGCCAACAGAATAGGACCCAGTACTGAGCCCTGTGGCACACCACCACCAATAGGTCAAAAGTTGTACACCACTTTTTATGTGGTTTTAAATTCGCATATTACGAAGTTGGAATAAAATCATGCAAGTTTGCTCAAGTTGGAGCATGAGGTCTTGGTTTCTTGGCAAAAGGTGGTCTTGGATCCTTCATCTAGACTGATAGGAGCACTCTTGCCAGTCTTGTACTTGGTGGATCTGTTGCCATTGACTTGCTGCCAGCTACTTTAGAGCTCTAGTGGGGTAAGGTCAAGGCTTTTATGGACCTGGTCTGATAAAAGGTAGGGGTGCCTACACTATGTTAGAGGACACTGGTAGATGGATTTGATATGGAGCTGCAGTGGCTTTAAATGAGTCCAGAAATGCGGTACTATTAATTGTTTCAGAACTTTTTTCCAAAAAGATTTTTCCCTCAGCAATGACTGTCTTAGGAGTTGGATTTAAAGGACATCTTGGAACTAGGTCAGTTGTTTTGGGGGCAGTGAAAGGGTAAAAACTGATCAACCAGTTGTTTGAAATAAATGAGGACACGAGTTACTAAAGAATTGTTGATACTTGGACCCCCACAAGGACCCACAGAGCCAGTAATATCTTTAAACAAGGATGTGGGGAAGATTTCAAGGGGCTGGAAGAACTTTTTATACCAAACATTCCTCTGAAGTCTTCATAAGCACAGTCCTTCAAAAGGAGAGGGCCCTGAAATGGGACATAACTGAAGTAGATCACTTCTTAAGATGTTTGAAAAGCAGCAGAGAGACCAGAGTCACTGCTATGCTGGATATAATTATACAACACAAGATCGGGGGGCATCAGTTACTCATGCGGACAAAAAATAACTCGCACAGATGTGACAGAGGTGGCGGGTTCAGTTTCCCAAAACGGTCGGGAAATGAGCTAATGAGGAAAACGTTCCCCGATGTCCAGAGTCCTCCTGCTGAAATGCCCTTGAGCAAGACAATTAATCCCCAGCAGCTCCAAAAGGAATTCCTGTGAGGCTAATAGTGAAAGAGCGTGGTCATGCTGGGCAGCTCCCAGGTGTGAATGTGTGTAAGTGTATGAAAGTGGAGCCATTCTCAAAAAGAAAAAAAAAAAAAAAAGGGAGCTTGCATGCTCAGTGAACCTTCCCGGGATAAGTGAAGGTTAGAAAAATCTATTTAAGGTTTTTGACGAGGCGGCGAGTGGGACCAAAGTTGGTGGGGGGAAGTGTAGGTCACAGTATGCCAGCAGAAAAGTCAACACAGCTAGTCCTGCCATTTGAGATTTATGTAAAGTAAGTTCTGCGAATCCACAAAAGGTGTCACTCCAATCAACATCAAGCTATTTCAGAGTCGTTTCAAGAGTTGAGATGGATGAGACTCTAAAGCGAAACACACTTAATTTCACCTTTGCGCAGTTATATTCGGCTTTTACAAGGTCAATTACAACCAGACACTGCAGCACATCCATTCATTCAAAGGGAAGAGGCGAAGGGGCTTCGAGAATGACACGAGTTGTGATTCGGAGTGACGCAGGAGTGAATTAGGAAAGCCAGAGGGCAAGTAGATGACACACGCGACGTAAAACATACGTGTCAGCCGCAATCTGCTTCAACTTACTATTTTTTTTTTAACCCAATGAGGCCAGTTGTGTTGGGAGAATCCAAAAGGTGGAAAGTGCTTGAGTACTTGGAAACTACTTCGTCACATAGTTCAGAAATGTTAACTCACTGGACTTGACAGATATATTAAAATGTTGTTTATCACTGTAGATAGAGTAATTGATTAGATTAGCCATTTTAATCCCACTCAATGTCCACTTTTCACCACACGACCAAAAGCTTTGTGGGGTTTTTGGCTGGTTTCACATGCAGATGAACGTCAGATAAAGATAGCAGCCTAAGTTTTCTCCGGAAAAATGCCACAGTGGTCAAAATATGAAGTTTGTTCCTTTAAATTGCATATAAATAAATCAGATATAAAGAAGTGTTATTATGAATCTGTTAAACTGGATTTTTCTACTTTCACCTTAACGTCCTCCGTCACATAGACAACTATCAGCAATAACAAATGCTGTAAGGCTAACATTACTTCTCTTCAGAGCAAAAAGGCGACTCCCATATCGGCCAACAGAGGAGGACTTAAACTTCAACCACAACAAAATCCACAAAAAGTTCCAGCTTGCACCACGCTAAATCACAAGACTGTTTGTGCTGCCTTTGCGGATGAAAATATGGGTTAAGGAAGTTGAACTTTATAAAGTCACCTATTACATATGCATGATGAATACACTGTATGGTGAAATGATAATCCCACATGTCTGGAAACACTGGTTAATTACAAAATTTTGCATGCTGTTTCTTATTACAAGATCCAATAAAATAATCAATTAACTGAAGATTAGAACTTCAAAAGGGAGTATTTGAACGCCACTTTTGGCTAAGTGGACTAGTGTTGTGTCGTTCATGAACGTTTCGTTCAAAAGAACAGAACTGCTGAGTGAACAACGTGAATGGAATCACTCCGAGACCTGATTGGTTCCTTTCTCAGTTCAGTTGAGCTTAGCCACGAGCCTGGCGTGCTGGTCAGGAGTGGAAGCTGCCTTTGACTCTTTGGCGAACCACACACAGCCAGCCAGGGAGCAGGCGGATGAACAATATGTATCAGTCAGACTGTGAATGAAATGAATGACTTCCGAATAACTTGGGGCAGGCAGAGGAGCACCGGTTTGTTCACTGAGGCTAAGCTAAAACAGTGCATTTTTGTGCCTTTACATTAATACACGTGTATAACCTTTCCTGCATTCAGCCGATTTGAAGCAATACACTATTTGATATCTTTAAAAGTAGCAGAATCCCCGCTACAGCTGCGGTGTTTATATTTATTTAATCTCTCCACATTTCCACGATATAAAAGAACGATGACTGATGCTCGTTTAGCGGGCGTGCTGCTTGCTGCTGTGTTGTTTCCGCCGACCGCAACACAAAGAGAGGTGACTTCTTCAGGGCAAGGGAGTGATTCTTCCTTCAGGACTTGGCAAATGAAAGACGTGTGTCACCCAGTGAACGATACTGTGACTTCAGCAGCAGGGGATGGGAGGGGCTCGTTCAATGAACAAACTCACAGCTGTGTCACTCACTCGCATACTGCACCGGCAGGACGGGGCTCCGAAGCACTGACTGACTCAGTGAACGAATCTTTTGAATGAATTGTTTTAATGAACGGATTCTAAAGATTCAGTACAGTCCAAAGAACTGTTCTTCCCATCACTGGAACCAACGCTAAGTTTTGCCCCTTCTGGATAGATTCGTCAAGGGGCAAACAAAGATTTGTGTCAAAAGATGTAATTCTTTTCAGAGCCCCTTTCTTCTCTGCAACTGACAAATACTCCACCACAGGACTTTAAAAGTCATTCTTCTAATAAAAGAAAACCAGGTTTTTGTTGTCCCTGCGCCTCTGCGAGGGACTTCCTGCACGAGCTTGTTGACTGAGCGCAAACACAAACCATCAATCCTACTATTTTTTCCCCCCAAATATAAACTGGCGTAAAGCTGACAGCCGCTATCCGCCGTGCAGTGGTAGATCCACGCCGGAGAGCAAACTAGTTTGTTGCCCTCTGTAATGATTTTGTCGACTCATGCGAGTACAGCATCAGCCAGGACCATTGCCCCCAAACCCAACAACCCCGACTTAATGCCAAGTACTCCTCATTGCTTCTGTTTTTCCCTCCCCGCCCCCCTTCGAGTTATCGCTGTCACAGAGTGAAAAATAATCAAAGTCTGGAAACCGTTCAGGAATTTGTTGGCGGATGAAAAAAAACAGACATGTATTCCACCCCCCTCTTTCAGCATTTCTCTCCCTCTCTCTGTGTTTTCCCCCAGCAGTAAGAGTAAAATTATAAATCACCTCCCCGCAGACAAAATTTCATGCTCGATGGGTGAACAACTCCAGCATCTGGTGGGGTCCTGTGATGAGGTGTGTTCCAAGTTTCTCCCTCTCCCTGCTTCCCCTGGGCTGATGCAGAGCACAGCCAGCATCCTGCCAAATGTTACTCGCATGCAGCTGAAGTGATAAGACAAAAAAAAAAAAAAAAAGGCAGATTAATATTTAGCAGGGCCGCGCTTTTTTCGTTTTAAACCTGCTCTGCGGTTTCCATGAGGAATCTCCGTGGTGGATTCGTGTCACATCACAAAGTGTGTGCACACCTGAAGCAGACTCTCTTCAGTGGGTACACATGAGAGTGTGGAGGGCGTCCAAACATACCTTGTATCTCTTAACAACAAGCCCGGAGCCAGTGGTCGGCCCCGCTGGGCTGAAATGCATCATATCAGTGATGCTGCAGTAACCTTGGGAGGAGAGGAGATGAACTTGTTTTTAAAGCATCGAATCCAGGAAGAGAGGGAAACGTTTTATCCTTGAATTCACTTTTAAACACTTAGACAAAAAAAACGGCACGAAACCTCAGCAGATCGTCTTTGGAGGTATTTTTAACCTGCCTGGTGGGACATGTGAAGTCAGGCCAAATTTAGATTTTCTCTTTTTTTTTTATAATAATTGGATTTGCTTGTACTATCTCTGGTTCTGACATGACAAAAGTGGGGATGTGCGCCTTCAGTCAACCCATTAATTAAAAGTGTGAGCAGCAAAGTCACTTAAACAAATATTAGAGTTTTATTACTGAGGGTCATCTGGTTTAATAGAGGGATCCAATTTTTCTGGTTTCTTCATGTTTTTATCAGTTAGCCGACATTAGACATTACTTAAAGGTGCAGTTCATAGAATTTAGCAGCATTTAGCTGAACCTACTTGGTTAAAATTAGATACATTATTGGTATGTTTGAATTTGTTTTGTTTTTGTTTAATTGGGTAGCGAATCATCACTGTATTTATTATTTATGTCATTCGATGGTCAGGTAGCGATGAGTGTACCCACTCCTGGATCAAATGGCAAGTTAATCATTTGTATGCAGCCTGATAATCTTTCCATTTTGACGTTTAAGGGCTAATTGCTGTTGGAATATGAACATTTTCCCCCGAAGTCCAAATAAAGACATACATTTTGAATAAAAAGTGCTAGACTTAGGCAGCCATCTTGCACTGCCATGATTCTACGGTAACTAAAAAAACCTGACATCTAACTTGTATTAAGTGAATGGCAAAGCAGAATGCACTGGTAGGAAGATAAATAAGATGAGAGTAGTTGTTGTGCACAAAGCAAATGTTTGTGATCTTGACAAATGGAGACTCATGCTGAACATGCATCAAGGAGTTTCATGTCCTCTTAAAGGGATATTCTGGTGTAAAATTAATTTAGGGTCAAACACACCGCAACACCGAGTTAGACACCCCCTCAAGAGATGAATGTTGCCAACTGCTTGCTTCTCTAGTTATACCAACTTTAGTAATGACCACACAAGAGCAATACACAGCGGTCTGAGGAGCCATGAACAAACCTCAACCAAAACGCACCTCTATAGCCACAAATAATGCTCAGAACAGCACCTAACTTCATCAACAGTACATATAGGGTCCTAGCCAAAGCACTAGCCACCAAACATCTTTTTAGCTTTGCCTAATTTCCTTAGTAAAGGGACTAAACACAACTCACCTACTCTCTTCCAACAGCCTCTTGTTTGTAGAGAGACCTTGGGCAAATCCACTATGGACTGCTTCGGGGTGACGCAGCCCAAGGAAGAACATTTACGATCATTTCTTCATGGAAATGCTATCAGACCGAGATGCTTAGGCAGAAGAACTACCGCGTCTGCTTATTACTTCAAGGAAATGATGAAGTAATGATCATAAATGTTCTTCCTTGAGCTGCGTGACCCCGAAGCAGTCCATAATGGACTGGCCTGAGGTCTCGCTACAAACAAGTGGCTGCTGGAAGAGAGTAGGTGAGTTGTGTTTAGTCTCTTTGCTAAAGTAATTAGGCAAAGTTAAATAGATGTTTGGTGGCTAGTGCTATGGCTAGGACCCTATATGTACTGTTGATAAATTTAGATGCTGTTCTGAACAACACAGGGGGGCAAGGGAGCATTTCAATCTGAAATCTGACCTAGATATGCCTCAATACAGCCATTTCTACACTCTAGTGACTGCTACACAAATAGCATTGGACTATAATATGCCTGATTTGTCACCATTGTTTTTCTGGAAGCTTCCAGCAGACCAGGACATGATGAGTCCCTGCAGATGAGGCACATTGTTTCACATCGGCCATATTGAAAAATGCTACCATAACACAGCTTGGAAATTGTTTGCATGCTCAATTTAAGATCATATCTGTATGTACACATAATGTATGTATGAGGCTTAGCGTATGTGATGGAATTGCCCTGGCTGGATATCTGCTGCCTCATCCAAACAGGATAAAAGAACACGAGAAAAAGTAAAATTCATTCAGGAAAAGACAAAAAAGGCTCATTATTTGGAGTCTTACTACACCTGGATGAGCCTCCTTGGAGGTGTCTTGACAGTGGGAACTACTTCCTTGTTGAAACAAAGCGAATTCTTCCACAAAATAAATCCGACTTTGCCTGCGCAAAGACAAGACTAAAACCCCCGACCCCACCTGTTGGCGCGCTGGGTGTCATGGCAGACATCATTAAGCTCAGGGGTCCTTCATGTTTTTTTTTACTGGAGCTTGTTAAAGAGCTGAGAAAGTGCTGCAATGCAGGAGAAAATAATTTGGCTGTGAATTTAATTCCCAGGCTGCAAGACCAACATTTTGGATAAATTAGCTGCTTAAGCTTCACTGCTTTTGTATGTTAGTAATGTGGGAACAGATGGCATATTTTACTACTTTACCAGGAGGAGGGTTGTTGATATCTAAATCTTTCAGATGGGGACTGTTTTCCCCAAGTTGAAACGAAAAGCAGACAGAAAAGTCTGTCACTTTTTTGGTTTTCTTTGTGAATATGTTAATTCTTTTTTGATCTGTGTAATTAACACTTTCACCAGACACAGATAGTTCGTACAAAACTTAATTAGTGTGTCTTTAACAGAATGATAGATAATATGCAAAACAGTCTAAACAGGTGGGTTTGAGTCACTGACTTGGCCCGTTCTGCCCTCTTTCCAGTCACTCTCTACAGAGCTGACCCGCTGTTCCTGTGCCACTTAATAACCTTTATGTTGTCATGGCATATGTCCCCCATATTTGGGGGTGGACCCAAGTTATAGGGCACTGTCAGTCCCAGGTAGCATCAACAGAGCAAGTCAGTAGGCGGAGCTTGTAATGGCATTTTCTGCTCTTACGATGTGCACTAACTCCCCCCCTAAGAGGATATTTGAGCAGCTAATCAGTGCAGTAGCTTGTCATCATCACAGAAAACCCCGCCCACTCAGATCACCGCATAGATAATGAGGTTGGAAACTAAGAGGCTGCAGATTCTCTGAATGAATAGGACCTGTAGCAATTCTGCTAAACTCAGTGCAATAAACTGATTTAGGAAACATTATTTGCCATGAAAAATACTCTTGGATATTAAAAATGTATTTGTGAAAGAGCATGCAAATATCCTCCAAGTTGGCCCGGGGTTGTTTTGGGATAATTACAGCTGAAGTTCGTTTTCGCTCTGAAATAAAATAAGAAAGTAGGAAATCTGATGGGTTTTTAATGCTTTTTTGCTCATTCTTGCTCTTGCACATCTTCAAGGGCAGGAGAGCTTGCAGATACTAAAATGACTTACTGTTCTTCTAAACGGATAGGAAAGCAACACAAGAAGAAAAATCTATAACAATTTAGGAAAAGTCAGGGGAGAATTTTTTTTGTAGTTTTATTTTAACCAAGTTTCTAAATCACAGAAATTAAAAAACAGCATCTGCCTTGATGGATCTGGAGGTAAAAACTTTCCCTATTCTTTCATTCTGCACAGTCACCCAACCATATGTCGGTGGATGAAGAGACCAAACGCTGACAACAATAAAGTAAACAAGTCCGTTGTTGTAGCAGCAACTTTTGGCACCGACATATGCTCGCCTAACAGGGAAAACAGCTTTTCTCACAAGCGGAGGCATATGGCCGGCTCGTGTTCCGACAACAAGATGCCGTGTCACCTTGCTCGCCACCTGTAGCCGATGACCAGCAGAGAGGGAGGAGAAATTTTAAGGTGAGGCACGCGTACACAAGCAGACATACATATTTGCCTCCGTCCCTATTATCCCAAAGGCCATATGCTTATCTTGTTGACCTATTCGGTGTCCGACGGCATGTCATACACTCTGTCACCATGACCAGGCAGGCGTGAAAAAGAAACCGGAGGGGGTCAAGAACACAAAAGCCTCTTAAAAAAAAAAAAAACATGGCGGCAGCCTCAGAGTCCTTCCTCTCCCCTGCTCTCCCCTCTTCTCCTTTCTTTTCTGATGCCGCGCACGTCCCGACGAGCGACAGCGATTTGCATGATGTGATCGGCCTCTGCCTTCCTGCAGCTCTTTAGAAGTGTGTGCGCGCTGGCGTCTGCATGTGCCTGTCTCTATTTGAGTGTGTTTGTAAGTGTTAATGTGCGCAGGCTGACTGCCAGCCAGCTTAAGCTGCAAGGGAGGGTATAAGGGAAAAAAATAATAATAAAAGAGGGCTTTGAGCCTGTACCGATCTTGCAGAGCAATCAGGGAAATATGCTCAAATACGTGACAGGCAGAGTGCGCCACTTGGCATGCATGTTTAATTCTGTCTGAGGTTTGGGTGTTGTAGCTCTGCTGAGTTAAGGTGAGCTGTTTGTTGGGATGTAACTAGGCCAGATAGCGCACACACATGCACACACGCTTGGGCGCGCACAAACACACACTTCGCTCTTGACTCATCAAAAGAGGCGAGATCTCATCAGCAGCGAGCCTGGTTCGCACTGACGAATATTCAAGGACATTTTGCAGACATCAAACAGAAAAATATCCAAAAGGGAAAAATTTATAAAAGTGAGGCTGAGTTATTCCTTAAATTCCACCTTAAGTGTTCTGAGCATGTCTGCCTCGTGTACTTATTTTTTCCTCCGCTGCTGTTTTTTCCGTTGAATTATGAAAGCAAGTGAGCTGAAACACTTTCGCCACTTTCCCCAATTTCTCTTTGGGCATGAAAAATGTAATCACAAGCAAGGCTGCGTATTTTTTTCATATATTTTTTTCGCCTCGCTTTGAGTAAATTATGATCAGAATCACTAAAAAGCCAATTACTTTTGTGATACATGGAGAAGGCAGCGTGTTAACAGCGCTACATGCGTGCCAAAACTGGCGTGTGCGGTAGAAATCAGTGTGGGGATAGGTAATGAGGGGGAGCCCTTAGAACAATCAGTCCAGCTTTCACCGGCGATCATTAGACTGAATGAATTTGACGTATGAGGCGTCGGGTGGGAGGGAAATCACCGCTTAAGGTGCTGAATGAACATGTGAGGTATTTGCACGCTACTCTCATTTTTTCATGTGTGAATGAGCATCCATATACACTATTTTGGAGAACATCCTCCTACACCCACATTTGTATTGATCTGAATTAAAATCATGCCTCTGGCGAGAAGCATTTTCAAAACAGAAAAATGAAGTAACAGCTACTGCAAGCTCTTAAATCACTTGAACTCAGTGCCTTTTGGGCGCTTTTGGTGGTGTGCAAATCATTTCCTCTATTTAATTAAAACAGTGCAAATACAGCATGTGCTCCCTTTAACTTTGGCACCCGCAATATGCTTCATAAAAGTTCGGACAAGGACTGTAAAACATTGAAATAGTGTTTTAATAAATAGTTCGTTTAAAACAGCACAGTAACAATGATTGGGCATGCCAGGGTGGCTGAATCACTCAGAAGTTTGGATGGGAAGAGTTTCAGCAAACAGTTCATCAATTCTTGGAAAATCATGTATTGTTGAAAATTTGGGGATTTAGAAGCATTTTCAAAACAGAAAAATGAAGTAACAGCTACTGCAAGCTCTTTAAATCACTTGATAAGTTGCAATAGATTCAAAACAGACATAGCTGCTCTGTGGTGGAAATCATTGCATGGGCTTAAAATCTCTTTCAAAATGTATTATCCGTCTAAAGTAGGGTGACCATATTCTGACTTCCCACAAAAAGGACATGACTACGTGGGGGCGGAGTCAAGGAGTCGCACAAAGTTGATTTTGAGAGTTTTCAGGTCGGATCAAGTGTCTTTTAGATGCTTCTAACTCAGTAAGTCCACATGACACAAAATTGAAACTTACGTACAAAACCGCAGACATTTAAAATATTTTACAAACTTCCCCGGACAAAGCCGGTCAAACCCAGATAGCCCCCCAAAAAGAGGACATTTGGTCACCCTAGTCTAAAGATCCTGTGACTTCTTTGGGTTCGCCTTTTTAAAGTACATCAACCTGAGCAAGATTAAAAGATTCTTCGTGGAACGTCATTGAGGAGAAACCTGGCACTGCATTCAAAACTGCCATGACTCTGAAGTCAAAATCACTGCATGCACTCAAAAACACTTGAAAACCTTCATCTGTTGATGTATCCACAGATGCATGGTAAAACTGTTTGGGTTCAACTGGCTAAGGCACAGTGGAACACTATACAGGGATCTGAAGTTGTAAATTCTGACATCCCTTTTGGAAATCATGGACACAGTGTTTTCAGCCTCAAAGAGCACAGGAAATACAATAATGTAGGGACGCACCGATATCTACAGTTTAATATCGGCCAATACCGATCCAATTCCGATACAGAAAAGCCGCACTGAATTACCTTTTGTTGTAACCTGAAGTTTTACCATCGCCCCTTGGAACATTTACTGCACAGGCATTGCAAGTGACCGTCCTCAGTGGCCTGAGGTATTGCGATAAAATCCGAGATAGCAGACCCCTTTGCTTGCTCCATTTTGAAAACAACGTGGGCATCCGCTCAGCGTGTTTACTTGTGGGTGCCACTCACAGCACATAGTTAGTCTCAATAGATCGGCCCCTATGCATCGGGCCCATTGTCACGATAGCCGATCTAGAATTTCCTTCAGTATCGGGACGGATACGGATATCAAATATCGGATGGGTGCCTGTTAAACCTGTTGAATGCCAGTGGAAAACTACACAGCAGTTTTCAAGTATTGAAATTTTGACATCCTTTTTGGAAATTATGGACAGGGCATCCTCCATCCTCATTTTAAACGTGGGGATATGCTGTCTTTCTTTGCACTTTATTCAATTAAAAATATCAGCTTTCAATTAGTTGCTTACTATAAAAAATATTTTTTAGTGAAGGTCCTAACAGCATCCTAGATTTTTTTTTTTTTTTCTAGTTTTGGTGTGTTCTCCATGAGGGAATAAATACAGGAGACAGTAAACGGCAAATAAAAAGCAACAACTCACACATCCGGCTGTCTTTGTTGGTTTGTCACTTTCGGCAGTATAATGAGGGATTCCAGTCACAGGCAGCCAGCTTCTAAAGCGGGATAACACTGAGACCGGGACAAGAAGGATAGAAGAAGAGGAAAAGAAGACAGGAGAGGATGAGAGAGGAAGAGGCAGGAATAAGTGGGACGGTTCAGGAGGGCGAGGGAAAAAAAAAAACTCTGGAATGAAAAAATAAGGAGAGATCAGTCTAGGGAGGGTGGATCGAGGACAGAGGAGGGAAGAAGGAGCAGTGGAAGGAGGGTGGGGAGGTTGGGAGGGGGTGCCCGAGGGGGGTGCTGTGAGGTCAAGGTTCCAGTCTTTGGTGTGAGGTGGCCGCCAGCACGTGGCTGCGGCACGTTGCAGCTCTCAGACTCAGCGAGAGGAGTCACTGTAAAAAAAAATGGAGCACAGAGCGAAGAGAGAGGAGTCCCCTGCTTGCTCTTTCCCTCTTTTTTTTCCCCCACCGTCACAGCCCCCCAGCCCCCCCAAAACTGGCACACAGTGAGCCAATAGCTTAGGTTAGCTCTCTGGCACCGAATCCTTTCTCCTCTAATCGCTGGAGTTGAAGCAAAAAGGCAGGAAGAAAAAAGCTGACAGAGGGCCCGCATGGCACGAGGACATACAGCGTTAACAAGTAATTAAGAAGATACCACATACATAGTGTTCATTCTGCTAATTGATTCACTGACTTAATTGACTCCCAATGAATATATAATGACAGCAGCTGTCATATTTTCAGTTTAAATGAACTTGCGGAGCGGTTTTATCTGGAAGTCGGTGCGGGTGGCATTATTAAAATGCGTTATTACATCATTCACTGGAGTATTGTGACAGCAATGTAAAGCTAATCATGTTTACTAATGCTGTGTTTGCCAAGGCTGTAAGAAAGAGATAGAGCGGGAGCACTCGGGCACTTATTGCTTTTTTCAGTCGTTATTCAGTTTTGTATCGGAGCCAAGTGTTTGCCACTGTTTAGCGGAGCTGAAATGCTTTCTCGCTTCTTTTTTTCCACACGGTGTTTGTGCTTCTAATCCTCAGTACCACAGTGCTGACCACTGTCTTTATTGTTTGTTTTTGTTTTTTTTCCAAGACAGCTTATTTTCCGAGTAACAGGTCAATATTAAAACTCATTTTAGCTCCATTGTTTTCAAGCATATGAAAAACAGATGACCTGCAGGTGGCTGTGGGGGAGTTATGTTGTGATAACATGTTAAAAAACGAAGACAAAAGGCTCATTCAGTCGATGGTTACTTTTCTAAAATTGACAACGGCCTCATTCAGCTTGCTATTAAATGTGATGTAACTAAGTGTCCAGCAGGGGGCAGCTTCAATCTGGTGCTTAAGATTGTCAGTTGCATAGCTATGTTTGAAGTATCCCAAAATAAAAGGTTAGCAATGATGCTTATTTTTGCAAACTTAAGCCTCTAGTATCATATTGTAAAGTTACAATTTGATTTGATATAATTTTAGTACATTATTAGCCGTAAAATGTAACAGCAACACTCGGACAGCAGGGGGCAGTAACAGTCCGTATTTGTAAGATATGTTGCTTTGCAGAGTTTTTATCGGATTAAACCAAATAACTAATAAAATAGAGGATTTAAATTGTTTTTGGAACAAAGAGTGAAGGCTTTTAATTGTGTTGTGTTGTAAATTTATAAAGTTATTTTAGCGCTCACCTTGTACAGATATAAGCAAGGACAAGGCGAGCGCTAAAATAACTCTCGTTGATGTAGCCATCTTGTTTCCGCCTCTGATTCTGCTTTTTTCCCCGACTTGGTAACTGAAACGCTGGTAACTCGGGTGTGACGTCATTCCCAGCTCTGACATCTGACTTCCGAGGTAGCTCGAATGCAGCATAAATAGGCTTGGGATTGTTTTGGTCGTAACATGCTATGACAATACTGACCAGCAGGAGGCAGCTGCAGTTGGTATTTGTCGGGATGCAAGCTTAACTTGTTTTTATTTTACATCTAAAACAAATAAAATCAATATAATATTTATTCTTCTGTTTTTATATGATTATGTTGTACATTGAATGATAAAGTTTTACAGTACATGTACCTTAAAATGCACAGTCAACACTGGCCAGCAGGGGGCAGCTCCAATCTGTATTTAGGCATAATTTTATTTAAACAGATCCAGATATCAGAAATAATACCTGGAGTATTTATTCTTTGTGCAACAAGTAAATGTTTTCGTAAAAGCACATCATGGGTTAGATTTTTGAAAACACAGACAGCAGTGAGCAGCTAAAATTGGTGTTTTTTTCACCCATTTTAAAATCACCCCAAACAAAAAATATGAAGCTTTTCTAAAATGACACAGATTGAGCAATTTCTGAAGTTGCATATTTTTATTTATTTATTTATTTTTTTAGGGATATGAAGGGTTTAAAGGTATGAGAAACAGCAAAATAAGATTTAAAAGCAGATGTAGGTACCCCATTTTTCCTTTGACAGATTGAGCCTCGAAGACTCTAACAGACAGACTAATTTCTATAGCAGGGTTTAAAGGGTTTTAGTGCTGTTTATTTTTCTCTAATGGTAATAAATAAAGTCTTCAAGCGCTAAAGCTGTGATCATTCAAAAAATAACCCTAAAAACAACCTTTTAGAGGGTTTTAAACACATCATAGAAAGAGTTGAGTCTCCATACTCGTGTAGTCAGCGTGGCTAACCTCAACATCCCGTCATAGTGGATTCTGAGCCTCCTAAACCCCCCAAAAATGGACCAAAGGTTGTGTCATGTGGGATTATTCTCAGCTCACAAAAAAGGGAAAAGAGAGCAAAAATGTGAATGTCATTTCAAAAGTAGGTTGAGCGAGTCAAAAATAGCTTCAAAGGCCTCCGACTTGAGAACAAAATCCCAAGAGTAAGTCTTCTGAGGTAAGAAAAAAAAAGGAGATTTGATGAAGGTTTTTGCACATTACAACATACCTGCTGCTCGCTCGGCAGCGTTTTATTCATGTACTGTATCAGTTTACAAGAGAAAAGCAACAATGGCAGGGTATTTATTTAAGTCAAAGGAGGTAAATTGTGTGTTTGTTGTTGTTTTGACTCAGTGTCAAGCCTGTAGAAGATGTTATTTTTGTATTTTTGATCGAAAAAAAGGTTAATTTCCCCTTTTTATTGTGTGAACATTTACGCAAACTCAAATAATTGCTTTTAACATTACCAGACTTAAAATGTTCAAAAGAAATAATTAACCTTCCTAGAAATATATATATAAATTAAAATTATTTGGCGTTAATTGATGAATTTAATTGATTTATGGCTTTATTTTGCTGAAAAACTTCCCATCATATCGTCCAAGTGAAAAAAAAAAAAAACTCTGCTGTTGCGATGTGGTTTTGTAGGAACAAGGATCAGCATGTGCGTCCTTCGTTTTGTCTCTCAAAGTCCATGGCTTACAGAGTATTTGGCCACCAGCTGCCTTGCGCGTAAACCTGCCTCACACCAGAGCAAAGGGGGGTAAAGGGAGCATCGCAGAGCGCTGCCATCCCTGCCCATCCGCTCGACCACCTGTTTGACTTTCTGCCCTCTGGATCAGGGTTCCAGGGAAGCAGAGCTGGTGATGCTTTACGGAGTGAGGATTTAAAAAAATAACAGAAGTGTAATCCCTCTGCTGTAGTTAAACACTGAATGACATGAGAAGAGGTATTAAGGGATGGAAGCGTGATCAGTTGTTCTTGCAAGGCCATAAAAAAAATAGTCAAGAGTCAAAGCGTATACTCTTTAAGAAGACCTGAACCTGTGAAGTGTTAAGTTACGTTCCACTACTGTATCCCTGTATACCTGACCTGCCTGTTTCTTAAAGGGATATTCTGGTGTAAAATTAATTTAGAGTCAAACACACCCGAACACCAAGTTAGACACCCCCTTGAGAGATTCATGTTGCTGACCACTTGCTTTTCTAGTTAAACCAACTTTAGTTACATCCACACAATAGCAATACTCAGCGGTCTGAGGAGCCATAAACAAACCTCAACCAAAACGCCACTCTATAGCCACAAATAATGCTCAGAACAGCACCTAACTTCATCAACAGTACATATAGGGTCCTCGCCACAGTACTAGCCACCAAACATCTTTTTAACTTTGCCTAATTTCTTGAGCAAAGAGACTTAACACAACTCACCTACTCTCTTCCAGCAGCCGCTAGCTTGTTGCGAGACCTTTGGCCAATCCATTACAGACTGTTCTTTCTTGAGCTGTGTCACCCCACTGCAGTACGTAATGGACTAGCCCAGTGGTTCTCAAGTCCAGTCCTCGAGCCCCCCGTCCTGCATGTTTTGGATGTTTTCCTGCTCCAACACACCTGATTCAAATGATCAGCTCGTTATTAAGCCATTTCAGAGCTTGATAACGAGCTGATCATTTGAATCAGGTGTGTTGGAGCAGGGAAACATTTAAAACATGCAGGACGGGGGGCTCGAGGACTGGACTTGAGAACCACTGGACTAGCCCAAGGTATTGCTACAAACAAGCGGCTGCTGGAAGAGAGTAGGTGAGTTGTGTTTAGTCTCTTTGCTAAAGTAATTAGGCAAAGTTAAAACCATGTTTGGTGTCTCGTACTGTGGCTGGGACCCTTTATGTACTGTCGATGAAGTTAGGTGCTGTTCTGAGCATTATTTGTGGCTATAGAGTGGCGTTTTGGTTGAGCGTGTGGCTCCTCAGACGGCTGTGTATTGCTATTGTGCGGATGTAACTAAAGTTGGTATAACTAGAGAAGCAAGCGGTCTGCAACACGAACCCCTCAAGGGGGCGTTTAACTCGATGTTATGGTGTGTTTGACCCTAAATCTATTTTACGCCGGAATATCTCTTTAATAAAAGTACCCCAACAATGCCAAAAGGACAGACTTTTATTGTCAAGAATAGGCAAGAAAATCAAAGCCTGATTCACCGCTGCATTCAAACTTATTTTCACATGAGCTTTTTTCTTTATTCCTTTTTTTGTTGCTTCTTATACCAGACACTACAAACCGTTTCCTACTCCTCCGGTCAGCCCTTACTCAAGCTAGTTAAACTTTTACCCATTCACACCCTTAATAAAGCTTACAATGCTGTTTGTTTGTGACTTAAGTGTAGCCTAAGTGCATTGCAGAAGTATTCTTTGAATGAAGGATAATGGAGGGTCCAAAGCTACATAGAAATATGTTAAACAAGATAGAAAAGGATGTTTTATATAATAAAAGGTATAAGGGTTTTATCTGGATCTGTTTGCTTTCATTAGCCACGGAAATCTCAGTAATACAGAGGGGAAGTAAGCCGACTATAACAGCCATCAGTCTTGAAGCTTCGTCTAAGAAAATATTTGAAATATGAAGGTAAACTCTGATGAGATTATCTGCAGAACGGACACAGGATCGTGGTTTCACGCTCATTAGCGCTAAAACCTGAAGTTCACTGAGCAGCTAATGCACTCCTTTGATCAGACCTTTTACAGTCTGCTCCCGCTTTCCTGTTATCCTGCGATTCCAAGCACTCAGCAGTATCAGCGCTATCTGCATCCCCCACCTGCTCCAGTCTGAGCGTCTGCGGGGCCAGTTGTTCCGTTTGGGTCAGCTACTTCCACTGCAGCGGTCCACACAGACATCAACTCCCCCAGTGTTTGAAAGCTTTATGCTTCTTTATTGCTTAATTAGTTCGCTACTGCTGAGTTAGGTCAGATGGTTATTGCACGTGAAAATGTTGAATATACATAAATCTGACCCTCAGGAATTGGGGAAGAAAAAAGTTTGAGACTTTGTTTGTTTTTGGCCTTGAACGAAGAGCACAAGGGGACTTTTTTCTTCTTTATCTTCTTACAAGAGAAAGTTGCAGAATTAATTTTGTTTATTAATCAAACTCCTTGGGAACTCGGATCTTGGTGGCCCTTTTCGCAATAAAATATTGGGCTCTGGGAACTCCCTAAGTAGGCCTTAATTGAGAGTAGTGATATACTAATATTTACATTAATGCAAAACAATTACATTAAAGGCTCTGCTCTGATTGGCTCAGCAGTGGAGGTTCGGATTTCGGTTTATCCATTTTGCTAATGTGTGCAAAAGTAAGGTGACCAGATGTCTGTAATGAATTAGGGGACATTCGGTGCGGCAGCAGGGAGGGTGCAGGGGCTGCAGGGGCTGTGTGATCACAGACAACATCTTGGTACTATTTAGTAGCAGCGCATGCCCCTTGTAATAACCCCCTTAAAGACTGTTGTTCAGGACTGCTAACTTGTGCTTCCTACCTATTCGGCTACTGTAATAACCGTTGTTCGAGCCCACACGCAACATTTTTGTTCTCATTCATGAAACGCTTAAATCAAGGACATTTTTGGGGACAGGTCATCCAATTCGGCGACTGTCCCTGGAAATCGGGGATGTCTGGTCACCTTATGCTAAAGGCTAAAAATGGCAGGAATTAAACCACATATTTTTGACCCCGAGTCCAAATAGGAGGTGGAAGTTGAGGAAGAAGCCGGAGATCTCCAGCGGTGTTTTCTCATTCATTCTGCTCGGCTTTAAGTTCATTTTCCCGGCAGTGAATCCAAGGAAACACCGGTCGTTTGGAAGAGACCCATAGCGGGTACAGTGGTAGCTGGGTCTCGCTCTGGCTGGAGAGTGATGATAACTGTGACTGGGTACGAGAACGAGAGAGTGGGCGCGGCTCAAAGAGGACGCGCTAGTGAATAATAATGAGCAAGGTCAGCTTGACGTCAGAAGGACCTGCTTTTTCAATTGGCCTGGTTTACCCGTTCTTTTATTTTAAACCTTTACAGAATGCAAACGACGTAACGGTTTGTTTTCACATCTACAACATAAGACAAACATAATATGGACTTAATCTGACACACAAACATGCAAAAATTACATTTTTGATGGCAGGTCCTCTTTAAAGTATGGTATCTTAAGCACCACCTAAAGCCGAATCACCCACATTAAGATCGCCATTTTCTCGTCGTTTTGTAGGCTGCTGTATGAGACTCAACCGTAAAATCAAAGGCGTATTAATACTTTTTTTTTTTTTTTTTTTTAAGTCTTATTTCTGGAGGCTTTTAACCCCCCAGGCATGCTCTCACTTAAGCAACACTGAAGGTGACAAGCGCACACATCAAAAACATGAAACACCGTTACCTTCTCTCCTGGATGTCCTTCCTTTAAAGTACCACCTCCAGAGACTCGGTGAACTCTTGAACAGGAGGCTTTTGAGATTTTAATGGTTTCTAACCGTTTACAAAAAAAATAAAACACTCCTACTCAACGGATGTCAATGAACGGCCTTCTAGGTGTGCACGGTCCCTCGGTTCTCACTTTGAGGAGGTGATGACAGCCTGTTACGCCACAGGGTTGCTTTCTGCTGGCGCGGCCTCTTGATTACACTAAAGGTTTAAAAAGAAGTCCCTGAGAGGTGAGAGCTGCGCGTCTAGTTAGATAAAGTGGTTTTGAGGGAAGAAAGCTGTAGGTCGACTAGACGCGTTTGTCGAATTTCATGTTGAGGGTTGAGTGGAAGGGGCGTTAAAAAGTGGTGAAGTGATTCAATTGAAAAACTTTTGATTTCTCAAACCAACTATTTCTGACTCCTTCGATAATTTGTATCTAAAAGCAGCATATGTATCTCGTAATTAACATTTTGAAGTCCGTCAGATCGTATCATCAAGATGTTTATTTAACAAAAGCCACTCAGGTTGTATTATATTAAGATGAAAAGGAAGAAGAATGAGGCATCAGGTTTTTTTCCTTCTCTTCTTTCCCAGGTGTAATCATTTCCTTTGTAAGTCTGATCAATCGGAAGCTTTGTACTTTTTTTTCATTTGTCAGAAAGAGGATGTAAGAGTGTGCTAATAACTGCGGTTTGTTTTCAGCTGTCCTTGTCTATCTCTGTGATCGTTTCCAGTCAAGTCTAATTATTGTAATCACTCAGGTTTTCAAAAACAACTCAAAATGAATTAGCTGTCGCAACCCACAGCATGTAAATAATGCATCTATTTTATAATTATTTAGATTCAAACCGTATATACATGTTGTTAAAGCTTCAACGATGAGTCAGTTGTTGGTGAGGGAGCTTTTTCTTTGATTTTCTTGTCATGAGAGGAATCTATGGCAAAGTTGATCATGAGGACATGAAAATTTCCAAGAATATACTTACTCTAACTCTCCAAGCATCGCAAAATTCCAAATCATACATTTGTTTTTGTCTTATTCCCAGTAAAAAGTGTCTCATTAGGCTGAAGTAATCATCTATCACAACAGCTTTTTGTCTTTAGGGGACACTGTCGCTAAACACTGCGTATTGCTAAATACTCTAATTTCTGTGCACTGTACCTTTAAGAAGACTCGATAAATAACTTGTCGGAGCCATTCCAGGTAAACTAGCTTAAGAAATTGTACAAAACATGACTTTTAGTTCCCTAACTATTTTTTCCACTGTCATCAAAATCAAGTTTTTTGTTCTTGTTTTTAAAGATATGCTATTTAGCGAGGAGCTAGTATTGTCAAAGTTGTTTTAGTATTGTTGAGGCCAGAGGTGTGATCAAAGGTGAGGTTGTCTGAATAATTCTGATCATAATACTGTTTTCTTGTTGGTACATTTGCATGAAAATTAGGCCCCCTTGTGGAATTTATTTCTGAGCTGGGCCACCCCAGCCAAAACTCCTAGATACGCCCCTGTCGGAATCTGAAGACAGCTGATCTTATGAAAGCTACGATAATGACAGTTAAGGATTGATTATCTTTTAATAACTCAGACTGACCTTGAATTATAATTGTATTCAGTAGTTTGGATCCATGTCCATGTCTACTGTGGTAGAAGGGAAATAAGTGGGTAGATTAACCCCCAATGGGAATATTTCAAAATGCCTTTTTACTAGGTGCAACCTTGCTAGAAGTAATACTTTCCTATTATCTCATTCATTTTGTAGATATTTCTTTCTTTTATGAAAAAAAAAAAAAAAAAATCCCCAAGGAAACCCGTACTGCGTGATGTACTTAAGGCCTCCTCGCTCGTGTCTTTATGAAGGCATGGGAAAGTACTTTCACAAAATCCTTCATCAAAACTACATTTCATACCCTCCAAACTTGTGGAGGGGATTAAATGTCCTCATTTCTTTTCTACTCTCGCACTCATTGAAAGTCGATCTGGATAAAAGTGTCAGCCAAATTCCTAAATGTAATATTAATGTGTTCTTTTTCCCCCTCTTTCAAAAAATAAGAAAAGGTTAAAAAAAAAAAAAATCCACGGATGAGCACTGCAGATCCAGTCTGTCATCATCATTTCTCCAGTATTCTTTTATTGGTAAATTAAGTTGGCCAAAGTGACAACTAAGTAAATGATGATTGCAGTTTAATCACGAGCATCAATCTAGCGAGTCAATCATTTAATTCGGCTTTAGCTCAGCTGTATTGGGGAATTAATGCAGCAGGATGGCTGAGGTCATTGGGATTCTGTGCATGGGTCTCACGCAGCCCACTGTGAGCCCCGGCACGGTTCAGCAGACAAACGCATATGTCATGTCATGAGTCTATTTGCCGTGCGGTGCTGGAAAGGCCATAAAAATAACCTTTAAGGAAGAAATTTAAGAGCCATCATTCTCAAAGACGAAAAATAGAATGAGAAACCTCAGTCGCCTTAATTCTGTTAGCCGATTCATGAAATATAAAAGACCTCAATGTCACACACAAGGTGACGCAGCTTTTCATTTTCCCACTGACACATTTCAGAATATAAACATAGTAAAAGTTTTACTCTTTTACAGCATGTTGAAGTGTGGCAGTGGGGTTTAGCATTGTCTTGCTGAAATTTGCAAGGCATTCCCTTATGAAGGTTGCTATTCCAAGCAAGCAACATTGGTGCCATACGAGGACTGGGACGATACGCTTTTCTCCCGATTCGATTCCTCTACGATTTTTGGATGCCGATTTGATTTAAATTCTACGATATTGTCGATTTTCTCGATTTTTAGTCGGCATTTTTAACACCAGTGAAACAGTTGAATGATTATGATTGTCTACTGACTATTCCAGGAACCATATTTCGCCCAAAATACACATCACATGTAAGTCAGTTTTTAAGATTTAATCTAAAAAAAAAAGCGATTTTTTTAGCATTAAAATTTATATAAAAATTGTGAAACAAAAAAATCACAATACCTATGTAAATTGATTTTTTCTCCCACTTCGATGCCTTACCTAAAGTAAAGGCTACCGAATGCCATTGACACACAAGCATCCTAAACCATCACATATGCTAGCCCGAGAACTGTGCGCTAGGAAGTCCCAATCCTCCTCAGAGCAGAAGATGGAGAGTCCAAGATTTCTAAAATCTTTAACCCCAAACTGCCTCTGGTGGGTTTAAGACAGGTTTGTGAGTAGAATTAGTTGGCATAAATGTGTGAATGTGTGATTGGAAGCCTACTCAGAGATTACCACTACAGAGCCATGTCTATTTTCAATGCAGTGCTGCCTCTCATGGAGTACTGTACAAAACAGGGTAATGGCACCTGTACAACTATGAAGCTACTCTTTTGATTTAAGTTAATTAAGCTTGAATTAACTCCAAATGAAGGTGGCGTGTAGCGAGTTCTAAACAGTGCCAAAAAAAAAAAAAGAGGTTTTTGCCAGAAAGTGCTGAGGGCTATCAAACAGAGAAGACCTGCACCTGGCACATTGTTATTCAAATGGTGGATTTGGCATCAAATTTTGGAGAAAAAAACATCTGCTTGTGAACAAAGTGAAAGTGGACAAGCAGACTCTCAATTTGAGATTGCCTGAGAAGAGACAGTCATGGGGTGGGGGATTTATAAGTTATTCAAATAGATCAATTAGATCTAATAGATTAGAAAGAGCTGAGCCGTAAGGCGAGACTCTCGAGTTACCGGTCGATCTACGTGCCGATCCTCACGTATGGTCATGAACCTTGGGTAATGACCGAAAGAACAAGATCGCGGATACAAGTGGCCCCTCCCCACGAACATGTGCGTCTGAAAAGCCAAGGGACATTATGACACAGCAAATCTACCCAGCTGTTTGAATTGAAAAAAGTGAGGAAATGCATGGGGAGAATTGCCTTCAGCAGAAAAGGAAATCAAAGTCAGCCCATGATGACACCAAGGCCAAAGATAAAACTGTGTCTAATGTATGCTGACATGTGTGGTGCATGACAGAAACAAGGCGGTGAACCTGCAACCAGAACTTGCACCAGATGGCTAAATTCAAAGCCTCACAGCTCTAAGTGTGTGGCAACAGGCTGCCGCGGTGGGCGGTTGATATTTTTGCTTCAAGAACATGCGATGGTAATCAGCGGGGTCCGGTTTAAAGCCATAAATGCAGAGAGGGTGGCTTCCCTGCTGCTTCCACATTATGAAATCCAGCATGTGGTGGAGGAAACAGAACAGTGATTTACCTGCTTACATTCCCCTTCATTAAACCTGAGAAAAGTGATTTGCAATTGGAAATTCCCCAGTCTGCTACAAAAGAAGCTGCTTTCAAGATGCAGCCTTCGTCATTTTGCGGAGGAGTGGGAACAAACAATTGCCCTGGCGCCACCTCTTTAAACGGCTCTCTGTTGCACGACAAGCAGGTTGGTGTTGAAATCAATAAGAAGATTAAAATCATTGTTTTTTTTTTCCCCCTCCTTTTTTTTTTTTTTTTGTCACCCACACTTGCGCTTAAGCATGACTCACTGAGGGTGTGAGTGTGTGTGTGTGAAGTTCTCTGTGTGACTGAGTAAAACATGAATCGCACTGTCAGGAGCTGGATTTGTGTTTATTTGCACAGCAGGTCGTCTGTTTGACTATTTGTGATCTCAATGTGTGGTTATTGACGTGCGTACAAGACTGATGGCTACTCCTGCTGCTAACGTTCAGCATGACGAGTTATTCTGGATGAGGCTGCAGACATGGAGATGAATCCCTCTGCTTTTACCTACAAACCCTTGAAATAAACAGCTATCTTTGGGAACCATGCGTCAGGTTAGACATTTTCTCAAGCAGAATGTTTTTTTGTAATATTGTAATATTTCAGTTGCATTGTAATTGTCTCCACATACGAAGCACAAGTCGATGCAAAGACGCCATTGGACACTCCTGCAACTCTGGCGGCATAAATGGCGTGTATTAAAAGGTGGGGTAGGGCAGGAATCCCTTAAAGAAGCATCTTTTTCTGTGTGTATTTATTAGTTATTGATGACATTTGGTAATATAGCGATATCGCTGTGTTTTGTTGTCTGTGTAGTCAATATTTTAACATTTTTGAGCGGCATACTCCTTCTGACTGTAAACAAAGCCATTCTCCACCTCCCCCAACCTGATTGGTTGTAAAGAAGACGCTGCTCCCCCATGGCTTACATGAGTCCAAACAGAGTTAGCGTGCTACAATATCGGACAGCAGAAACCAACCAGAAAGTACGAAAAATCGTCCGAATCCTCCTTCGACTGCCAACACAAGCAAGAAAACAAAGTAAATACCCAATACTCTGGTGGAATAACAGGCGCTTAAAAAAGAGGTAGCCCACCCGGACCACGATGGGGAACGCTTCAGGATCTTGCGGACCCTTTATCTTAGTTGTGGAAGTCCTGCAAACATTGTGTTTCCTGGTAGTCTGTTGACATCTACAGTAGCACCAATGCTGTTTACTTTCACATTGACTGGGCCCCATTTGTTATTATCTGAAGTATTTATCTGCGTTATATCTGAATTTAATTAAAATGATACGAGCGAGCAGGAGTGTCTGTTTGTGGGCGGGGCTTGCTGGAGGGGAGAGGAGGAGCTGAGGGGAAAACTGGTTTGGAGGGGTCGTGTTCACATTCAAGATTTCTCCCAAAAACTGGCACTTCCTCAGATCCTGCCTACACCACCTTTGAGTCAATGCAAAGACGCGATTATACGCTCCTACGACTCTGGCAGCGTGAATGACGCGATTGGGCAGGATGTCTCAACTTAGACGGATATTCGCGTCGTGGTAACCAATCAGCACAAAGGTTGCCGGGTGACGTATAGTACCTAAAATGAAGGACAAACTGATTATGTCGGTGTGTGGGTGCCCCAAATTATATGATACCTTTTCTTTCAAACACCAAAACCAGAAGAAAAAGGAGCTCGCCTGAAGTGAGTGAGGAGGCCGGATTACCTGGTAAATTGTAAAAAACTTTGTCTATCACCTGATCCCACCGGTTGAATTGGCAGGGATTATCGTTGAAATTACCATTGATGTGCGTATGCAGCAAGTGAATACTATTCAATCGCGCAAAACCAAAAGATAAGTGTTGTCCACAAGCAAATATTGACTCATGGATGCCATTATGCCTCGTGTCTGCACTTTGACTGTCTCTGATAGGGTCATTGTAATGTCACATTACAATAAAAAAGTGCTGTTAGGAAGAATCTGAAGTCTGAAACAGAAAAAAAAACTTTTTGGATTCCATTTGAGGTGGTTTTAAATCTCTGCTTCTACAAAAATAATTGCAGTTATTTTTGTTTTAAAGTGAAATGTTGAGGTGGATGTGCAGGGTAAATAAGGATAATGGTGTGAGCAAAATCAAGAATGCATTGCATCTTATTTAATTTGACCTCTTTCAAACAGTGCTGGCATTTATCTTGTTTGCAATATCTGTGAAATTTGCAATTATCTTTCTGTTGGCATCTCAAACTAAAGTGCAATAAGTCTTCTGTGTTTATTTTGTGTGAAATATTAGCCTGAAACAAATGTTCAAGCTTATTCAAAAGGTATCTTTGAGTGAGGGAAAAAGAGTTTGCAAACACCGTAGGGATGAGGCCAGACGGAGGATTTTTCCTTTCTATTTTTAAACCCTTGGAAACTGCAACAGGGAAAGGTCAAAAGACCATCCTGCAGTGTAGTCGAGCCAAATTGGATCGTGGAAGCGACACACATGAACACACAGATTCACAAAGAGATACCGTTCACATATATGGGTGAATACCAAAGGGAACACACTGTGGTACACATGCAACATGGGATTATTCCTCTGCCCTGCTTGTAAACAATCGCCGACTTAGATTTGTAGCAACATGGACGAGGTCAGTTACATCTAAAAGCAAAGTAGCTATCTTGTTTCTTTGACCTTATGTGGCGAATGGATTGGCTTTGCATTGTAGGCTATCTTAGTTGACAGGCCTCTAAGGTGGGAGTGGTTTTACACGCGTGCAAATCACTCCTGTCATTACATCACCACAGGAGGCGATAAAAATCACTGTGTAGATACCTTGCAATCTCAGAAACAATGCAGAGGCTTTTTCACTCCCACATTCTCAGGATTGCCAGGCTGGAGGATCACTGAAGTACAAATGTTCAGGCGAGGAAAAATGTGTTTTTTTATCATTGCATGAAATAACCCGAATCACAAGAATCCATAAATCCATTACATATTCAGCCGGTATATCCATTATAGAGAAGTGCAGGTCTTTAAATTGTTGATGCACATCATATCAGCCTGGTTCACAGGGGTTCTTTTGTAAGATAAAGAAGAAAGGATCCAAAACCAACACACCTGGATAACAGAATGATTATACTGCAAATGAAAGGTGCAATCATCCCCAATGCATCTTCAAACACTCAAAGATGACTTAAAGATATAATAAGAAAGAAGGGATCCTACATAAGCAGTTCAAACACCAGAAATCACAGTTAAACAAACCCCCCCTCTCTTGCTCTTATCCCTCCACTCTCAGCCTCTGAGTCAATTTTCCAGCACAACACTGTCTTACCACAGAGAGCTGCCCTGATCGATTCACTCCAGGTCTTTTTTCCGGCCCTGATCCGATATATTTTTATTCTCTCTCTGCAGTAATACCAGGTAAGCGTGCATCCTAAGTGGGATAATATTGTCTCCACTCTTAGGCAATCTTCAATTATTCACAAGCAGATATTGCTTATGTGTGTCTGTAGAGCTCTGAAGACTATGCCACACTGTATTACTCAGCATTTAAAAAAAGGTAAGGATAACATTAAATGCAGATGACTTAACAAGCCGTCTAATGTTGCATCCTCTCTGTGTTAAACAGTAAATTCAGCTACGGATTTTGTTATAGCTGATGATGCCATTTTCTGTTTTGCAGTTACACTCTCACAGCTGTATTTTGACTTGTACATATTCAGTTTCAGAATCACAAAGGTGGGAAGACGTTCAGGAGGAAATTGAAAATTACTTACGATGGCTTTGAGACCAGTAGAATTAGTAAGAAGTCAGGTGGTTCCTCTTCTCTTTTAGTGGAGGTCATGGCTTCCATGATTTTTAAAAAGTATGACAAAACTTAAAAGGGATATTCCGGCGTAAAATTAAGTTAGGGTCAAACACACCATAACACTGAGTTAGACACCCCCTCTAGAGATGAATGTTGCGGACCGCTTGCTTCTCTACTTATACCAACTTAAGTAACGACCGCAGATAGCAAAACAGAGAGCCACGCACTCAACCAAAAAGCCACTCTACAGCCACAAATAATGCTCAGAACAGCGCCTAACTTCATCAACAGTACATATAGGATCCCAGCCATGGCACTATAGCCGCCAAACATCTTTTTAACTTTGCCTGATTTCTTTAGCAAAGAGACTAAATACAACTCACCCACTCTCTTCCAGCAGCCGCTTGTTTGTACAGAGACCTTGGGGCGAGTCCATCGACTGCAGCGGGGTGACACAGCTCAAGGAAGAACATTTATGATCATTTCTTTATCATTTCGTTGAAGTAATAATCACCATATTAACCATTTTGCCATGCAGATGTGGTAGTTCTTCTCCCTTAGCATCTCGGTCTGATCACATTTCAAGGAAGAAATGGTCATAAATGTTCTTCCTTGAGCTGCGTCACCCCACTGCAAGCATTGGACTCGCCTGAGGTCTTGCTACAAACAAGCGGCTGCTGGAAGAGAAAAAGTGAGTTGTGTTTAGTCTCTTTGCTGAAGAAATTAGTCAAACTTAAAAAGATGTTTGGTGGCTAGTACTATGGCTAGGACCCTATATGTACTGTTGATGAAGTTAGGTGCTGTTCTGAGCATTATTTGTGGCTATAGAGTGGCTTTTTGGTTGAGGTTGTGGCTCTCTGGACTTCTATATGCGGTCGTTCCTGAAGTTGGTATAACTAGAGAAGCAAGCGGTCCGCAACATTCATCTCTCGATGAGGTGTCTAACTTGGTGTTATGTTGTGTTTGAACCTAACTTAATTTTACGCTGGAATATCCCTTTAAATTTTGTCATTATTCTTGGAAATGATGGAAGCCATGACCTCCACTAAAAGAGCAGAGGAACCACCTGGCTTCTTACCATTTCTACCGGTCCAAAAGCCATTGTCTACAATGGTATGTCGATGTACAGGTCTCAGAGCATTATCATACTAACAACTAGACAATGTTTTGTTTGGACCTTGCCTATTGTAGCAGAGCAATACTTCACCACATTCTGCTTATATTCCAACACCATGGCGCTATTGTAGAGTAGTCCAGGTGCAGTCCTGATCTATCAAGTATTTGTCAATTCATGCTGAAAAAAAGTGCATGATTTGTGAACCACCAAAATCTATCCTTATTCACATACTTATCTTACATTACACATGTTGAAGCATCTTCCTTGTTGTACATAATGTCACACACATGTTCATTTCACGGAGTATGGACAGTGCATCACACATCATTTAGAAATAGAACGGGTTGTCATCTGTATAATGTGTGAATTTCACCAGTCTTAATTTGTAATTAAACTGGTTTTCCATCCTTCCTGTCACTATACATTGACCTGTACCTGTTCAAGTTTTCATTTAAGACTCTCCATCTAATCATTGTGTAATTCTGGCACAGAGTAATTCCTGATGGCCCCTGTCACTTCACATTAAAGCCCTGACGTGTTGACCTGGAGCTGAACCAAACAGCAAAGGGTTAAGTTTAGAAGGGATGCGCCATTGGAAAAATTCAATGCAAATTTGCTTCAGCTTTCAGAATGGAAGCTGTCACAGTCAGTCAGTGTCATAATTTAGTGGAAGTCACTGCCCTGGCTGTTGTCACATTTCACTCTCTATAGACTATGCACACAGTTCTTTACCTTTAAGTCCTGAGTGGCTTTTTTCGCCGTGTCTAATTGCCCAAAGAATGTATTTTGTCATCAATGTTGGCTGCATTTTACTTCTTTTTCTGCAACTGCATTTCACTGTCCTCCTTTTGCATATTCCGTCGACAATATTTTCCCAGCCCAGCTTCCACCAAGGGCAAATTTTTAATTAGACACAAGCGCATTGCTGCCGCCGCCACCGTCAGCTACGAAAACAAACACTGACTTCTTTTATATCCCCCCTCTTCCTCTTTTCATCCTTATCAGAAATCTCCCCTCAATCATTCTATCCACACTTTCCCCTCTAACATCGCCTCTTCAGTCAAGCATGATCTCCCCTCTATGGCGAGAGAGGGAGAAAGCAACGCAGGGAGGGGAGGAGGGATGTAGAAAGAGAGATAGTAGGAGAAAAAAAAAGAGAGAGAGATCCAAGAGGCCCTTGCCGCCTTTCATTTCCGCTGCTTGGCTATGCAGCTCTGCCCCGCTTCCACGGTTCTGGCAAACTCGGCTCCTTCCCCTTGAGAGGCCCATCTAGTCCACAATCTAAGGCCTTGTAATGCAGTCCCCGGCCCACAATGATAGATCACACTACATGTGGGATGGTATTGTCTGCCTCGCTGATAAGCCAGAGCAGTCGGGGAGTATATGAGCAAAGCCACAGTGTGTGTATGTGTGTGTGTTTGCGCATCAGCCTGCACGATTGCAGGCTGGTGTTGTTACATTAGCATCCCTGTGTGTGTGTTTATTCTGCATGCCGTGAGAATGCACGTGTATGTGTGAGATCTCTCTCTTCCCTCTGCCCACAAAGGGGACCCAAATCCAGGCCCTTCTTGTATTGTGTTGTGATTCTCTTGGAGGGTTTGATGTTACCCAGAGTGGTGAGTCACTCCACGTGGAGACCTGGCCCTGCATCACAAAACAAAACAAAAAATAAAAAGGATTGGGGAAAAAAAAAATGTGAATGTTTCCGTGAGAGAGGGACCATGACTCAGGATAAAAATCGACTAAAATATCCTCTAAAAGTAACCGTGCATGCAAATGTGCACACGCTCCGAATCCTTTTATCTGTCACTCATTTGCATGTGTGCATGATTGTGTGCAAGACAAAGAGAACGAAATGAGAGAAAGCGGGAATGAGTCCTATTTTTTTTTTCCTGTTTTTTATTATTTTGTTTGACATGATGTACCTCACCATCTGTCTCTAAACAGATGCATCCTGTGCGGCCTTGGACTGATGCGTCTTCATGGTAATTCGGCGTTTGCCAGAGCTTTTTCGCTTAAAGGGACAAAATGAAAGGTTAACAGACTGTGTTTGGTGATGCAACATTAGATGCACAAACAGAAAACTTTTTAGACCGCACTTTGAAGGAGAGCATATGCGCCTATAGCGGATAGCAATGTCCTATTTAGTCAAATAACAGCTCCATCTTTAATATGTGGAAATATTAAGCTTGCAGTTGAGTTGTGGAGCCACCAGGGGCAGTGTAGGACAACTTTCTCTGTTTTAACCATAGACTGGTTTGTGCTCAAGTCCTCTTTTTTTCTGTACAGCTCCGTTTTTAAAAGTTATAAGGGGGTTCATGTTTTCTATGATTGACACTTGATATAGCCTTTGGGCGTACGAAGATAGCGTTGCTCGCCCAGGGGATACGCTGTTCGAGCTGCGCATCATCACACAACTCTCCGAATGCGCACACTGCTACTGTGCAATGTTGGTTTCAGGAAGTGGAGAAAAAAACGCAGAATTACCGAGATCTTTCTTGGCTCAAATCCATATACTGGCGGAAGGCGGAACCAAGTTGTCCATAGTATAAACAGTCTATGGTTTTAACCTTTATATTCATCTTTTCTAACGTTCCCAAACTTTGGAAAGTTTGCAATCTAATGAAATTCTAGGATAAACCTTGAATGTGATCTGCACATTTTTTGCCCTGAACAGAAATGCAATAATAAACTGGACTTACATCAAATATGAATTTCCATCTGCATAAACATATGAATCTGCCAAGCAATGCATTAAGTTTAAAATGTGATTTTGAAATTAATTTTTCTGCAGCTGTGTAGCTCTTTCCAGTTACCATCTGTTTACCCTGAGCGACAAGTTGTGCAGTTTCAGGTCCACTAAATTTAAAAATGCATATTATACAGAATTATTATTCAACTCATTTGGGGGGGGTACAAAAAGCTGTTTTCTCTTTCTCTTCATATAAATAGTACACATTCAGAGACTTTTCCTCTTTAACACATCAGATTTAGCATACCCAGCAGACTCAAAGACCTCTGAAACTTGGGTTGTGTTCGTGTTTCCAATATTGTCAGCATCTAGAGCTGGGCAATTAACTGAATTTCGATTTTGATATGCCAGACTGAACAGTATGCAGCTACAGGTGGAGAGAGGAGAGCAGGGAGAGGAGCAGGAAGAAGCATGTTTAATTAAAAGGCATGGTTGACGATTGGAGAGATTGGTCATTATTATGAACCTCGTTTATATGGCGATCATGGTCCTATAGTGCGATCTCCACAAAGTGAAGAGGAAAAAAATGTAAAAAATCTGTTCACCTTAGCAGGTGCAGGGCTGCAAAAACATTGACCAACGGGAGCCATCCGTCCTGTACAGCTCCTATTGGTCAATCTCCTGCTCTGCCTCTCCATCCAATCACCTCGCTGTATTCGACACACCCCTCTCCCGTAGTTCAGACTCGTCCCCTCCCACTCTCCCGGTGCTCCTCAGAGCTCTGAGCAGCTAAAAATAGCGTAGCAGCTTAGCTACAGGAGCTGTGATGGAGAAGGACGCAAAAAATACAAAAAAAAAAAAACACTTTTGCTTGCCCTACCGCCAAAAGTGAGAAGAAAACGCAAGCCAACAAAAGAAAGGGCAGAATTGAAGAGGAAATGTGACCAAGCGAGGAATCTAACTGGAATAAACATCGGGTCATCCTACGAGCGGTGGAGAAAGCTCTGCCAGAATTTGGGCCTGAAAACAGACGCAGAGACAGCAGAGTTTTTGTTAAGCAGGTAATTTTTGCCTTTTATTGTGGCACATGTTACCTAAATAACTCTTATTAATCTCTGTAATGTCAACACGGTAGCTGTCCAGGCAGCTGCAGACGGTGTTCGCTAGCAGAGCTGGCGTTTACTACCGCAAGTCACTAGCAATCCGATATGGTGAATCCTATTTGAAGCTAGCGTAGGATCTTCTGGCATCTTGCTCTGCCAGAGGGGGTGTGTCGTGTATCAGATTTTTCAAATCTGCCTCAACAGCTCAGTTTTTTCAACTGCTACTCAGATCGGCAACACTGCCTTTGATAATGATATCATAACAGTCAGACTGATTGTGATTATGGTTTTTGCTGTAATCGAGAAGCCCTACAACAATCAGTATCTGGTCATGGCGGTATGTCTGTGGCAGTTTTGAAGGACATCTTGGCCTATGTGGGTCACGCATTTGTTCCTGTTGAACATTTTTGAACACTGACAGGATCCTCCTCCTTTGAAAAAAATAGGTGAATTTGAAATGTGACATTCAGAAGGTTTTAAGCCGGGAATAAAAAATGCACTGATGTCTGTTCTCACCCACACAGCACACTATCCCAGTCAGGCGAAGGGAAATAAAACCCTCCTTTATTATCACAGCCTCCGTTTGTGTGTCAGGTTCCTGCATGATCAGCCTCCTGTATGCATCTCCGTCGTGCATGTTCACGCGCTACCTTGAATACGAATCTGCTCTGTGTTGTTTGCCTTGTGCGGGGAACAAGGATGGAGTGCTGATTGTTTGGGCCTGTCGGTGTATGTGTGTGATGCTTTTACGACAGCTTCCTTCCTGCCTCCTCTGGGTGCCTGCGAGACTAGTTGGTCTGAAGGAAACCTGACAGCCTAAATCACGCTGAAGAGCCAGAAACAGATGTTAATTAGCTTTAATTTGCCTTTTGTTGTTCCGCTGCCAAGGCTGCACTAAAGTCTCCTCTCTGTATTTTACTGCACTCTGTTAAATGTTGCACTGTAGCTCACATGCTTGTATTTTAAAAACCACCACCAAATAACACAGACGTTTCAAGCAGGATTTGAATTTTTAGATAGATTTCAAAAGAGTGGTTTTGTTTCCAAAGTTTAGCTGGCAGGTTGAAATTTCACACTTTAGAAAGCAAATACATGACTCATTTTAGTTTCTTACTATATTAAGCTCAAAAGCAGCTTTACTCGATTTGAAAGGAGAAACATTCAGACTGCATTTTGAATAGTACCCACATTTGAATAGTGAACAGTATGACATATTATTCAAAGAATCAGAGAAAACAGACACGACTCTGTAGTGGGAGTCCCTGCATGGGCTGAAATCACTTCCAAAAGCCAATGCATCATGCAAAGAGGAAATATGATCCAGGAAATTAAAAAAAAAAAGTTCATTTGGGAATCGGAAACCAGTTCCATGAGAGAACTCTCTCCAACAAGCTCCAGCCATCATTTGCTTTTAAGGTTCAATTGCCAATGCCTTCAAGAGCGCTCCAGGGTGGCTCCAGAAATAGGACTGTACAACATTCCCACTTACTGTAAAATCCACTCTCCACTTAAGCTGCACGGTGATAAACTCTGTCTTTGTCCAAGAGGGACTTATCTACTTAAAAAGGAGATCAGTGTATTTTCAGACTATCCAGGTCTAATCTCCCTAATAAAGGTAATTTTGACCTATTTGTGCATACATTTAAACAGAAAAGTATTGAGTATTTTGTTTGCTGACCATGCTAGAGGGAAGCTAGCATCTTTGTTTGGGTGTATTGACCAATTAGAAGCTGTATTTGCAATCAATTGACCTGGGAAAATTCAGAAAGCGGGCTTCGCGTCTTATCTGAGCAATTAAATTACAAAAAAAGTAATAGTTATTTTGAACCTGTAGAGGCCACCATATCCATTCCCATCCTTGTTTAAAGATAGGAACTTATGAAACATTCTATTTGGAAATCCTGTACGCAAGATCCTCTGATTTAAAGAAAAGTGTCTGTGATGGCTCAGGGAAGCACTAATGCCAGTTCCTTTTCCCAGAAAAGGTAAATCAAAGTGAAGTAGAAACCGGTTACATAATCTGTCAGATCAAAATATAATACTCTTTTTGGAAATCATGGACACAGAATCTTCTGATTTAAAGAAAAGTGTCCGTGATGGCTCAGGGAAGCACTAGTGCCAGTTCCTAGTCCCATAAAAGATAAATCAAAGTGAAGTAGAAACCTGTTTCATGATCTAACAGATTAAAATACAACACTCTTTTTGGAAATCATGGACACAGCGCTTTTTGCTCTAAAGAGAAGGGACCACCAATTCATATTGTTCCACAGACAAAAAGCCAGTGTACCCTGGTGGTATTGGGAATCATATGGGAAAATCTTGTGGTCTGATGAATCAAAATTTTGCATTCTTTTTGGAGAACATGGATACCACAATCTTTGAAACTAAAGTTGAATGATAGCCTCTTTAGCTTGTTTAACAGGCTATTGTGCATGACTCCACAAAACTCCATTGCGATAATGGCAGGATAAAGGGTTGACTGCATTGACCTTCATTCTCATTGATATAAAATCTAACCAGAAGAGCGTGACTCAGCGTCTGTTCATGCATCTTGTGGTATTTCAATTTCCCGACTATGCTGTAAAGCTATGTGTTATGTTATGGGAGTGTTTGAATCCATCTGTATTAAGGCACTAAACAATGTCAAGGACAGCTGTAGAGTCAGACTGTTCGTGGGTTTAACAAGGCTGACATAAAGCCACAGTGTGGAAGAATCTTTGAATGAACTGAACCACTTCACAACAAGGACAAAGAAGAAAAACCAATACATGTGATTCTAAGTGGCCAGGATACACTGCATCATTGCATGTTTGTAATATATGTAACTGCCCCGACGCCCGTGAGTGATTATCTCCGGACAATTTTACATATGAATCACCAGATCAATATTTGGAGTCAAACAAGACCCTTTACACGATTTAGGGGCCTTGCTTCTAAGCCATGTCTGCTGTATTTGAAGCATTCCTGTGCTAATTTGTCGGAAGGTTACCCCGGTGACCTTGCCGCTAATTCAATCTCAGACGGCTATCATATTTCAATCAACGTGTATCGGCAAAGTGGGGATAATGAGGAGTGGTAACTGGATTAGTGTTGATACACTGATGGGGGAGATTGGACATGTGGCAGGCCAGTAAATCCATCCATTTTGGTTATTAGAGTGGAATATGCAGCAACATGATCTAAGGTTTGTTTGGAGATAACAAAGTGGAAAGTTGTCAGAGTTCACATCTTGGTCTCACCGGTTTTTGATTTTCCCTTTGTTTGATTCTGTCCTAAATGCTTGCTTGTTGTGGTCTTCAGTTGTTGTTGTTGTTTTTAATTTATTTATGAGTCCTCGGAGTGACAATTATAAATTACACTCTCATGTTTACATGCATGAGAAAGCACAGTTGCACTCTCTAAAATCCACTAAATCTGATGTGTGTTTTTTTCAAAGTTCTGTCATTGTTGTTCATGATAAGTCTCTGTTCAGTATTTTAAACTACAGACCTTGACCTAAAAAGTATAAATAGCCTATTTGATGTCATTAAATAAGTGTTGAATGGAATCACTCTGAGATCTGATTTGTTCCTTTCTCAGTTCAGTTGAGCTGGCGTGTCAGTCGGGAGTGGAACTGCTGCGTTTGACTCTTTAGTGAATGACACACAGCCAGCCAGCCAGCAGGCGGGAGGAGTCTCGTGATTTGCTCACAGCGAATGAACGATATGTATCAGTCAGACCGTGAACGAAACGAACGAATCTCCGCTACAGCTGCCATGTGTTTCATCTCTAATCTCTCCACTTTTCCGCCATATAAAAGAACGACAACTCGCGCCTGTTAGCGATTGTGCTGCTCGCTGCCGTGTTGTTTCCGCCAATGGCGACACAGAGAGGTGAGTTTTTCAAGGCAGGGGAGTGATTCTTCCTTTTTGGACTTAGCGAATGAACGACAGGTGTCACACAGTGAACGACGCTGTGACTTCAGTAGCAAGGGAGGGGAGGGGCTTATTCAATGAATGAACTTGGGGCTGTGTCGCTCACTCGTGTACTGCACCTGCAGGACGGGGGCTCCAAAGCACTGGCTGATTCAGTGAACGAATCGTTTTCATGAACGGATTCTAAAGATTCAGTACAGTCAAAAGAACTGTTCTTCCCATCACTAGCTCAAAGCTTATAGCCAGTGCTATTCTTCTTGTTTTTCTTCTAACATTATAATTCATGTTAGCATTAGCATTATTAGCATTAGCATTATTAGCATTCCACAACTTTTTCAGTTTTTTTGTTGTCCCTGAGAATTATGTTATTGGTAACAAATCAAAGCAAGCAGGTATTTCTTGTTAAACAACCTAGTGTGTCAGTTTCAGCATTTTATATATTTTCTACTCTATTTCTCTACCTCTGACCACCTTTGCGTCTTACCATAAGAAACTGTGGGTTTTTGGTATTTTTGCTGCCCAGGTGGATAAATGCAATCTCAAAACTCCTTACTGGAGCTTTGACTAACAACTTCCTGTTACTTTCAGAAAGTTCATGACATATATATATATATATATATATATATATATATATATATATATATATATATATATATATTTTTTTTTTTTTTTTTTCCAGTTTCAGACAAAAAATAAATAAATTCTGATTTGACTGAGAAGGTGTGCTCAGGCAAATAGATGTAATAACTTAAAAGTATTTATGAAATTTATTGACCCATCTATCTCCGTTTTCCCTTCTCCAATAGACTGGTGTGTCTCGCTGCAGTCGTTATTCTTGTTAAAAGAACTGCTGTCATGTTAATTAAAAATAATAAACCACAAAAGCAAAAAGGACCAATATGAAAAAAAAAAATATATATATATATATATACAAAAAACTAATATAAACGACTACATGTCTCAAAAGATGCTGTGAGGCAAGAATTAACAAGCGCTGTAGATCCTCGGGGTGCGGTCCAAAACAAATTGGCCACTGCAAAGAGAGAGTGAGAGATGGACAGAACGAGGGATATGAAAGGGATGAGTGAGAGTGGAAATAGGTACAAAAATCTTAACAACTAAAGCAAATCTGGAGCGTTCCGTTTGATAACTTCTTTTCTGGGACATCATAGCGGTTAACTCACATCTACATCAAAGCTGGAGGAGGGAAAGTGTCCGTCATTTCCAACTTGTTTTGTAATTTTGCCACTCTGTTTTTTCAAAGTTCAGAGAGATTGAAATCTTGAAACGGATCAGTAGCTCTTACAAAGCTTTTTCCGTTTTCTCTGTTCGTCTATCAGAGGCTTTATGTATTCTACATTGGTTAATTGAAAAGAAAAGCAGGTTTGATGGAGCGTTTTTCCAAGTTGTGGAGCTGCAAATTGTCACAAAGTTTCAGTAAAAGGCGTAGTAGTTTGTTTTTCATTTCTATATGCAAAATCCAAAGGATGCAATTAGCATGCATGAGTTTTAATTCGACGTGCAATGTACATCTGTGCAAGCGCTGCCTCACAAGTGAAATTCAGACGAATGAAAGTACGCGATTCAACTTTGTTTTCTCCTGCAGGCCAGTCACACATCTCTGGCGTTCCTCCCTGTTCCTGAGTGGGTCTCGCAGATACAGCCATGCTAATAACGATGTGGCTAAGTGCTATGGCAAAGCAGGGCTTAGAGTGCTTTGTAGACTTAGAAGGCCCCCTCCTCTCCATGGCGAGCTGCTCTTTGAAGGCTTATGGGCTAAAGTGGCAGCGAGGGGCTGGTGATGCCAAGGCAATCATCTCCTCCCGAGTCGTACTCCTGCAGGGAATGCGGACCGCTATCAGGGCAGGGACGGGGAGGGCGAGAGCGGCGGGAGGTCAGCGACTGTGGCACCGCTTCACAGCACACACATACTGACTGGCTGAATAAAGTACAAAAAGAGGTTTTAGTCACACAAACATTTCTGTGGAGGCGCCCAAAGCGGAATTCATGTCAGCGCTCATGTTGGTATGCAGTGTTCCGTCTCTTTCACTGTGCCTCACACTTACAAGAGCAAATAATGAACACACTGTGCTCCAAAGCTGTGAATTCCAGCGCTGTAGCCAGCTTTCTCTGAATTTTCAACTAAATCTCAAGGACATTACTCACTCAAATCTCCATGTCCTCCTTAACTCTCTGAATTTTTTATTTCCGATTTTAATTTAGTGTTTTATTCCTTGCCATGTTTGTAATTAGTGGTTCAAATTGATGTATCTGATGGATGTTTGAGCACAGATATGATTATTTCAGGCTACTGTTTAGCTTATTTAGTTTCACTACAGATAGGGTGACCATATTCTGACTTCCCAAAAAGAGGACATGACTACATGGGGGCGGAGTCACGGAGTCGCATGAAGTTCATTTAGAGAGTTTTTCAGGTCGGTTCGAGTGTTTTTCACATGCTTCTGACTCAGTAAGTCCATTGACACAAAATGGAAACTTAACGTACAAAACCATGGACATTTGAAGGATTTTCTAAACTTCCCTAACAAAACCGGACAAACCAGGACAGCCCCCAAAAAGAGGACATGTCAGCGTAAAAAAGGGCATATGGTCACCCAACTACAGACCCATTCTGTTATGATTGCTTGAGTTGCTATAATTTAAAAGGACAGCGTAGAAGACCAAACTCTTTCTCAGGCCTAAGTCCATGATTTCCAAAAAGAGTGCTGAAATTTGTTGAAGCTGTTTCCCACACAGATAGTAGTTTTAAACTGTTAGGTGGTTTGAGACCATGACTTTTAGACCCTGTGCAGATGACAAGCTTGGATATCTGACTTCTCTTTACAGTGGAGGAAGTAGTGTCCATGATTTCCAAAAAGATGTCAAATTTTGATTAGTATTACCACAGAACAGCTCCCTCTTTGACTGTCCATCTTTATAAATTAATTGATTTAGTTTAGTGTCAAACGTGAAATAAAGAGAGGATTGTCCTTGGAGATCAAGGATAACTTGGTGTCCATGGTTTCCAAGAAGAGTGCTGAAATTAGTTGAAGTTGTTTCCCACAGTGGATAGTAGTTTTAAACTTTGTTAGGTGGTTTGAGACCATGACTTTTAGACCCTGTGCAGATGACAAGCTTGGATATCTGACTTTTCTCTATCCTGGAGGAAGCAGCGTCCACGATTTCCAAAAAGCATGTCAAATTTTGATCAGCATCACCACAGAACAGTTCCCTCTTTAACTGCCCATCTTTATGCATTAATTGATTCAGTTGAGTGTGAAATATGTGAAATAAAAATAAATTGGTTCTTGGAGTTAGTGGATGACATGGTGCCCATGGTTTCCAAGAAGAATGTGCGATTCTGACTGGATTTATCAAACTTTCCAGCTTTGCCTGCATTGTTTTTTCTTGACCATGTTTACATAAGGTGCTCTCTTCCTATGGTCCAGTTTCACTTGTATTTGTGGAGCTCGCTGACAGGTTAGGTGGTTTCACTTTTCTAATAGAGAGGAAGCAACCTCCATGATTTCCAAAAAGACTGTCAAATTGAATCGTAATACAGTACAGTTTTTCTCTTAGTCCAACTTCATTGATTGGTTAATTGATTGATTGATCGAACATGTACAATAAGAAGTAAAATATGTGGTGTCCATGATTTCCAAAAAGACAGTCAAATCTGGATTGGTCTTATACGAGGCCAGCTCTGCAACAAAAACGATGGTGTTTTTATTTTTAACTCACATTTACTATCTCGGAAGGAGTGAAGGAAACAGCAAAGTATCTGAAGCCTCTTTGTGGGTTTGATGTAGCACTTTTTGCCATTTTTCAGAACTTTTTGACATTTTAAAATAAATTGATTTTTGTCACAATCCTTTCAGTTTATCCAGTGTCTGTCAGTTCTTATAATTTCCCCAAAGATAGTGTTATTCGGAGTCTCTTATTTCCTGTTCCATGTGTGTGAGTCACGTCCAGGAGGGTGAAAAACATGTTTTATGGGGATTTTGTAACACGTCCTTTTTGCAAAATCAAAAGTACACTTCCATGCTTGAAAAGTTTTCCCTTTTTTTAGTCTCTGCTCATGCAATACTGCAGTAGGAATTGTCAAGAAAGAGTCAAGCCTGGGTGAAAAACTGAAGAAGTGAATCATGTGACGCCTTGAATAATGTGAAGTTTTACACAATTCCCCCGGTGATCCAATGCTTCAGAGGCGTTCGTGGGTTTCTCATAGTGTGCCACCGTCCCCACCCTCGCCAGCTGAGCCTGCATTGACTTGTGCATTGGATCTGATTCAAGCTTGACATTAGTTCCGTGACTTCTGACTGCGAGAGTTGACTACAGGCTCTTTTGACTCACAAACTCAAAAATGTCAGCGAGTGTGGCAGGAACAGAGCAGAACACAATGGCTGCCAGAGCATCGGGTAGAGTGATGAAAAATTGGCTGCAGGGTTCCCTGTAGGAAAGAAATGCAGAGCTGGAGCTATTTGTTACATATCAAAGCTGGGCTGTAATGCCATCAACACAAATGACTGCATAGTCATCGCGATGGGCAGATTATGAGAAGCTAAATATGGTTGCATCTGTTGATGCCTGAGTCAAGGGTTGTTTTGGACTGCATGTAGCTTGTTTAAATACCCCTCAAGATATGAAATAATGACATGTTTTGATGGAAAAATAGATGTTCACTTTGGATTAATATTTTTCTGCATGCATTAACAAAAAGCATGTTCAAAAAAGTTTGAAAAGCACATAGAAAGTTTCTAAAATTTGTCTGCCAGTGCATAGTTCTTCTCACTCAAGGCATTTTTTTAACAGTACATTATGGCATCAGTAGGATACATAAAGTGCTCAACATAAATGAGTACACCCCTTCAGAGTTGTCGGAAAACCTTTAGTTTCCCTCAAAATCAACATTTTCTATGTCAGACTATGCAGCAAAATGTAGGCCATTGATTGCAAACAATATTTTTTAAGTTGCATACAATTTATTTATGTATTTATTTTCATTTTAAAATTAGGATGCAAAAATGAGTACACCCCAATCAAATTTCTGGGAGCAAAGCTGAATTTTCATTACCATATCAACTTCATTTACATCTTATGCCAAATAAAATGTTCTGTTAAACTCAGCTTTGTCAAAACTTTGGAAATTGTACTAAACTCATCTAGATATTAAGCAATCCATTACTTTTAATAGGGGTGTACTGACTTAAGCTGGGCACAGTACATGCATGCAGGAAATCAAGATTTATCTTAATATCAATGAGCCCAGAAAGCATTTGCTAAAAGATCTGAAGGTTCAGCCGTTTGCTTGCAGAAAACATATCTTCAAAGTCCCACTCTGATCTTTTTTTTTACTACTGAAAGTTTTCTCAATGGTCTTTAAATAGTGATTACCCTACTTGTTCGTGTTTAGACACTGTGTACATGTGCTGTAGCTTCTAATGTACTGAACATGTCACATGTACCTGCACTCAGTCTACAGGAGCTCTAGCCATTTCTGTCTACTGTGGAAAACAGGAAATATGATTTTTTTTTAACCATATGTGACATATATCTGATGTTTTCATGTAAGTGTGAACAGTGCAATTCTGAATTTTTCAAATCTGACCCAGGCCTCTTTTGTATGTGGATATAAATTGGATATGTATCCGATGTGACTGCAGTGTACACGCTCAGGTCGCGTTCATCCGACCTATTCGTCATCAATATGCGACAAACGTCACCATTGTTCGACATCACAAACAGGTGCGGAAAGCAATCGTGGACGAGGGAATGGAGGACAGCCAGTTGTGCGCATGCGGGTCACTTCACAGATGCATTCCGTTCACATTGGATGCTGCATTTGTTGCTGTAATGTGAACGACCGCACAAAAAGTTCGGATTTAACAAAAAATCTGAATTGTGCATCATAACCTGCAGTGTGAACGTAGCCGTAACGCCTATTTTGTCTTTATTACTTTATCAAGACATGAAGTTTGAAATATATTAGCATGCGACCAATCTTAAAAGACTGAACATTAATAAAAAAGTGAGGTCTACTAAAGTCACACCTGAAAACACCAAAGTTTTTCATTTAAGTCCCCCACTCTTTTACCAAAAACTGCATTCCCTGTGTCATTTTCAAGGAATTTTTTTCTGCAGAGCTCCAGTAGATCATTAGCAATTTGCCTGAGTTGTGGGTGAAGACAGCGCTGCTCTGCACACTCATCTTCACATTAGCTTGCAGCCTAACATTGTTGGTGTAGCAGAAGTGGCAGGTAACATAGGCGCTATTAAGCTCTCAGACTCAAATGTCTTTAGGGAAACGATGAAAGCTAACATCATAATTAGCTTTCTTACAAGCATTGCAGGCAGTGGAGGAGTTCAAGTATCTCGGGATCTTGTTCACGAGTGAGGGTAGGGTGGAGCGGGAGGTCGACAGTCGGTATCAGCAGTGATGCGGACGCTTAACCGATCAGTCATGGTGAAGAAAGAGCTGAGCCGTAAGGCGAGACTCTCGATTTACCAGTCGATCTATGTGCTGATCCTCACCTATGGCTGAAAGAACAAGATCGCGGATACAAGCGGCTGAAATGGGTTTCCTTCGTGGGGTGGCCGGGCTAAGCCTTAGAGATAGGGTAAGGAGCTCGGACACTCGGGAGGCGCTCAGAGTAGAACCGCTGCTCCTCCACGTCGAGAGGAGTCAGCTGAGGTGGCTCGGGCATCTGGTTAGGATGCCTTCTGGACGCCTCCCATTAGAGGCTTTCTGGACATATCCCACCGGGAGGGGACCTTGTGGCCGGCCCAGGACCAGGTGGAGGGATTATATCTCTCACCTGGCCTGGGAGTGCCTGGGAATCCCCCCGGAGGAGCTGGTGGAAGTGGCTGGTATGAGGGCCGTCTGGGCTTCCCTCCTGAAGCTGCTGCCCCCGCAATGACGACGACAAGCATTGCAGTCCGCTAACGCACATGCTTGTTTCGTGATCGTCCTCTGTATTTCTCCTCTATATGCAAATGTGGCTTGCATAGTGGGGCTTTGGGGGCGGAGCTTGAATTGGTTACCTATAAAATCTCACTGTTTCTGAACCTGCCGTTTGGGTCTGCCAGAGATTCACGGCGATTCGAATGAAGAAATACTCCGCAAAGCAATTCCACATTTAGTTTTCTCATGATATGTCCTGTAGCATCAAAAAAATGACACATGAACGTATAAAATCAAGAAAAACTTGGTTTTCATCAGAGTGGGTCTTTAAAGGGTCAATGACTTGCAAGCACAACAGGATCAGCTGCAGAATGAAGGATCAGAGGAGAGAGTCGAAAACTGCAGTACAACATATTTTGGATCCAGATTAGATGGTTTTAAGTTAGCGCATAAAGAAGTTGAATCTTGGGAGTATTAGAGGAGTGGAGATAACACAAATGAATGCATGCTTCCCCGTCTTGTTAAGGAGTTCCAGGGAAAATAACTGAACACAAACCCTTCACCATTTGCTTGTTATTATTAAGTGCTTCTGAGGCTGTCTGCATTTTGATCCTCCTCTCATACTACAAAAACGGTGCTCTTGAGGAGGCTCAAATATCCCGAACAAAGGCACATGGTGGAGGAGCTCATCAGGTTTTCAAACTGGCACAGAGGGAACACTCAAAGGTGTTTTTGACTTCTGCTTTAATCAAGTTCTGGGCTCAGACAGTCAGAGAAATGAAAAAGGAAAATCCAAACAGCAAACTCCACCACATACCGACAGCATTTGGGTCTCTGTCAGAGATCCAGACTGATTATCGCGTGCTTGAAATTTTGATTGAAAGAGTATGCAAATCCCGTCCCTTATTTGCATCACTCTCTCTCTCAGAGATGATGAAGACAATATTATCAGTTTGAGCTGATGTAGACGAGCTAACAAAGCCGGCAGAGCCGTGAGGCGTTTTGGATCAATTCACAGAGTGGTAAATGTAAATCCGAGGATTTTTTCACGTTTGTTTTTTACCGCTGCTGGTTTTCTGAAATCATTTTCAAATCTGTACTACTCAGAGGAGAAAATTGTGGAGACCCTTGAGTTTGAATCTGGCAGGATGATTGATAGTCAAGCTCAATTATATCATATGTTTGTAAGGAAAACTGGGCACTGATCTTAGACCAATACTCCCACTCACAATATGCTCCACAACCGCTCTGCAGTCCCTGGCCTCTTAAAATAGAGAGACTGTATGTACAAACACTGACAGGGTTTCAGCGCATCCAGATCAGGTCTATTTGTGTTTTCCTCTTTGCATGATACAGTTGCAACTCTGGACTGTGTTCACACACACACACACAACTGTTTTGAGCCCATGCAGGGATTTCTACTCCAGAGTTTTGTCTGCCTATAACGCAGTGTGCTGCCTGAGGGCCCCAAGATTATGGGACTTGGGTTTTGGTAGTAAGCCAGCATGCTTTGTGATCATGGGGACCCGCATTCCTTTGTGCAGGAAAAAGAAACTCGCCATCCGCTCGTGTTTGAGACGCAGCGTGCAGATTAAAACTGCAGGGAAAGGTAGAATAATGCCAAGATGGAGGTTCTACGCTGCAGAGGTGTGCAATGTTTTCCAGGTGTAAGAGGATTAAAGTTTGCGGCCTCATGTTATGCCCAAGCATAGTGGAGCATATCAATGTATGTATGCATGCAAAGCAGCTGCAGTATCTACTTTTAAGAGAATTCAGACTATGAAATTCAGAATACGAGGCACAAATGGGAGGAAAAAAAAAAAAAGTAGTGTCAACCTCCAGAGGGAGCTGTGCAGAGTCTAACAAACTGCCTCAAGCGATGCTGGTTGAGTCAGTGTTTGTTGCAGCAGCAGAGTCGAGGTTTGAAAAACATATTTTTGTATAAAATCAGGGGGGGGGGAGAATGGAGCTCATCTGTTGGCAGCTCCTCAGTTCTACTCGAGAAACAAAACACTCAAAAAACCTTGCCAAACCATTGACCCTGGAGTTGTAGTCTGGGGAACCAAATCTTGAATAGAATGATACAACATAGTGAGAGGAGAAGGTAATATTTTTGCTTCTGCTAGACCGGCTTTATCAGGAGGAGAGGCAACACTCCCATTAATGATAAAATACTATTTTTTTAAAGTAATTTTATGCAAAATAACATGATAGCCATTAACACTTACAGTTGTGTTCAAAATAATAGCAGTCCCACATCACTAGCAAGATAAATCACTGTTTTTGTTAGAATTTCAACTTCTACGCTTCAAGTAGGTTTCAAGAAGGTTTAGTAAAGGTATAGAAGAAAAAAACTGACCCAACAGGCATGACATGCATGCTGCTGATTCTGTCAAACTGACTCATCAAACAGGTGGCCTTTATTTAAGGATCAGGGCAACTGACGCTGCATATGCTGGCTGTGCATTTGTCCTTGAAAAACAGAGTGAAATTGGTCGTTCAAGACACTGTTCAGAAGAAGAGCGAAATTAATAAAAGAGGGGAAAACCCATCAAGAAGTGCAGAAAATGATAGGCTTTTCAGATAAAATGATATTAAATGCTTTAAAATGGCAGCCAAAACCCGAAAGGCATGGAAGAAAAAGAAAAGCGACTATTCCAATGGATCGTAGAATAACCAAAATGGCAAAGTGGGAATGATCAGCTCCAGGAGGATCAAAGACAATCTAAAGCTGCGTTTCCATTACATTTTTTCGCAAAATAAAAGCGATGTTTATCAAATTTCGACAAAGTATAATTGCGATTTGCGGGTGTTTCCATTGAATGGTGTTCAGTGCGAGCCGTGTTTAAATGGCCGTTGCCTAGCAACGAGGTAAACTTCCTGCCCGTGCGACCTCGTATTCCTTAAGCCTTTTTGCACACCAACATGGACGAGACACAAAACATTTTGCGTTTTGGAGCAGCTATTTCTGTGACCATTACTGCTGTTGCCGCTGCTGTCATCAGAAGACGAAGGCAGCGGGTGATAATTCAAAGGCAAAGCTCGTATGTATGGGAGCGAACACGGATGAGCGATTTATGGGAGAGGATCGTTAATGAGGAATTCACAGACGAATTGTGGATTCAAAACTTCAGAAAAATACAAATACAATTCAAAACTTCAGAAATAACTCCGTCTCCTCCCCCGTCCACATATACCGTGCCATCTACGCTTGAAATGAACTGGTCACTTGACCCGCTACGTCACGTCCGGTGACAGAGAATTGCGAGAAAAGTGTTTCCATTACACTTTTGCGATATACTTCTATATCGACACTTCTGAAAAACCACCTCATGAGAGCGTAAAAACTTTTTAGCGATATTTGGGAGGTTTTTCGAAATGTAGGTGTTTCCATTACCAGTTTTCTATTGCGATATTTACGTTTTGCGCAAATCTATGGGTAATGGAAACGCAGCTTAAGATTGCCTGTGAGTACTGTAACAATCAGACGACGTCTATGTGAAGTCAAGCTACCAGCAAGACGCCCCTGCAAAGTCCCGTTGTTAAAAAAAATACATGTGCTGAAGTGGTTACAATTCGCCAACCAACACATTGACCATCCCCTAAAAGAAATGGCGTGATATTTTGTGGACTGATGAGAGTAAGATTGTTCTTTTGGGGTCTAAAGGCCACAGACAGTTTGTCAGACGTCCTGCAAACACTGAATTTAAACCACAGTACACAGTGAAGACGGTGAAGCATGGTGGTGCAAGCGTCATGACATGGGGATGTTTCTCATACGATGGTGTTGGTCCTATTTATCCCATACCAGGGATCATGGATTAGTAAATCAGAATACTGGAAGAAGTCATGTTGCCATGTTTCAACAAGACAATGACCCCAAACACACCAGCAAGTGAGCAAAATCATGGTTCCAGACCAACGGAATTCAAGTAAAGGAGTGACCAGCACAATCCCCCGACCTTAATCCCATGGAAAACCTGTGAGCTGACATAAAAAATGCTGTTTATGAGTCAAAACCAAGAAATGCAGAGGAATTGTGGAACATAGTACAATTGTGCTGGGCTGCAATACCTGTTGACCGGTGCCAGAAGTTGGTCGACTCCATGTACCACAGATGTGAAGCAGTTATCAGAAACCGTGGTAATGCAACTAAATATTAGTTTATGATGCTCAGAAAAGTTGAATCTTTTTAGTTTATACAGTACATTTCTGAGTTTGTAAAGAAAGATGTCAACACTGCTATATTTTTCAACATTAAATTTCTTGACTTTCTGGAAAATATTATCAAATTTAATTACTTTTTCCAATTTTCTTGCTTTGTAATAGAATGTGCAAAAAACAATTTACTTGAAGAATTTTGAGGTTTACTCACCTTTTTAAACACACTGCTCTTATTATGAACATAAGTGTATGCATCTCTATAGTTGGGTCTTGAGATTCTATGACCATCCTCTGGCAAGGATGTTTTGACGATAGATTTGACCTCTATGGACCCTTTAGAAAAGATTTAGCCCCCAGGTCCCTCGCAAAAATCCCGGCATTTTTTGCTAGACAGCTAAATTCAAGATGGCGGCCGGCGCCATCTCTAAAAATTAACTTTTGATCTGGATGACCTAGAATCATGTATGAAGGCACTTTTCCATACAAGTCAAGCATGAAGATTCCAAATCTGACATAGTTTTAATCATACAACTTTGTTTTGACCGCGATATCCAAGATGGCTGCCATCTAGTACTGTGATTCTCAACCTTTTCAGGACTTGACCCCCCAAAACAATCATATTTGAACTGGGTAACCCCCAATTTGTTTCACTCTGTTCCACATACAGATATTGTGAAAATAGCCGATCCTATCCTATCCTATCCTGGATTTTTGTGGTGTGGCTCGTTTCCTTTTTAGAGTAGATAAATTTGAAAATGTTGCAATAAACTATATTCGAAGACTGTTTTTTTGAAGGTGAATTAAAGCCCATGCGGTGACTTCCACTACAGAGGTTTGTGTGTTTTCAGTGTTGTGCTCCCAGACCATGGCCATTTGGTGTTTGTTTTGTGTTCATTATTGGTCTAGCCCTCATTTTGTAGAGATTTATGGAGAAATTGTTCCAAAGCTGTGGAAGTATTAGCTCATTTGTACTATTCGTAATTAAAGAGTGGTTTGTTAGAGTGGATTTTACGATTAGTGCGTCTTCTGCACTCAATTTTCCAGTTCCTGAGTTGCACATGGGACTAATGAGCAGTTTGCAGACTCTTAATACTTTTAACGGCTTATCAAATTAGTTTGTTTGTTTTTTTGTAATAAAGAAATCCCACAAAGTTGTTGAAATGAAAAAATAAAAAATAACAGAAATATTTTATGAATTTGGTTCTGGGCAAGCCCTCTCATACTAACCACCACAACTCCCCTGTCAACAACCCAGTCGATGAAAAAGTAATAAACTCTTCCTTTTCATCGCATCACAAGGTGAAGCGCAGGTTACCGTATGAAACACGAACCATACAATTAGTCTCGCTATTCACACACACTCACACACGGTGTTATTCTATCGCTAAATCGTACCACACAAGTTCATTCACAGGTCAAACACACGCCTACAGCCAACAAACTTCCAGACACTTGCTCTCGGCATTTGCTCATCATAGCGCCTCACTTACAAAGCTGAATCTCTTTCCCCTGCAATCTTTTCCCTAAAATGAAGCTGTGGTCTATCAGGACGAGCCCATCTGGGGAATACGAGTTGAGGGAAATTACGTATTCGGCAGGCGACGCCTTCTTGATTTCCTCCGGGTGTTAAAAAAACAAGGGGAAGATGGAACCGAGGGAGGCGGGGGATGGGGGCAAAATTAAATTATGCCTAATTACCAGAGCAATCGATAGCAAATTGAGTTGATATGCATCCTTCATGACTTAACTAGATATCAGATAACGCGGGTATGCAGCACATTGTAACAGGAGTCAGTGGGTAAAAGGTGAGCCACGTTTTGCGATGGCAGGAGTACAGGGGAGTAAGTCCTGAGTTATCTGATCTGTCAGGGTTCCGGCTGTTGTCGTCTGGCCGCTCTCCAAAATCAGGAATTGAGGAGACACAGGAGGAAGGTTGTTGCTATTGTCAGGGGTAAGACACCTTGTTGACTCTGTCAGGAAGCCAAAATACATCAAAATAGAAGCAGGGGACGTCATTCTGAATGTCATTTTTAATTGAAAAATAAATAAGAAGTGGCGTTGCCCAAGGCTACAAATCAAGCATATCATAGCAGCAGTATCATCTGCACAATGTTGTCGGGTTTATTATTCATCAAGCCGAATTCATCCTGCCCTTAAAAGGAGACAAGCGAAGTTATGTGACCTCGGTGCTTTTATTTTGGCAGCGAGTGATGGGCAGAAAATGTGATAGAGCAGAGCAGCCCGCCCCGGTAATCAGAGAGGAACCACAGGGTCACGAGTACGACGCCTCAGATGACCAGCGAGTTTGTAACAGTTGATATACCCTGAAGCGTCAGACTGCAATGCTGCTTTTAGATGACCCTGCAACAAAGACGGTGAATCAAGTCGGACAAACCATCTTTAGTTGGATGTAAGTGAACTCAGATTCCCCAGAAGCAGAAAGTAATGTCATGTAAAAGTGGCGTTATTTAGAAGGAGGGTTATTGATGTAGGAATTGGATGGTGAAGTCTAGGTATGATTGCCACACCCCATCTGCTACCGTGAAAAAAAAGAAAAAAAAGAAATGCAAAACAGCGTTGTCTGACAGTTTGACACTATTTTGGTGATGGACATGAAATGCTATAGTAAAATAAAAAACTTTTAACCTGGGAACTGTTCTTTTATTGTCTTTTCATATTGTGTCTTTTTAAACCTTTTACATTGTTGGTTTTATTTCTCAATATTTTTTACATTTTATATTGTGTTTTTTTTTTTTTTTAACTATTTTTTATCTTTGTAGGGCTTCTTTGAACATCTGTAAAAGCGTGTTATGAATAAAATTTATTTAATTTAATTAACCAAGGCCTGTCTTAGCTCACTTGTCAGACTAACTGAAGCAGTCCATCTCTCGTTGTTTATGCCAATCACTTTTGTTAGCATTGATAAATTTGTGTTATTGCTACAGTCCTCTCTCGTCATGCTCATTATGTCCCTCTGCTTAACTATCACACACGCAAACACTTCTGTCTTCCTGCTCTTATTCATGCTGCCATTTATGTAGCATCAAAGTACTGATAAAAGTGCAATATTTAGAACTGTTTACATAGATGAGGCGGGCTCTGTGACCTTTCACAGCACATTTTGGCTTCCATTTTAGGAAGCTGGTGTGTCATTCCTCTATTTATACTGCACAAACTTAGTGTTTGGAGTAAACTTTCAGTACAGAGTTAAAAAAAGTACAGAGCGAGGACAGTCAGTAGATGTCTGCAGGGATACAAGGCAACATGAGGACAAGTTTTCGTCTTCATATTTACCAAGGCGAATATTTTTATTTGCAATTATCCCCCTGTTAGAAAGCTAAACATATCTCTTTCTACATCATTGGCGTTGCAACAAAGATCAATAAACCATGGCAAAACATAATACATTTCGCACAGCTTGGTGGAAAGGGTTTTTTAATGCACTCGTAAAGTATAGAGAAACATTAAAGTTACTCTTGTTTAACACACATAATTTGCAACGGCACTAAAATAAGGGACATTTATTGAAGAGTTAAACAGGGCAATTTTATGAAGTAAATGTTTATCTACCTGAATGAGTAGCAAGCAAATTTATCTTTTGTTTACAGTGACTTCGCACAGGCGGATGTTCTGCTTTAAAAACAGGCACTTGGAAATAATGATGTCTTTAGCAGGAGCTATTAAATCCTAAAAGCTAAGTAGGGACTGCGGCAAAGACGGCTCTGTCCTCAGCTCTGCCTGTCGTGTATTCGGTCCGTGTCACTCTATCTTGCTAGCTTCAACGCCGGCTTTAGAGACTGAAGTCATGTGTCTAATTAAAGCTCTATCAATAGCTCTACCAGCAACTCCAGCTTGCTTCAGAACTAGCATTGTGGCTACACCGTGACTCTTTTTCTTTTGGCGTGTACAGCTAGTCATGGTCAGGGAAAATACACAGCTTGAACTTAAATAGATTGCAAATTTGCACCTACAATTTTCAGTCTATTCACCAGCAAATCTTTGACCCAGTACCAAAAACTCTCCATCCATCTACACTCTAGAAATGCTCCACTGTGCACACTGCAAGGAACTGTCAACCATCACACTGAGTGCAGACAGGTGGGGCTTAATTCATACCCATGGCTGTACCTCAAAACGCCCCCAAGCCGGATTATCGCTCCAGCCAAGGTGAGATGACCAAACTGCCCTGACTTGACTTGTGCTTTTGTCCGACACAACTCACCGTGGACAGAGTTGGCACCGGAGGAAAAGTGGCGAGACGGAGAAGACGGCGCACATCGAAAAAAAAAATATATATGTTCACAGCTCATCTCGAAGTATTCAGGGTATGTAGCAGCCTTAAACACAGTTTTCACATTGAGCGGATGCTGGCTGAATTCCATTTTTTATAAGTATGTTGAAGCTCTATGGCCAAAAGCACAAGACTGCAGTAATGCATTAAAGCAACCTACTCCCAAGTGTAAATTTGTATGTGTGTAAGGACACACACACACGCTCATACACACAGATATGGCATTTCCACTTTTTACTGCTTGTTTGCTGAACCGCTGCAGCATCTTGGCTCCATGCCCTGGAGCAGAATCAAAATACTGTTCAGCTGTTAGAAGTTACAAAAGAAAGTCCCATAACTAGTTTGGTCAGACAGTAAATGTTACAGAGCTCTAAAACTGTCTGCAGTGTTGATGCGGGAAAATACACAGAGGGGGCTGTTGACCACCCTGGCAGTGTGTTTTAGTGCGCGCTGTGCTGTCAGATTACTTTTGGCAGTCTGCTGCGTAGTTATAAAACACCACCATTATTCATTGCTGCTATATTCTCTCTGAATTAGATGTGTATTCGCCATTGCTGTTTAGGGTAATTCCTTATCCCACAGTACACATTCAGTTTAGTATCTGCCAGTCAGTATCACTGAGCAGATATCATAGAGTTGACACACCGCCAGAACTTTCAACTCCGATATGGCGCTAAAGCTAAAAGTAGACAGCATTGATACCTATTTCATTACATGAATGAACTCTAAAGCGTCGAAGTTGGGTGAAATTATCATTTGGTTTCCATTGTGTACACTGTGCCTCTACAAAGAAAGAAACTAAGTTTGGATCATACAACGAAAGGTTGATTCAACTTTGGTTACTGTTGCAAACATGCGTATGTGTATATTTACTTAAACTCTACTTGAGGTGTAGTTGGCAGTTAGCGCCATTTTGAGGGGTGTCCGAAACCTGAGTGATCAATTCCAATGCCCCATATGGGCAACTCAAAATTTACCATAGAGCATCACAAAATGTAGTGACCATCCAATGGTCACTCACTGGTGGTGGGCATCCCGTCATGCATTGCGTATCCAGCAGCACTCTACATCTGCTTACTGTACTGTTCTGGCAAGGAACCTGGCACAATACTCGCCAGGAGATGGCGTAGCCTGACAAAGAAGACCACGTAATATACTGATGCTTTTTTTTTTCTCCGTTGATGTAATGAACTGCCCACCGTTGTTTAGTCTCTCACTTACAATTCCACGACGTCTTGCTAGCGTCGAACGGCACGACGCAGTCTTCTCTGGCGTATTTCTATTTGTCGGTTTGTTCTTATTAAAAACCAACTGCCTCATGACGAGAACAAGAAGAGACAGAACCGAGAGACCGAGCTCTATTTGCCATTTTCAGCATTTTTAATCTTCACTTTACTCACAAGTGATCCGTACAGTTTTCGAAAAACAATTGTTCGCTGCGTCATAAAGTCTCGTGCACAATATGATGCAGCATCCTGAAAAAAAACAAATACATCTATACAACATCATGAAATTCAAGAGGTGTGTAAAAAACAGCCGCAACTTCAGACACGGCAGTCTGAGCAGTGACGTCACAACGGTGCGCCATGTAGTGTCCGAAACCTCCGGTGATTGAGTGATTCATTTTGGACACAGCTGTAGTTTCTAGTCTGGTTTTTACTTCCCTAGTTTTCCCTCCCTCGTTAATCACTAACGAGTTTCACCTGTGTCTCGTTTGCCTCACCTGTTGCTCGTTACCCAGTGTGTACATAGTCCCTGTCTTCCCCGCTGTCCTGGTTGGTTCATTGTATGTATGTTGATGTGCATGCTTGTGTCCGCTGTTGCTCCCTGTGACTTTTCTTCAGTGATTTTGATGTATTTTTCTCTTTTGATGCTTTTTCATTTAATTCTTTTAATAAAGACACTTTTTGTTCTGCATTTGGGTTTTTTCTCTTTGTCTAACTCTGCTAAAACACTGCTGAATGCCATTTAAATTTCATTTTGCTAACAGCTTACACGCAAATTCGCTTTGTTCACGCTTCATAACTGAGACCCAATAACTTCACGTTAGACTCAGGAGATAATTTATGTCACAAAGACTCACTTTTCCTCTTTTGGCTTTGCTTCCTTAAGTTTTCAACAAAGTAGAGAGAGTTTGCAGAGTGGAGATCTAAAACTGTCAAACAATTTGCCTGAGGACAACCAGGTCTGCTGAGTCAGTTATCTAAGGCTCTCCTTAAAACAGACTATAAAATGTAAGCAAATTTGTTGGCAGTTTTTCTGGGATAACATTGTGTTATCTGAAGGGAAAGAAATACTGGAGTATTCCCTACAAATTTAGTGATAACCCATTAGGGCTCATTTTAGCTTTAAAGTTCACAATGGGTGGAAATGATGTCCAGTCTCATGGGGATGGAAATTGAGATCTGGTTCCATTTAATACCCGTTTATGTAGTTTTCAAAACCCCCAGATCAATAGGAGCGTATTGATTCTGCGAAGAGTCTCATGGGTCCCTCATTAAAGAGTAAGGTGCCACTTTTTACCCAGAATGCAAACCTGCATTTAAAATCTAGGGGAAAAGGTAATTCAAACTGAGCTGTTTAAACTCATAATGACACAGTAGACGAGCGCATTAGGCCACCTGCTGGATCCAGTAGAGGGCACATTCGTCGTAACCTGACTAATGGTCTTGGTGAACTAATACCGTCATGTTATTCTACAAAAATGTAGGACATGGTGGGGCAAAGCCGCACCAATCATGACGCCAAAACATTTTAAGAAGCATGACTGCATATGACTGCAAATCAACTTGTACAAAGAAGCTGTCTTAGTCATGAATGATGAAAAACTCGTCAACTGTCATCAAGGTTCTTTCGTCAAAGAAAACCCGACTTTTTGCTGAGCCTTGTTGGTAAATTTACACCAACTGTGGCTGGTGCATCACTGTTAAAAATAAAAAGTAACCATTGTTTTCTTCTGAAGGGGATTATGTTCATTTGTGTTGGTTCTTGCAGCCAGCAATGTAGCAGTCGGTGTGACCACCGCAAACCTTTGACATCTCGACTCTGCAACGCCAACTGGGACCTCAAACGTGTGGGAGGAAGCAGGACTTTTAAAAATGTCTACTTTCTTTGAAAGAAATTGAACTTTTCAGAGTATAGATGGACACGGAAAGTGTTAGATAAGTTAATTAATGGATCTTTGTGCAGATATCCTCTTCAATATTTAAGGTGGTACACATGCCACCTTAATAATTAACCTAATTAAATTCAGCATTGAATTATTAACACTGCCGAGTGGTCTGCTGTAGTCTGATCGGACAAGCTGGGGCTTTAGCAGATTGAGTGCATGCTGGGAAAACTAACAAGGCTCACACTCAATCACACGCACACACACACACACCTCCTTTCGTTTCACCATTGGTGCTGGTGAGTGGCCAAAGGCAGGAGGTGTACAATGCAGCTCCCAGGTGCGAAGTGGTGAATTTATCCAACTCTCCCTCCTTGCTGTGAACAAGCATGTGTTTTGGCATAAATCTCTCTGCAGCACTTTTCCTGTGCTCCTTCCCTACTTGGACTTTAAACCACCAGTTTTAAAATATGCAGCAATGAAGACATAATTCTTACCACACTGTGCCCGCTTGTAGCAAAAGAAAAACAAATTAGAGTGAGCTTTTTATTTTCTAAAAGTTGGTTTTATCAGGAAAATATTGCTTATTCTTTTACTTTAATGGATTTTCCAAAAGAAGCATAATTCAAATAGGTTTAAGTGAGATTTATTTCCTGTATTACAAGACAGGCCACACTCCCTGAGAAGGCAGCTCGGGCCATCACTAATAATAAAACTCCATAAATGTGATGTGGGCAATAAAGCCAGTATAATAAACTCCACTGCAGAGAAACCAGGATCATATTTTCTGTGCTATTATCTGTAAAAAACCAAATCCACAAAACACATAACTTTTTTTTTTTTTGCTGTGTTTTCAGTCACTGCAGGTGCTGAAAAGTATGATCTGCTTTGGCTCTAGAGGCTGAAAACAGACGGTGTAAAATACCCCAACATACAGAAAATCAAAAACCTGCTCACAAAGACTGTCTACGGTGCTTTAGTCTTTGTCCAAAGGCTTTATCTTGCAGGTGGGCTCAGGCGGAGAAAACAAACCAGCAACATATCAAAACAGGGCCGAGCCCCGGCGGGATGCGTTCAGTACGCCGGCTTTTTCTTCGAGGCGTTTAAAAGCCAGTGGGTATTATTTTTAATGATTGTTTATTGAGACTAATCTGCCACCTTAATCAAAGGGACCTTTGCAATCTGCGCGTCTGGCACTTTTTCCTCTCCCTGTTTATGCTGCTGGCTGTTTATGCCGCGCCTAAAGAGCGCATATCAGCCAAATGTATTTTCAATCACTCACAGACCGGATTGGGATAATTATGTGGAGCCGCTCGATTCATTTGCGTCGCATGTCCAAATGTTTCCATCCCATCTTGTCGGAAGGTCACCGATTTGGATTCGGATAATGGGGTTCAATCAAGCAAATAAAGCAAAGATTACATGTAAGGAACGACAAAGAGCTGCTACAGAGCAGGTTTTTCTCTTGATTTGAAAAGGCATCGCAGGGCTTACTTTTGATTTGAACAAACAAGTGAATCACAGGGAGAGGCGTCCTTTATTCCTTAACTGCATGGTGACTCACCATCACATTGTAGTGGCATGTTGAAGGTACATTGTACAGCTTTTGTAATGCAATTTTGAGGCCATGGAGGTCCAACACTAGATTGAGGTCTTTTGTGTGCATTTTTCTCATCTGAATCATAGAATTTGGAAATTGTCTCCAAAGTAGGCTGTGTGCTTTTGGGCCTGAGGAAATTTAATCGATAAAATCTACAATATTATCCTCATTAGCAAAAACATAAGGGACAACTTTTCCAAAATAAAGTCTTTTGCAGTATCAAAAGCATCTTGCAAGTCACTCTGAGCCTGAGAGTGTGTTTGAGGCAGAGCAGTAAAGAACAGTATCATCTGCATATACATGTAAATTTGCATTGGGAAGATTTTGACCAGTGCTGGTAGATTGTGAAAAACAGTGGTCCTGAGACAGAACCCTTTCACTACCTCAGGAGATTCAGAGGTTAGTCCTTCAGCCTGCACACACCGCGACCTGTTTGATAAATAATTGTCTAACCAACAGACACATTGTTCATGATTTCATAGTCCACAGTGTCAAAAGCTTTTGATAAAGCTTTGCTACTTGCGCCACTGTCCACCGTTATCGCTGTACTACATCTGATGCAGCCAGTAGATCAACTGTAAACATTGCCGTTTCGAGCGTCTTTGACTGCATAGATCATCCCTTATCATGGGTAGCATGATGGATACTTGACAGATCCATAAACTTGTTTACAACCGGATCATGATTTACACAGTTTTCTTTTGTTCTGCGAAACCATTCCTTGAAAAAAACCCATAAAACCTCCACCTCGAGCGCCCTGCTATAAATCCACTGAATACTTTGTGGAGATTCTCGGAAAACTTTTCCGATGGAGGCTCCTTGGCTGTCCTTGGTCAAGTCAGACTGTGATGAATCATGCATCGGATCAAAGTGATCCTGCCATCCTTGCGGGGGCACAACACTGTCTGCTGCTGCCGTCATCCCACCTGCCGCCCTGGCGTCAGGTGCAAGATGTCACCCATGCTACTGTCCCCTGCAAGACCAAACCCTCCAGTAGTGGGCTTTACTTAGTCTTTCCGCCGACATGCCTCTTCCTCACTCCACTGCTTCTGCAGCTGCTGCTTGTTGGCGCCCATCTGTTAAGGGTATTGTTTATGTGGTTGGTGATCCAGAACTCATTACCATCCCACCTTCCCCTATACACTATTGTTCTTCTCTCTAATATGTCTCTGATGCAATCTGTCTTGAGGAGAGGATTTTTTTTTTTTTTTTTAAAAAGCTGGAAACTGACTGAGGATAAAAGAAGAGAATATCGCAGATGTTCAGACTTCGGTCGGAGGAGAGAACAATGATAAACCTTGAGAGAAAAGTTGGATTTTAATATCAAAGTTCTCATCGTCTAGAAAGGAGTAAACATATTTTATATATTACAAGTTGCTTAAATGACAGGAAAGCTTTAAGAAAAGTCTTTACTAAATAATGAAAAACCTGAATCACTTTTCTGGGGTAGATTTAAGTATCATTCAAACCATTGTGAGATGATGTCTCTTATACAGAGATTCAAAATGCAACACACCTCTTAAAGGGATATTCCGGCGTAAAATTAATTTAGGGTCAAACACACCATAACACCGAGTTAGACACCCCGTCCAGAGATTAATATTGCCGACCGCTTGCTTCGATAGTGACAACAACTTCGATAACGACCGCAGGATAGTGATACACAGTGGTCTGAGGAGCCATAAACAAACCTCAACCAAAACACCACTCTATAGCGACATATAATGCTCAGAACAGCACCTAACTTCATCAACAGGACATATAGGGTCCTAGTCACAGCACTTGCCACCAAACATCTTTTTAGCTTTGCCTAATTTCTTTAGCAAAGAGACTACACACAACTCACACACTCTCTTCCAGCAGCCGCTTGTTTGTTGCGAGAATTCTGGCCAGTCCATTACGGACTGCTGTGGGGTGACACAGCTCAAGGAACAACATTTATGATCATTTCTTCAAGGAAATGCAATCAGACGGAGATGCTGAGGCAGAAGAACTACTGCGTCTGCAGTGCAAAAAGGTTTAATATGGTGATTATTACTTAAGGGAATTTATAAAGAAATTATCATAAATGTTCTTCCTTGAGCTGCGACACCCTGCAGGACTGGCCCGAGGCCTGGGGTTAGTATAACTAGAGAATCAACCGGTCTGCAATATTAATCTCTCAACAGGGTATCTAACTCGATTTTACTGTGTGTTTGACACTAAATTAATTTTACGCCGGAATATCCCTTTCAGTAAGAAATCAGGTGGACGACTGTGAGTAAAAACTTTCCGATACCATGAAACAGTAACTAATACATCAAATTCACGGCACTAGTAAAAATTACATATATTATTTTTTTTTCACTATTATTTCTTTATTATTAAATATTTTTCAATAGTGGTAATTATAGCTACTTCGTGGGAAAAACATGCAGATACAGGATAATTCCGACATCATTTGCACCTAAACTTTTTGATATGTTGCGATTTCAGCTCAAGTGAAGTGTTACTCGAGCATGCAAAGGATGTAACTTTTTGTTCCAGAGTCACGGCCTGTATCTCATTTAAGTCTTGACAGAAACAAAATTGTTAGTGGCTGACACCCTCTCACAGTTTTAGATGACAGAGATGTACTTCACAGCATATGAGTGCTGCTGCCACTTCACTGTATTAGCTGCCTTCCTGAATTCTTACTCCTACTATCGTTGAATATGAGAAAGACTGCGGGCCATGTTTAACCACTCGTAGACGCATGCTGCTTTTTGATTCGGAAGAGTGTTCTTCAGCGGCTCCCAGTATATATCTGTCTTCATATTTATTCATGTGAACTTTGTCAAAGTACAGCTAAGACTTTCAGCCATGCCCGCCACTGTCTTTGCCCGAGGAAGGCAGTAAGTATTCTTGTGAGCAGCTCCATATACTTGGAAAGGGCAACAAAAATGTCTGAAATTAAAAGTTACTCATGATTCAAGAAGTTTATACAGAGATACAGTAAAGGAGCTAGAATGTATAGCTACACATTGATATGCATGATTGATATTATAACAAGGACCTTTGAAGACTTTCATGGGGGGTGGGGACTTGAGACGACAAGGTTGGTGAGATTAGTGCTAACAAGTGTCAAGCGTCCTTTCTGCAATGGTGTGTACATCTAGAGTGTTTGTGCTCACTCAACTAGTCCACTATCTCTCTCTCTTTGGTGACATCCATTAGAAGGCCTTTAAAGATCAGGCGCAACATCACAGTATCATCTGCAAACAAAACGATTCGCTCACTCCTAGTTGGAAAACCCTGGCTTTGCACAGACCAGGGATCCCTGTGTATTTGTGGATTATCATCAGAAATCAGTTTAGGTGCATCCAGGGGCCACTTGATATACATATGATACACAGGAAGGGCATTTTGTTCCATTTTTTTACACATCATATGATTGTTTCATATGGTTTCAATAGCAAAGGTTCTGAGTATTTAAATACGTCATCCCAAACCATCAGCGTAGTTTGTCCAGGAAGCCCAGATATGTCAGTCTGTGACATTGCCCTTCTTTGTCGCCCTGCTCTGATCCTGTTCCTATAAAAAGAGAGGCCCAGGAGAAGAGGAGGAAATATTTAGAGTGAGCAAACAGCAAGTATTTGTGCATCCTCCTATATTCTAACAGTGGCTTCAGGTTGTTGTTTGCCAACCACAGCATGTGTTTGTTGACGGTCAACCCAACTGCATATGGGTGGCGGTTCTCTAGTTTGCTTAATTAGTGCTGATGACAGTAATCAACCTGTAGTGATGGGCTTATCGGAAAGAGAACTGTGCCACATTGATTAGCCATCTACGCTATGTTTGATACAGCAAACCAGTCTATTCACTGGCAGAGTGCCACTCTTACTCAGGCTGTTTATTTTGTCGTCCCAGCAAAGCACAGTAAGCGTTCTTTTAAATGGACTCAGCTCTTTCTTTATCCTCAAGCAAACTTCACTGACTGTTCAGAAATCTAGCAATTATTAGCCCATCAGGTTGTTGTCTGCACCCCGAGGTCCCGGGTGTGTATAAACTGTTGTGACCACTCCACAAAGCTCTCTCAGAGCAAATTGCCTCAGTAAATACCCTGTGTATATCCTAACAGGTAATATTTAAAATTCTGCAACGCCAAGTCGCCCAAGCCTTGATAGATGCGTCTGCCTGCTACAGCGATGAATAATGCAAATGAAACTAATTCTTTCTGACCTAGTGCCAAGCCTAATACACATTCATATGCTTCGCTAGTGAAAGATGTGAGATTCCTATTATGGGAAGGAAGCAATCTGTATTTTAATAATGGGACTGATAGACCTTGGCCTTCCTTTCTCTGTGAGTTTTCCCCTATATGACATCTTGTAGAGTTTAATAGTAACAATTGCTTTCTATGTAGAGTGGGGATGTGTATTCAAATGAGACCTTTGTGTGTCTGCTGTTCTTTTTGACAGGTGCAGATGTACAGTATTCGTACAGCGCTCATAAAAAGTCCTTGTGCTACTCAAATTTTAAAAAAGAGCCGTGATAGATGTTGATAAAAAAAAAAGAAAAAAAGCTATTACTGGTTGGATACTTTTGATAAATGTGATCATAGGGATGAAAAGGGGGAAAAAATTTGCTTGTGAGAGACTGTGTGAGCAAATACTCTCTAGTTTCAGAATAATATTAATTAGCATTTGTAGTGAGGTTCCAATCGCTTTGAAATTGTTATTTCTCCTTTTTTAAATTTCATTTTAGCTTTTTGTTTTCATTTTCAGTTTAGTTTTGATTTGTTTATTAAGGCTAGATTTTAAATTGAGTTTTCATTACTTTTGGAGTGCGTTTGTTTTTTACCTCCGCCAAGGAGGTTTTGTTTTCGGTAGCGTTGGTTGGTTTGTTTGTTTGTCTGTTAGCAACTTTACGGAGAAAGTAACAGACAGATTGACCTGAAATTTTCACCAGAGGTGCGTCTCAGCCCCAGGAGGATCCCATTTAATTTTGGTGGTGGTCCGGACAAAATTCTGGATACTGTGATCCAGAACACACAAAATAAGGGTGTCATTGGAATTATCAATGCTGAAAGATAACCAATAGGCGGCACAGTGGTGTAGATGGGCGGCACAGTGGTGTAGTGGTTAGCACTGTCGCCTCACAACTAGAAGGTTCTGGGTTCAAATCCGGGTCAGGGCATTTCTTGTTTTAGGAACATTATGAACAGTGAACATACCAGTTTAAACACAAATAAAAGTTAATAAAAGACACGTAACAGTAAAAGTTTTGGTGTGAATCACAATATAAGGGGGGACATGAGCTGCTTGGTGGAGGTCTGCGCTCTCTGAGTGCTTTTCTAGTTGTAACATGGGACAAATGTCAGGGGCAAGACCTCCTGAAGTTAGACTCAAACCAACACTTAGCTATCTGTTTGCCTTCTCAGAGACAATGCCAATGTTAGCGTGAACTATTTGGCTGGTTTTGCAACACAGATGCAGTAATAAATACTATCTATTGCTGTGCAGGCTTATCTACTTTATACCACCCCAGCACAGTGTTGGTGCTGGGACTGTGCAACCCCAGTCAAAAAGGTCTAGACACACCCATGGGATTCGGTCAGCTATCTGTACCCTATATAATATTGCAAAAAGTGTCGGATAGAGTGGAGAAATCTCTGTTCAAAAGGGATAAAGCTAAAAACTGAAATTGGATGATGGCACCACATGACTCTGGTGTGAAAGTCACTGCATAGACTCAAAATTACCTCCAATGTCTCCTGTTTTTAAACACTTGTTACTGCATCCTCAAAACATGATGCAGTGATCTCTCAAGCCCATTTTAGATGAACTTGGGTGGATTTTTGTATAGGATGGTGACTTGACTGAGTATACACCTTTTGCGGGAATCATGTATTCTTGGCAAAGCATAATATAAATATCTGATTCACAAAAATAAGAGCTGTTCAGTAAACACCAAATCATTTGACTATGCAGCCAATTCATGATGAGTTTGAGTCACAAAATTTACCTTCGAGTACCATCGCAGCATTTCCAAACTAACTCCAAACAACAGATCCTTTTCCCCCTTTGATGCTCACATGTATGACAAATGGAAGGTCTTACTCAACCAAAATTTGTTGCAGATGTTTCAACTCCTCTTAGATTAAAAAGAGCTCAACCATAAATATCTATTACATTGGTACATTTCCAAGAGACATGGAAATAAATCTTCATCGGGTGCAGGGATGTCCCACCTTCACAGAGGAAGGGGCGTATAATGAAAGTCATGTAAGCCTCAGATTGGATCAGAGTGGCTGGTTAATATGCAGTACACTTGGTCCACAGCCCATGAGTGCTCAATTTGAGGCCCACCAATTTGCTTTGGATGATCTGGCAGCCATGTACTCGGTTCCCCACTTATGTGTAAGAGTGTTTTTCACATTTAGGCAAAGGGGGAAAATGGTTCCGACTCATTGCAGATTTTGGATGCCAATAATATTAAACCATGCAGTGAACTCACATCTGTGTATAGCCCACAGCGTAGGACAGGGGTATGAAAATTCAGCTGGGCTGCAAGGGACTCAAATGCAACAAGCAAATTCAACGCCTAATGACAATGGAGGAAAACCATTACCATTGAGTCTGTTTTTGCAGAGCTGTTGTAACAAACCAGTATTATAGTGAGCATATGCTGTTATCATGTTGTGTTGTATTGATTTGTGAGTGAAAAAAACATCAGATCTAGGCGCTACATTTGGTGTTTAAAATTTTATTAAAGCATTGCGATTGATTAGAGTTTGTCTGAGCATTCATGAATAACTATTTTAATTTTACATACAAAAATTTATGTGAATTGTTTTTAATTTAGAAGCTAATATATTCCCAACAACCTCATCTCTAAACCTATTGGGCATACGAGCTAAAATTGGATCTATTACTTCACATCATGTTCTGGACTTCATGTTCAAGCCATGAAGCTGGCTCCTGGCAAAGTTAGTCAATGTCAGCAAGGGAGCTACCTGTCAAGAATCGTTACCGTCCACCCACCCACCTTCCCACTAATAATGTATGACAATCTCAATGAGTTTTCCAACTTAAGATTCCAAACCAAATTTCAGCCGCTCGCCTCCCCATCTGCTAATTTGAAAAGCCTGAAATCAATTTACGACACAGAGTGGATAGCTTTGGATGGTCCCAGTATCTCTCCCCACTTATTCAGCTGGGTCCTCTCAGAGGGGGGAAGGCGTAATTCAACTACCACTCTATAAATTCCATTACATGGTGCAGGGTATGGCTGTGAAAGTGCTGTGTCTAATGAAGAGCTCGTGGTACCTGACAGCCCGCTTGGAGTTTCTGCTGCAGCACAGCAATAAGAGCAGAGAGAGGGCTTCTGGGGGGAAAATGCTCGAGACAGGGTGTGTGAGTGTGTTAGAGAGAAGTATAGACAAAGTGTTTGTTCGTGTTTGGACACTGTGTACATGTGCTGTAGCTTCTAATGTACTGAACATGTCACATGTGCCTGCACTCAGAGTCTACAGGACTCTCCACTGAGCTCAAGCTATTTCTGTCTCCTATGGGAAACAGAAGTTTGACACATTTTCACAGTACAAATCCATGCAACTCCAATGCATTGATATACACCTACTTTGTCTTTTTTACTTTATCGAGGCAAAATTTTTTTTAAATAAAAAAAGACAAATCTTAATAGACTGAACATTAATAAAAAGTGAAGTCTACCAAAGGGGTCATTCCATGTCAATTCAACCAAGAATCTCCACTCACGTCACAGATTTTGATGAAATTTGGTGGACTGATTGGCCTTCAGGAGAAACTGTAAAAGCTCAAATATTTTTGTTCAAAGCCATCTAATTAGTGAGATAGGGGCTAATGAATTTTTGGCTAATTAGCATGACATGCGTCACAAAAGTGTTCATATCTCTGGAAGTATGGCACCTAGAGAGCTGATTCAGGTGTCATTTTGAAGCTCTCTTCAAGTTCTTTTTGTTATAACACGTTTTTCCCCAAATTGGACCAGAAAAAAGTTATAAAAGACCAAAAACTTAAATTGGAAATAGCAAAAAACGCGCGTCCTTCAATTTTCTTCATGTTCACACTATAGAAAGACTTTCATGTCCACTACCATCCCTGCAAGTTTCAGGATGGGCATTCCATAACTTTTTGAGTAATCAGTCAAAATGTGTGGTACGTTAGGTCGAAAATCGCCATATTTGGCACATTATACAGTCTTGACCTCATCTGAAGTTAGCCCCACTTGCCTGCTTGTGTAAAACATTACTTCCTAATAGTACAAAATGGTTTTTTTTAAATGTTATCCCATATTTATATGAAAAATGGCTAAAATAGCTTATTTTTGCTCAGTTTTCCATCGCATTTCATTTCTATTTGCACCTATATCCAGATTATGGATATGGACGTTCAGTGTAGCAGAAGTGGCAGGTAACATAGGAGCTATTCAGCTCTCAGACACAAATGTCTTTCGGTACACGATGAAAGCTAATATCATAATTAGCTTTCTTACAACATTGCAATCCGCTAACGCACACGCTTGTTCCGCGATCGTCCTCTATATTTCTCCTCTATATGTAGAGTGGGGCTTCGGGGGTGGAGCTTGGATTTGTGACATACGAAATCTCGTGTGTTTGAGCCGAAAGTTTGGGTCTGCCAGAGATTCACAGCGATTCGAATGAAGAAATACTCCGAAAAGCAATTTTGCATTTAGTTTTCCAATGATATGTCCTGTAGCATCAGAAAAATGCCATATGAACATATAAAAAAACAAGAAAAACATGATTTTCATCGGAGTGTGTCTTTAATCCCTTTGGGAGGAGTTTAGCAACTTTGCCCGACTCAAGTTTGCTTGGGACCATGATTGCCTGTACCTAATTTCAAACTAATCCATCCAAACACTGTTGAGATGTTCGTCTTATTTCACCAGTTGACCACCAACTGACCACCAAACTGCAGTTCTTACAGTGTCCACTAAGGGCTAGTTTCAAAGCCCAGAAAGCCTCATTAGCACCTTTGGGTCTTGTTTGCGTTTTACTATCAGGAAAAAGCCCCAAATTTCAGTGTTTTCAGTCTCATAAAGTAACCGAGAGAGGTTGGGTCTTTGCTCTCAATATGGTGTCCACTATCGCCGTCCTTTACAACTCTACTTCATGAACCAATAGGTACAACCACCACCTATTTTTGGCTCAGCAAGAGGATATCTGAAACCAAGCCCTCCTTTATATCCCCTGGTTTTTCTTCCACAATAGCTTTCATTTGTTCTTCACTCATCCCAACCAGCTCCAGCTTGAACAACAGTGCATCAAAGGATTTATTTAAGATTCAGCTCAGCTATATCTGAGGCTTACTTTTTTATGAGAAAATATGAATAGAGGATGGTGAAGGAAGAATACTCTGTGAAACACTTGTTAAGCTATGGCACTCCAGTTTGCGAGTGCAGCACAGCCGTGCAGATACTTCCCTTTTTCCCTCTTGTATGCATTTTAAAAGAAGCCCGAGCCTGCAGGCCATACTACTGTCCCCATAAATTGGTAATACACATTTAGTTTCAAATTCAGATCTGGGGTGTGTTGGCTAGCTTCAAACGATCTTCAAAACCTAATTTATGCACGGGAGGCTGGTCTGCAGCGTGCAACAATTGTGTCCCAAAAACAAGCAGGTGAAGTTCAGGATCATAAAAATCTAATATCCATCAATTTCCGGAGCTTTATCACTAATCCAATCAAATGAAATAGGAAAACTAATAAATTCAAATTGAGGTCATTACTAGTCACAAAACTACATACCAATACTGCCTGTAACTGAGATCAATTCAATGAATCACCACAGTAGCAGGGGAGTGTCAGGGGAAGCAACAAACACTGGCTTCCATCAACAGCTCCAATTGAGATGCCCCTGGGCAAAGCTCTCAATCCTCAATTACTCCGCTGGAGCTGCTCAGTGGCCGGCGCTAGATGACTGTGGTTTGATCAGACAGCTGTGTATGTGTGAAGCAATTTCCAGCAGCGTAGGCCTGAAGGAACAATCCCTGTTAGTGGCTTGTTCCTTGAGACGACACGTGGGTGAGGAGGATCAATTTTCCTGTCTGTTTTGGGGGGTTTAATTTGAGCTAATCCAAAAGCTATTTTTAGCCTGGTTCATTAGTTGCACAGAGAAAACACACAGTAGAAACATTCAGTTGCAAAAACCTACAGATAACTCACCTCCAGGCTGAGAGTTTGCTCACCTGTGCGCACTTTTTACCCATCAAGCTTCATTTTTCGAGGCGTATGTGAGTTTGTGCAAGAGACCCCAGGCGAATTGGCTCTAAACTGCTCCATGGACTCAGCTTATCTATTATACCAGAAGTCAGCATGTTTGCTAAATGCTACACAGCTGCACAAAAACTGCACATTGCTTAACCCAATGAAATTTCACACAGAAAGGTAGTATTTACTGACCTTCCCAAACACCGTTTTTGTCATGTTAGGCTAGTTTATCAAATTAAATTTGTGGAGTAAAATGATTTGTCAATTTAGCTTTCGTGTAATGGCGGTTATGGGGTTACACCCATAGATATATATAACAAAGGCTAGATGACTCGAGGTGGAGTCACCGGCGTCCCTACACTGCAGCCATCTTACTCCAGTATATAATTCTGGTACGCTCTAGGGTAGCTGATGGAATCTGCTGTAATCTGCATGATCAAAAATACTCTTAACTCGTTGAAATCTTGACTGATTTACAAATGGTTTTGTTTATAACAGACCTTAATAATGTGGCTATGAGTCAGAGTGTTTGGACATATTGAAATGTCAGAATTTCTTTGAGAAAAAAAGAGACTTAATCATGAAGCACAGTTGTTTCACAGCTATTTGCACGTAAAGGCTAACTTACTCGCTTTGTCAAGGCTGAGACCACAATCGAGATTTAATTTCTTGTATGACAGCCCGTTTTTATTTTATTTATTCATTTTGTCTCAGTGACAGCCTTAGTGGATGTGCTTGTGTTTATCTGCTGTCTTACGAGGCTAACAGACTTGCTGTGAGTGAGACCAAGTACATATTACAAAGTTGACCCAGCAATTTTACATCAGTTGAAGGGGCAGAAATGCTCTTTCGATTCAACATAACTTAAATTGCACATCCAAGCTGTTTGGTTTGTTAAAAAACATCTAAAACAGCAACATGAGGCAGGAATTTATATTGAAAAGAAATACATGTTATTGTTATACGTTGTTATAGTTATTCTTATAATAGAAATATTACTAATATCACATACATGGGATGATTAAATGTTTCATATATAAATGATTTAATATACCTGCCTTGTGTGTGTAAGCCTATAGCGTTTGCTCTATCTATCTGCTTAACATACATTTATGAAAATCCATGGTTAAAATTATTCTTAAGTATGCAGGAACATAACTAAAACTCTGAGGTTTGTTACAAACCAAACCATTCGAAAATCGGTTTAAAATTAAGAAATCTATGGTTATTTAAACGCTACATGCACCGTAGACTGTAATGTTATGAGTGGGCGAGCATTTCATAGCAAAATGGCCGCCATGCGCGGACGTCGGTATTCATTGGTTTACAGCGTGCGTGAGCCATCAAGCCTTTCTTATAGATATCTATGGTTCTACCAGGCAAATTGGTTACTTAGCATCATAGCTAGCATGATTGCTAGCTGGTACAAGAAAAAACTACTCAGTTGCATGGTAATTGTACATTACTGAACTCATTGGGAATTTTTACAGATATACAGTAACTTACTGTTTATTCAGGATTATAAGAGCTGCATGTATTGTAAGAAAAGGTGCTATATTGATTTAAGTCATTCTATGTTAATGATGGTTTAGTATCATGATCATAATCCTTGTTGTATTTTCCAGGGTAAACAAGCTGAAAGTTTAAGCCCATGTGCAGGAAAGCAGTATTTTCTCCCCTTTTTATTCAACTCCAGTCCCCCCCCTTTTTTTGAAGACTTTTCTTGTACTGCAAGTGCATGAATAGGTGGGATAAACCTCAGCTTTCTTGGCCGCTCAGTGGCCTCTGAGTAAGTGATTTTAACAAGTGAGTCTAAGAGCATGGATGCATTTTGTAGCGCCGAGTTCAAAAGTTGACACATTGAAGTGCAAATTGAGTGTCGTCTTCCCTTCTTATCTACTTTGTGTTGCTTTCTGTCATCCTGCCATCTCGTGCCCGCTTCAGACGGCAATTGTGTCAATCCAAACCTGACATTTACGGAGATGAAGACACAATTTTGTTCGATGCTGAACCGAAAAAGGAAAAAAATTGTGCCAGTTCAGAGAGGGGTGTGCTTGCCGGAGATGATAAAAAGTGACAAACAACAATAATACTTGGAAAAAAAAGAAATCGATGTGGATTTATTTTCTGGATATCTTCTGCAAGTGTGGAAAACTGAAATGAAAACAGGCATTTGAATTCAGCTTGGATGCCAATGGCGTGCAGCGCTCGGTGCTTAGGCCTCTAGTGACTGAGGGCGCATGCAAATGTTACACGCTGCCTTGTTCGTGAGGAAGAGTGAGAATGACGCATCGGGCCTTCTGCCAAAGTTCTGTGGTGATAAACAGATGCACATACTATATGCAACACTACACACCAGTAGAAACAAATGGTGCATATGCCTGTTTTGGATTGTTTTATATGTGCATGAGTGTTTAAAAATCCAATCGAAGCAGGTGGAAAAGCTGTCAATTTTGTATTTTCGCATTTTTTTGTCACACTAAGTACCGATGAAGTCTTCATCCACTTAAAGTCAAAGCAGCTTGAGTAAAAAGTGTCCAAAAACTAGTCTGACTTTAACTAAATTTATAATGAATCCAAACCCTTTTTTTCCACCAGTAAACAGAGGGAAAACCAACAAGCATAAAACAGCGAAACACTCCCTCTAAAATGCATTATTTCTGCTTTGCTTAATGGAGATTTTTAGAGCATCCCCCAGTTTGTGCGTGCTAGTCTAAATGCATGAAAGTGCATGCGGAAAAAAAGCTAAATAAGACAAATGGAAGAGCACACACACACACACACACACACATTCACAAGTCTGACTCAGCTAGTTTTTGAACAGTGCTGATGGTCGGCATAAACGCCCCGGAGGACGAGGTCGCAGCGGGGTCACGTCATTAACCTGCCCGTGTGTGTTTCCGGATCAGCTGCTGGGAAACCTCCACGGGGGTATCAATCAAAAGGGAGGGGCCCACTGTGTTTTGAGTGCATGGGAGTGTGGAGAGAGAGTTTGCTGGTGAGGTAGCAGAGGGATTAACCCCACGGGAGAAAACTGATCAATCATTCTGCTTTTGATGTGACTGTCTCCAGAAATTTGTGAGGAGATGTTTAATTCAATCTGCAGAACAATAAGATGTGGGAATTTTAATATTTCGGGGGTTAATGTCTTCACGTATGTCAGTTTTCATGATAAAAGATGTCAGAAGAAATTATCCATTGATGTAATAAAGCACCTATCAGAAGGTGGTGTGGTGGACCTGACGGGCACAAACAACAAAAAGTCATAGAACCCAAAAAAAAGCATAAACAGGAACATACAATTTTCATGACAATAATAATAATAATAATAATAATAATAATAATAATAATAAAAAGAAGAGGAAGAAGAAATGTGGAATACTTAACATCTAGGGAAAAATTTTGTACGAGACTCTAAAGTATTTTCTAAACCAACTTATTTCATAAAATGCAGAAGCATTGAACAGAATGAGAATATACATCTTTCATTGAAACAATTGGGATTTTTTTTGTTTTTTATTTGGAAAAAAAAAAACTGAGAAATCAAATCAACGGCAATAAAAAGTATCAATAAAAGGTCATGGTTCATGATTTTTTAAAAATATTTCATTAAGTATTTTGTAGGTTCTGTGTTATTTCGCATTTTTTTTCCTGTTTTTCTTTACACTTAAGGTCCTTTTACACCGGGAGCGTTTATTTTGTGCAATTATTTCGGACGTCAGTATTTTTTTTTTGAACCTGTATCCTGTCAATACAAGCGTTCACGTCAGCGACGTTTTCCTATCCTGTGATATTGCAGCATTTTTTCGTATCAGGGTCGATTTTTCTAAAGTTTTGCGAACTATCTGTCTACTTCTGACCAATCAGATTGCGTGTTGTTACGACGTCAGATTCACCAGTATATCCAACGTGGCCGACCGGCTGATTGTTTATGTGTCAGAGAACAGAGTGCTTTTTGATAAAAAACACAAATATTACAAAGATAACGACCTGAAGGACAACTTGTAGAGAGTCATAGCGTCAGATTTCTCATATGACGATGGTTTGTGTGCTTTAACAGTTTGCTAAACGTCTTTGTTTTAACTTTCATCTGTGCTAAGTAACTTTAGCTCGTAAGCTAACCTGTTCAGATACAACATACCATATGTATTTTCACTGTCTCAAACTCAATCTCGTTGCTGTCACAGCACCATTAGGTCTCAGTTGTTAACTTACGTTTATGGATTATAGTTTAATGTGCTTATCTGGTACTGGCCCCGACTCAGTACATGCTATCATGACAGACAGACATCTCAACACTAGTGTCTAATTAGAACTGAAAAACAGTCAGTCTGCTGTTGTGTCAGTCTTCTCGCCTCCATCCGGGACGCGTCTTTTTTTCCACCCAGAAAGTCGCAAAATCGCATCGCACTTGATGTGTTTAGTCAGGCGCGTCAAAATTCGCCTCCGAATATTCCATAATTTCGCGTCATATATTTGCGTTGTTCCTGGTGTGTAAGGACCTTTACCCAATTATGGGTCAGAAATGTGAAATCCCAGATTCCCTCTGATGCAAATAAAATTCAAATCCTATCACAAGTGGGAACTCCCAGAGATCTTGAAGTTGATGATTATTAGCCTTTAAATTTCAGTGAGTCAATACAATTCCAAGACCAGGACACACTTGATCTGCTTAAAACCAACTGATTTCACGCTGTGCGCCCATGTTTGTTTCTTTCCTGCACTGTAAATTCAACTACCTCCTCTGTGAAGGGTGCGTGATTGTGCAGAGCTTCTCACTGGTAGTCCAAGTGTTGTTGCACCCATCATGAATCTGCTCTTGGAGGTGATACTTGTTCCGAAGTGGTACTAAGAAAACACTTATTTCCCCCCTGTGGCACCCTGATAGTTAAATCGGTAAACAGGGACTTTGCTTTGTACCTGGAGTTCACTGCCTCACTTCAGCTCTGACTTTGACAGCTCTGAACTGAGAGCGGGATAAAATAAAACATTCAGTTCAGACCTAGACAAATTTCATTAGAAGATATGCGCGCCATTTGAAATGTAACACCTACTCCGAGGAAGCGATTCCCTCAAAAGAGTGTAAGTCAATATTAAATGTGATTGAAATGCAACCGTAGTCACAACAAGAGTACACCGCTCAGGGTGTAATCAATTTTACTTTGTAAATATTAAAGCATTTCGCAGTTGTCATTTGATGCTCTTGTGTTATACACTGCAGTGCACCGGGCGGATCGAGAAGAGGTAGAAAGTGGTTCAAACCAATATGAGTGGTGTTTTTTGGCTTTTTTTGTTGCAAGAACTTGTTATAAGCAGTCGGATTAGGAGGAAAACATTACATGGAGATGTTTTAAAGTGAGTTTGATCAAAGTAAATCAGATCAAAGCTGCTCTTAGCCATGAAGGATGGGCACCTCTTGGCATGAGTCATAAAAGAGTATAAGAGACAAACTACTACAAACACTAGCAACTACCCGGGGCTTTCAGGTTTGGGGGGTATTGCCAGACCCCTTTTTTATTATACAAATCTGTCCTTCAGTTCATTCCTGTGGGTAGTTTAGCTATAAAAGTGAGGCAACATGGTGTTGAAGCCCCTGTTAGAGGTCTGAAATACTGCAGCACCTTAACCCATTTACATCTACTGTTTCCACAGCAAAGATATACAATGGGCAAAAAGTTTGTCAAAAAAAACAAAGTTGTTCAGGGACAGATTCTGGATCATCTGTATGGTGTACTAGCGCTTGTTCTCCTGGAGAGCTCGCCGAGTTTGTTTTGGTGCTTTTCCGCCTCTACATCCATCTGCACTGGTCTTCACTCTACTCCTTTTTGCAACATTTAGGTGACCAAACAATACAACGCTTTGTCAAATCAGAGCATCCCTGCCCACTCAGACTACTACATGAATAACAAGGCCTTGATGAACAACCATTATTGTCATTTACACCATTATCGATAGCACTTTGCGTGGTTGGAGAAGTAGTTCAGGGGACTAAAAAGTCAGGGGTACTTTTGGACACTTAGGTGATTGTCGGCTGCCCACTGTCTTTTAATAAGCAACTGCAACCATGCAATATGGATGTAGACCAAACTGTTTCACATTTATTCAAGAAAAAGAATAAATATTTACTTTTTTTTTTCACTTTTTAGAAGTGAAGTTTTTGGCATTTGGTTAAGAGATCTAAAAAAGTGGAAAGTATCGATATCCCAGATCTTGGTTTTCTGAATTTTCTCTATCAAAGTAAATATATTGGAATATCTGATTTTACAATTTGCAATGCCCTCTACAAACATGAGCTGCATCTTAAACACAGTGCTGCAAAAGACAGCATTATTGATATAAAAATGCATTGTAAACAAATGTCAGAATGACATGAGAGCAAAAAGGAAGAGAAACAATGGGTATTTTTGTTTTCCCACTCTCATTTAAGTGCCCCAAAGAAAAGGCAAAACAAAAGCTGCGAACACCTGTGTCAGAGCCAAGAATTCTCTAAAAAGGCCACGGCTCAAGCTTATTTTTGGCACAAAAAACACAACTACACCCCCGCCATGCTACCGTCACTTCATTCTAGTGTGCTCCAGCACGAGTGATGTCACGCAGGCTGCGAAATTACCGGCGAATGTGGGGAGGGATGCACTTGCGCTCAATGAAATTACCACTTTGCCAGCGCAAGGGTCAGTGCGCTTGATCTGCGGCTGCATGCAAACACAGCTTTAGTGTTTGCAAAGTAACAAACGCATCAGTAAAGGCCGGGCCGTTCTGCACTGTGGTATCATTACTGTGGCATTATGCAAATTTACTGCTGTTTTTAGAAGTCGATTAAGACCTTTATGATGCAAAAATAAGCCCACGAGTGCTAGTCTAGCAAGAGCACAAGTTCATGAACTTGCAATCTTAGAAAAGAGAGATAAAGGTGCTTCATGAATGTGAACTTAGCACAAAGCTTGAGATGAATTCAGGAAAATGAAATCAATTAAAAGGGCATTGTTTGAATGCGGGGGCTTGTTTGATTGCTGCTTTGCAGAGTCAGGAAGTCAAATGGGAATCTGAGGACATGGCAGGCTTCTACACGTGTTCGTTTTTAATTTGGAGCCTCAAACAGCCACTCTTTTTTTTTGTCTCCCTATCGCTCCCCTCTGTATGCCCTTCAGACAAAGCGGAAACGGTTTAACATATCTTTAAAAATGGAGGAGCACAAGGCCAGTTATCTCACTGCATAACTCAAAATGTTCCCCTTTTTTTTTTGCGGTGCACGGCAATCAGCACAGAAAATAAGCAAGTACGAAAGGTTATACGCTTGACTGTCTTTGCATACAGGCGAAACGATTTCCTCCAAATGCACAGGAGGACCTAAAAGGATTCATTTCGGTTCCAAAAAGTGGCTCTTTTGCTCTCATCAAAAATTGATCATTGGCAAATAGAAACAATGTACCTCTCTTGTCCACTGTGGTTTCGCTTGACAGGAATGAATGTGTTTGCAGAGTTCCCCTTGCACAAGGGTTCGATACTTCGTCTTGAAGATGGATGTGGCTTTTTTACAAATTGTCAAACGTCTTTAGGCTCCCTGGACAGGCAGTTTTGTTTTTTATAGCTCTGATGAAATGAAGAGACTAAAAATAAATCAGCATACTCGCAGACATCCGGCTGTCTGTGAATTACTGAGCTGGAGGCAGAGATGAGCGCAATCATTGCAGCATTGAAGGCATTTATTTAGATATCAAACGGTGATGTGTACTCTGCAGGAAGCTTCCTCTTCCATCGCTGGTTTGATGCTTTTTCTATAAATTAGAATCAGTGTTGATTTAGCTCCGTGCAAAATAAAAGGGCATCTTTTCGAGAATGCATTTACAATGGACCCTTCGTGAAAGCTGGAAAATGGTGTTTTAGTGGAGTGGCTGATAAAAAATGCACCACTAAATTGTCTGAATGATGATTTATTGAAAAAATCTCCTTGTTCATAAATCATGCGGCACACACTTAGTGTCACAAAGGCCTGATGCAGCGCCTGAGACATGTATGTCACGGGCTGACATTAATAGACACCGCACACAGTTCATTCATTTATTGAACAAGTGCGTCCTGATTCATGAAGTGCATTTTTGCAGGTGTTTTATGAGACAGCGCCAAAGAGTGGAGGAAGGTGGCGGGTGCGCTAATGCTGCAATCATTTACCCATCGTCCGCGCCCACCTTGATGTAAGTGCAGCGCCTAATTTCTATTGCCCTACCGAGGCCATTATGGCCGCTAACCCAATAATGTAATTGACTCAGGGAGTGGAGGTAGATGCTCGCAATTTCCTCCATGCAGGAGGAGATAATGGTGGTGGTGGTGTTTGTCTGAGGCAACCTAGACAAAATACCAACACTGTCGAATCCAGTTGAAAATATTGCTCTCTTGATGTGTTGCTGATTTAGCTGAATAAATATCAAAGCTGATAGTTTAGCTAACTTTTCACATTGTTCTTGTACATTGGTATCAGTACAGGTTTTGAAAGGGGGAAAAAAACAAATACCAATATTAATATCATCAACAGTTCCTATGCCAATATTCATACCTTTGACACTTATACTGAGAGGGATTTTGGAAACAGTTCTTATTTCTGGACCATAACTGATACCAATACTAACACCAAAGCCAATGTCAAACCTTGGATCCCAATACCGATATCAACACCATGACTGATACCATTATCTATTCAATACAAATACCAATACTAGCAGTGACAGTTACACTGCTATCACTACCAATATTTGTTCCAATAGCAATTTCTTTGCTCCTGCCAATACTCACTAAGAATGAAACCAACACCAGTGCCGTTAGTCTGTCTATATTGATACCAACACAAATATCTAAAGATACCAACACCGTTACTATTCTTCATACTTATACCAATAATGATAAGAGTATTAATACTGATACCAGCCCAAATACTGACACCAATACTGAAACTTACACCAATACTGATGTGGTGTTACCACTGGTGTTAACAATTGTACAACACTGATATTTACACTTACAGCAATACTGATAACAATATAGATACTCTCTCAATTATTGTATCAACATCGATATTTTCACATCTGTCAATGTTTATACCAATATTGTAACCGATACCAATGCCAAAGCTCATGCCAATACCGATACCAATACAATAACTGATACCAATATCAGTATTCAGAATGATATTGTGACCAATTGCAACATCACGACCATTATAAATGATGATACAAATTTAAATAAAAGTACCGATACCACAACTGATATCATTAACTATACTACTACTGATACTGTTACCAATATTAATATCACTACTGGACTTAAGTACAAGACAGGATTTTAGAGCAAATACTGTTGTTGCTTTTTACATGCCCACAAATGATATGTTTTCTGGATTTTCTTGCTTTTTAAGTCTTAAAGAAAAAAAAAAAAGATTTAAAAAAAATGGGGAAGTTAAAGGGGAAAAAAAACAGCCTGTGCTTTTAATAAGTCGCTTTAAAACAGCACATGGTAGGACATACCATGGGATATCGCTATCCCTCGGGAGCAAATGTCACTTAATTGCAAACTATTGATTTTCCAGCAGCCATTTGCTACTCTCCAGGCACCAATCAGCAGATGCTTCCTGTGTCCTGGTGAGGATTCCCCTTCATAGATCTTGATTAGCTGTTTCCGATTAATTGCTGTGACAACAGGGAACTGTTTTTTTTAGGAGCGGGATTGACTGACCAGAGGAAATCGGTAAGATGAAGTCAATGTGACTGCGTATTTGATCAATGTGGGGATTGTTTTTTTGGGTTGAAATCATGTCAGTTTAAAGACAGAAAACGTCGACACCAGAGATTGAAGCTCCTCCTAGAGAGGGTTTAATGATCCTGTTGGGCGCTGCTTTTCCTCCTCGACTTATTGGCTTTCTGTGGTCGCATCGGTAGTCAGGTCATTCCTACTTAGTTACACCATTGCAAAAACTCACCCCAACCTTGACCTAAAGGTCTAAAAGATAGCCCAGGACAGTGACCTTGTTTAACCTTTCATTGATTGACCTTGGAGTAACAAAAGGCGGTTATTAAACATCTAAACTCCTTGAACCCAGCTTTAACTACGTCTGTGGGAAGAGTACGGTGACATGTTTAACGTTTTTTCAATAATGTAGCATAAGCCTGTGTCTCAGTGTAGAAGTTGAATATTTTGATGCATTGCATATTTGGTCAATATTGGCCAACTAGATGATGTTCTGTTGAGCTTGAAGGCAAGAAAAACTTGGGTACCATCTGGATTTTTGACTTTATGATGAAAAAAATACAAACTGTTCCAAATAACTACTCTAGTAACAGTCATTCAACAGGAGTAAACTGGCTGAGATTCAAAACCCAAACAGCCACCAGCCTCGGCTTGCCGTCTAACAGATGTTTTTTAGTGTTCATTTACAGCTGTATTTCAGTTCAACCCTGTTTACTGCAGTCAAAAGAAAGGGTTGACTCATAGTACATTGTGTGCAAGGTTAGAAAATATGAATATAAGGCTGTGGCACCTTGTTGGCCTGTGTTTGGGTTGCCATTAAAACACTTATAGTTTTGAGTGCATTGGGTAAGTGTTCATATATCAGTAGAAGAAAAAAAACTCTTATCTTTTAGGAAATTGGGAAATCCACTTTTGACCCGCACTCTTGGCCCTCGTATTTCCTGGCGAGCTGCCTTACAAAAGCATGAAGTGCTGAAGGATTCCAAAAAATGGTGGGTTCAGAGAAAATTGGACATTATTCACACGCTGAGGCCTTCGACTGACCTCCAGAAAATCTGTCGGACAGCTGTCAGCTGTAAAACCTGCCTCAACCCACCGAGGTGAGAGGTGAGGGATGCTTTTCAGCCCCGCAGCAGCAATCGCAAATTTAGCTTGACACAAACAGACGGCTTTTACATCACCAAGCCTTCCAGGGTCTCCAAGTTTTGGACTGTAATCTATAAAGCCACCAAAGGGAACAAACAAAAGCCCCCCAAAAATCTGAATAACTCCAGCAATAAATAACACACAAAAAAATGAAACAGACATATCTTAAATCTAAAAGGAAAAGATTTTGTGCTTCAGGAACAGAAAAGTACAAAAAGGAGCAAACTGACTTGGCAGGTGATTGATGTTGACCAGACTCCCTTGAAAAGTCAGCAACCTGAAGCTAAAAAGAGTCAGAAACGCAGGAAAAGAACGGATCTCAGCACCCTGAAGTGACCTTGTTACAGTGCGTAGACGCCACTCAGCTTTTTGGTGATCTCCCTATTTCACATTTTGAACCATCCGTGTATGACTTGTGATGAGGCACTGTGGACGTGTGGAAGTAGGAGGACAGCAGTCACATTAAAGAAGTGATGGATAGATAATCAGCTGGAATAAAAGAAATGAGGGCGGTCCAGAGGGGGCACAAGTGCACATCCTTTACTTAACTTAAAACATGCAAATTTAACATATGGGAGACCAACTGTGCTGCACTGTATTTATTAACATCACTTAGATAACTCCAGTTTAAAATGGTGGAACGGTTTATCAACACTTAACAGAGCATGTGGTAACATTAAGTAGATGTTTTATCATCCGTTCATGTTAATATACAGTATGCCACTGTGAAAAGGCTTCCTCATGCCTTTTTTTTATTTATTTTTTTTATTTTATTTGTGCAGCGTGACAATACAAGACATACAACATACAACAGCATTTGTGGTTTTGTGTGTGTGTGTGTGTATTATATATGTAAATAATAATGAAAAAAATAAATAAATAAATATTACAATTGTCAGACAAGCAAAAGAAAATTATAATACACGAACAATATCAATAATAATAATAATAGTAATCATAACAATAATAATAATAATAATAGTAATCATAACAGTAATAATAATAATAATAATAATAATAATAATAAGAAGAAGAAGAAGAAGAAGAAGAAGAAGAAGAAGAAGAAGAAGAAGAAGAAGAAGAAGAAGAAGAAGAAGAAGAAGAAGAAGAAGAAGAAGAAGAAGAACAACATTCAATATTAATAAAGAAAAGCAATAATAATAATATGGGTGGAGGGGGGGTCTTGAAATTTGTGGACCACCTCGGGTCCCTTCCCACTCGCGCGAGACCTGCCTGGATCCCCCCCAGGCCCCCAGACCCCCCCCCCCCCCCATGCCTTTTCACCAGACCCACTCTCCCTACAGCACCATGATTACGTCAAGTGAGTTCACCTGTGCCTGAGCGGTCAGAGTGGAGCTCCTGAGCTGGGGTGACCATATTCTGATTTCTCGAAAAGAGGACACGACAACGCGGGGGCGGAGTCACGGTGTTGCACAAAGTTAATTTTGAGATTTTTTCGGAGTGTCTTTTACACGCTTCTAACTCAGTAAGACCACATGACACAAAATTGAAACTTTTGTACAAAACCGCAGACATTTGAAAGATTAAACAAACTTTCCTGGACAAAGCTGGACCGGCCCCAAAAAAGAGGACAGGTCCGGGTAAAAGAGGACGTACGGTCACCCTACCTGAGCGTGTTGTCTCAATGAACTGAGTAAATCCCTGCTCTTGATAGGATTGTGCTTTCATTTAGTGTTGGTATGTGCACGTTTTGAGTTTCCACTTTTGCTTGGTGTTTTGCCATATTTAATGAGATTTTAATTTTTCCTGGTTTTATCCTATTAAAGGATGCATCACAGTTTTTCATAATTGACAGAAAGTAGATATATTTGTTAATATTTATGGATTCACGACCAAGAAATCAAGAAAGTCTGAGTTTGCTACTGTAGATACGGTTAGTTGTCACAGATATTTCAGCGTTTAAAATAAATATGGCACTTTTAGAGGTTGTTGGAAAGTTGAATTTGAACTCCACTGTTTCCTTTCTTTTTCCTTTCACCCTCCACCAGGTTTGAGTTGTTTGCTTTTTTGAAATTTGAGTGGGTTGAAGTTGGAGAAATTTCTTTTCTACTTTGACAGCCTGGTATTATCCTAAAAAAAAGGAACTATTTTGTTGTCAGAGCCAGAATCTTAGCTGATGAAACAAACAAAAACAAATGTGGTGGATCAAATATTCCTTGTTAACCTAGAGGATATTTTGATTGTATTGCATTCTGACTGCTTTAATGGTAAAAATTTGATTCAAGGTTATAAATATTTAAGAACAAAGATTGGTTATATTTTTGTATGTTTGGCATGGAAGTCGCCGCATAGGCTCATAATTTCTTCTAAAACCACTTTTTAAAACAAAAGCTTTCAATTTCAAAATTGTAATGTGTTGTCACTTTTCCCCGCACTTTTTAGGAAAAATAAAATGTTAAAAAATTTGAAACTGGTAAATTAAATTTTTCCACAATGTCACAACCTTTTTATAATCGGAGTTCCAATTAAACTTTTGTAAATTTCCACATTTCTCAGGTTCATCAGCGAGCACTGTTGGCTTGATCGGGTTGAAAATTGGGTTTCTTTGTGACCTTTAGCAACACACCAAGAGTTTCCTCAAATCTAGAGGTTCAAGTGCAAAAAAAGGAGTGTTTCTACTTTGTACATCTCGCCTCAAGTGTGATTAAAAGACAGCAGCGCTCTCTTGTGACGCCTCACGTGTGTAATGGCACACCAATAATTAAGTAAGTCAGCTGTTAAATAACCTATGGATCAAATACCTTTCCCCATTTGCAATTCGTCGAGGTGTTGTGACTGCTGGGAATTAAAGGCGTTCCCATTAGCAGGATGAAAAATCCCTTTTTTTCCCCCCTCAGCTTATCCTCTCTAAACCTACTCTATTTTATTTAGGATGAGTACAACAAAACAAAGGGTGTTTAAATCTTACACCAAAACCCATGCACCAAATAATAACGGCGTTAAAGAAACAGGAGGAACAGCGGTGCGTTGAGTCATACGGAGCATTCAGTCGTGAAGGCCATCTCTTATTTTGCTAAGCCGTCACGCAAGTGTTGCTAAGCGCCAAGCGTGTACCACTGGATGCATTTTAAACTCTATCTTAAAAAAAAAAAAAACGCTTCACTTTTGTTGTCGAGTAAGTTGTCATGACAGGAGTGCAGGAATAAAACGGCAATTACTGAAGGCGCTGTGATTTTTCCAGTGGAGGAGTCGCAGGATCGGGAGTTTCAGATTCGCAGTGGAGACAACGGCGAATATGTGTGTGTCTTTGAAAGTGATGGCAGCTGCCCTTGAAGTGAAATGCCTCACGCCGACTCGGTGTTGGCATCCAATGTAACGTTGATTGGATCCCCACTGCGTGTGTCGTCTAATAAATCAAGCGCATGTTCTCCTCCTCCTCACCCTGTCTTGCTCTCACTGCGCTCCCTATAGACTGCATCCTGGAATAAAACTGACAGTAATCATAATGGTGGCGCCATGGGGTTAAGGCTGGGAAATAAAAAACGGTCTTGAGGTTAAGCTCGAAAAAACAAAGTCGTCATTGTCGCTGCTGGAAAGTGTCTGGGTATCTGGCACGAGCGCAACTCTATAAACTTTAACCTGCATTTTAAACGACTGCCAGGAAGGACGCCCGACTCTTCTGTCTTCCCTCTCGAGACCAATCGGCGGTGGCTTTTGGCGGCTGATGGAAAGACGGATGCGGGGGTGTGGGAGAGCCGGCGTTTTGCGAGGAGTGATTGTGAGAGGACAGCAGTGGCAGAAGATGTCCTCTACACTGTGATTAATTCCAGACCCAATGTGATTTATGGCCCCACCACGGCTGTTTTGTAGGTCACTTTGGTGCCACATCACTCAAGCTGTGCAAACAACAAGTCTGATATCAGTGTTGGTAAACCGTAAAGGAGGACACACACACCCGCGCCCACGTCGAATATGAAAATGTTCTGCTTTGATTTTTTATTTTTTTTTTTTAATATTTGCGAGTCGTGTCATCAAATGAATTTTGGAAATCAGGGTGAGTCAAAGAGATGCACTGGAAACAAACATCCAGCTGGCCTGCAGAGACTGATGCGGGGGGAGGGAATGGTAAACAGAGCGTGGACTTTTAATCCTTACAGACTTCTTTTATTCTTCTTCTTTGACAAAATATTTCTGCGGTACAGTTATGTTTGGAGGGAACATCTCCTGCTCGGATAATGTTTACAAAAGCAGTTTATTTTCCCTTGCAGCACAGTTATTTTCCCAATGAGGGGCTTGTGCCAGCTGTAGAACACTTGGTATACTCGCCAGATTCAGATCTGAACAGCAGCAAACAAGCACACATTTGTGTACTTAGCAGCCAAATCCATTGGCGCCTGTAGACACAAATGTGTTCAACATATGTGGATTTCACGTCATGATAATCGAATTTATTCAGCTCTTCTGCTGGATTGGTTTCTGTTGATAAATACCACAAAATGAGTTAGTCCAGGCAGGCTGCATAGTCAAACTCAACCTATAGCCCATTGGCCTGTCATCTGAGCTATTTCTTTTTCTTGTGCTTTTATTTTGAAAGGATAAAACATTTATTCAGCACTTCTGCTGGATTGGTTTCTGTTGATAAATACATCAAATTGAGTTAGTCCAGGCAGGCTGCATCGTCAAACTCAACCTATAGCCCACTGGCCTGTCTTTTGAGCCTTTTCCTTTTCTTGCGCTTTTATTTTGAAAGAATAAAAGAGTTATTCAGCTCCTCTGCTGGATTGGTTTCTGTTGGTGAATACATCTAAATGAGTCAGTCCAGACAGGCTGCAAAGTCAGTCTCAATCTATAGCCCATTGGCCTGTCTTCTGAGCTATTTTTTTTTCTTGTGCTTTTATTTTGAAAGGATAAAATATTTATTCAGCTCTTCTGCTGGATTGGTTTCTGTTGGTGAATACATCAAAATAGGTTAGTCCAGGCAGACTGCATGGTCAAACTCAGCCTATAGCCCACTGGCCTGTCCTCCGAGACCATTTTCTTTTCTTGTGCTTTTATTTTGAAAGGATAAAAGAGTTATTCAGCTCCTCTGCTGGATTGGTTTCTGTTGGTGAATACATCTAAATGAGTCAGTCCAGGCAGGCTGCAAAGTCAGTCTCAATCTATAGCCCATTGGCCTGTCTTCTGAGCTATTTTTTTTTTCTTGTGCTTTTATTTTGAAAGGATAAAATATTTATTCAGCTCTTCTGCTGGATTGGTTTCTGTTGGTGAATACATCAAAATAGGTTAGTCCAGGCAGACTGCATGGTCAAACTCAGCCTATAGCCCACTGGCCTGTCCTCCGAGACCATTTTCTTTTCTTGTGCTTTTATTTTGAAAGGATAAAAGAGTTATTCAGCACTTCTGCTGGATTGGTTTCTGTTGATAAATACATCAAATTGAGTTAGTCCAGGCAGGCTGCATCGTCAAACTCAACCTATAGCCCACTGGCCTGTCTTTTGAGCCTTTTCCTTTTCTTGCGCTTTTATTTTGAAAGAATAAAAGAGTTATTCAGCTCCTCTGCTGGATTGGTTTCTGTTGGTGAATACATCTAAATGAGTCAGTCCAGGCAGGCTGCAAAGTCAGTCTCAATCTATAGCCCATTGGCCTGTCTTCTGAGCTATTTTTTTTTTCTTGTGCTTTTATTTTGAAAGGATAAAATATTTATTCAGCTCTTCTGCTGGATTGGTTTCTGTTGGTGAATACATCAAAATAGGTTAGTCCAGGCAGACTGCATGGTCAAACTCAGCCTATAGCCCACTGGCCTGTCCTCCAAGACCATTTTCTTTTCTTGTGCTTTTATTTTGAAAGGATAAAAGAGTTATTCAGCTCCTCTGCTGGATTGGTTTCTGTTGGTGAATACATCTAAATGAGTCAGTCCAGGCAGGCTGCAAAGTCAGTCTCAATCTATAGCCCATTGGCCTGTCTTCTGAGCTATTTTTTTTTTCTTGTGCTTTTATTTTGAAAGGATAAAATATTTATTCAGCTCTTCTGCTGGATTGGTTTCTGTTGGTGAATACATCAAAATAGGTTAGTCCAGGCAGACTGCATGGTCAAACTCAGCCTATAGCCCACTGGCCTGTCCTCCGAGACCATTTTCTTTTCTTGTGCTTTTATTTTGAAAGGATAAAAGAGTTATTCAGCTCCTCTGCTGGATTGGTTTCTGTTGGTGAATACATCTAAATGAGTCAGTCCAGGCAGGCTGCAAAGTCAGTCTCAATCTATAGCCCATTGGCCTGTCTTCTGAGCTATTTTTTTTTTTCTTGTGCTTTTATTTTGAAAGGATAAAATATTTATTCAGCTCTTCTGCTGGATTGGTTTCTGTTGGTGAATACATCAAAATAGGTTAGTCCAGGCAGACTGCATGGTCAAACTCAGCCTATAGCCCACTGGCCTGTCCTCCGAGACCATTTTCTTTTCTTGTGCTTTTATTTTGAAAGGATAAAGGATTTATTCAGCTCCTCTACTGAACTGGTTTCTGTTGGTAAATACATCAAAATGAGCAAGAATGAACTATGATTATATGTGGACTAGAGGTAGGAATGCTTTTACATACAATACAAAACCCCTATTGTGGATGATGTCATTGCTCCTCCACACTTAATTCAAGTTACTCTACCCTTAAACTTTGTTTTTGCAAGTATCATTATACCCAAGACAAAAAAAAGAGGAGGCTCAGGGTCAAACATGATGTAAAACCACCAGAACAACAGCAGAAACATCCATGTAAACACACCTTTAACAGGGGATAATAAAGTTGCTTACTCATCTTTACCCTGCTGGTTTCTGCTGTGAAATTATGGACCAATTACTAGAAATCTGATGAGAATCTGTCAGCAAAAAGTAATGGAAATGAGGCCCAGGTTAACGATCTCGCTTTATGGCTTAATAACATTGTGATGCTAATAGATACAAACACAGCCTGGCAGCATTTAGGGCGATTGGCCTCAATGCAGGAGTTGATTATAGGAATTTGTCATACACTGTTTAACGCTTACGTAATGTCGGAATTATCCTTTACTCAGATAGTTTTTTTCTCTCTGCGAGCTAGTAGAAGAATTCTGCCCTCCTTGCATGCTATTTTGGAGTGAGTCAACTGACAGACATTACAGCCACCATTAGAAACTCAAAGCAGGAGGTTGCCAGGCAACATCAATCCCAAAACCCATTTCTTCAATTATTCTGCTGACGTTAATCCTTTTCTTCATTGTGGGACTGGGATTATTGATGCAAATTTTAAATGAGAGCAGAAAAAAATAAAAAAAAGTCAAGTCATCTGAAGAAAACACAGTTTTACAAAGATGATGTCCCAATTACTCCCCAGCATCGCTTTATTTTTGGATCAGCGGGTTCAGTTTGTGAAGATGTTACAGCCAAACCAATCAGTGTCGAGACAGTTATTGCAGATTTGTTGCGACGGGGCTCAGTATGGTGTGTCCCCTGTCATAAAGATATGCAAAGTTACACAACTCAATTTCCAAAAAAGTTCTGAGTTTAAAATGTTAATTTAAAGAATAATGACAGTTGGAAAATCATTTAAACTCTGTATTTATCTGTAAACAAAGACAATATATCAAATGCTGAGACTGAATATATTCCGGAATAACAGTCAGTACGTGAACATGACACTCGAGAAAACCGAATTATTGCCTTACTCCGATTAAGACCGGACAACTGAAGTGCATGTAAACACCTCAAGGTCCTTACACACTGGGGCCGACGCAAATATAGAACTCGAAATTACGGAATATTCGGAGGCGAATTTTGACGCGCCTGACCATACACATCAAGCCTGATGCGATTTTGCAACTTTCCTGGAGGGAAAAGACGCATCCCGGGGAAGACTTTTTCCAGAGAAAGTCCCGCCCCTTCACCTCTGATTGGCTAGAAAAGCTGGAAACGTCATCATACGCTCAAGCCAAACGGTCAGCACTTATAGCCAATCAGAGGCGATAAGATAAGAACATGAAACTATGGTAACAACCGTTAGCTTACGTTAGCACAGATGAAAGTTAAAACAAAGACGTTTAGCAAACTGTTAAAGCACACAAACCATCGTCATATGAGAGATCCGACGCTATGACTCTCCACAAGTTGTCCTTCAGGTCGTTATCTTTGTAATATTTGTGTCTTTTACCCAAAAGAACTTTGTTCTCTGACACGTAAACAATCAGCCGGTTGGCCATGTTGGAAATACCGGTAAATCTGACGTCGCAACAACAAGAAATCTGATTGGTCAGAAGTGGACACACATTATGCGAAACTTTAGAAAATTTAACTGTGATCTGAAAAAATAAATATCGCAGGACGGGAAAATGTCGCTGATGTGAACACTTGTATTGACAGGATAAGGGTTAAAAAATATATATATTGACATCCGAATTAATCGCATGACAAAAACGGTCCCAGTGTGAAAGGACCTTGAGTCCGACTTAGAACTATGATTGGAGTCGGAGAACTGTGATTAAGACACCCAGATAATGCAATTGAAATTCCATTTTCTCTACCATTTTCTCTCTGCATGTGCACCATGCAACAGTGCCGCTGAAAAGACCCATATCACCCCCTAGTTCTGGGGAGGAGGACACGTTCACGTCAACAATTTGATTTTCTTAGCTGCATGCAGGGCCGGCTGAGCAAAAAGTGCCGCTCTAGTCAACCTCAAACCGCAAATACCCCACCCCCACCCCGGTCCGACGATCGGGGCCGGTCCACTTTTTCCCCGGTCAACTTTTCCCCTCCAGTCCGCCCCTGCTCCAAAGTATTTATTTTACCGATCATACACGCGCAGCACAGCTAACACTGGCAGTCTTTGGGATCACGGTCAGGTGCACGAACAGACGAAAAAAACAGCAGCACAGCAACGGTAAACACACACACAGACAGAAAATGACAAAAAAAGAGAGCCCATAGCTCAATCGCTGTTACGCTAACGCTGCTTGCCTGCTTCTGCACACCCACCAGGCAGGGACAAAACAAAATGTGTGCAGCAGCACAGCAGTCAGAAACTCCAACACAACAACCCAACCTGTAACCAACCACAGCAAATAATAAAGGTACTGGGCTTCTTACCTTTCAGAAATGAACACGGCGGGCCTAAGAGTCCTAATAGCATCCTCCATGTCGATCTCCTGTGCCAATTTGTGCACTATGGAGAGCGCTGCTAGTCCATTTAGTCTCTCTTGCTTCATTGTACTACGGAGGTAGTTTTTAATATTTTTTTTATTGTTTTTAATTGTGATTATTTTGATTGGTACTGATATCATGATTATGGAAATGTTCACCCCTGATTTGACATTACACAACCTAAATACTCTTAATTGTTTTTAAAAACCCCAAAACTGGGGTAAAAACTTTTAAGCAGTCATAAAAATAAAGCTTTTTTTTTCGGTTTCAACATCTGTTATGTTGTCTTGACGATTTTTAATCAAGTATACAGTTAAAATGACCTGCAAACATCAAAATCTGTTCATTATTAATATTTTACAGTGTCTTCACTTTTTTTAAAATTTGGGTTTTACTTCTTTTTCTTTGTCTCTTCACATGTCTGGAAAGATTTACAGCAGATGCATCGGTGTAGCTTGAGTTTATTTTCATGCTAAGGCACTTTGGAAAAGTAGACTGAAATCAATACCGCGCTGGCTTGATCTTGATCTCTGAGTCCGACCTTTTCTTTAAAAAGTATGGCCTGTAAGATGATGGAGTACAGAGAACTTTCATAGTTGGACCTCAAAGAGTGCTGCAAGAAAAAAATAATAAATAAAAATACACTCAGTCTGCAGGCCTTTGCTCTTTTTACTAAGCCAACAGATGTGCAGGGTTATTTATTTTGGCGTTATTTGAAAGCGCTGCATCTTGTCGAGCTATAAGCTAACCAAGGTCAAACACTCTTGGGTGAGATGGGAAAGAAATATGTCAAAAGAAGAAGGAAAAGGGATTACCAGCGGTTACAGCTCACTTGGCTTTACTCAGCTTTTTTTTCTCACAGGCAGAAATCTCAAACCACTTCAGTGTTGGCAAAGAAAGATGATAAATCTTCGCTACCTGTCTTTAAAAAAAACAAAACAAAACTGATGGCCTCATGTTTATATTGCAATCATATGAATGCACAACACAGAGGGTAAAACAAAGTCGTAACCAAACCTGAGACGCTCCTGTGGATTTGTCTTTTCGTGTTCCTGAGTGGATATAAATATAGAAGCAAATCAAGCAACAATAGTCCTCTGCTGTTCCAACTGAAGATGATTTTTCCAAGAGAAAACTAAATGAATGTTTTTTTTTTTCTTTTTCCACCAATATGAGAGATCCGTGCCCCCTCTGACGAAATGAACCAAAGATGAAAAATAATCCAGAAAAGTGCGGCGCAATTTCCTCCCAGCACCTGTGTCTGTGACACATGAGGCTTTCAAAATAAGGGGATAAACAAATAAGCTATTTTTGCACCAAACACTAACATTAAACTTTGAATGTGACAAATTAATGACTGGATATTACCTGTTTAAAGATCGGACAGAAGATAGAGAAGTAAATGAGGAGAGGCACCGCTTGCAGTAGTGATAGTGATGGGCACGGCAGTTCTTTAGATGTACTGAATCACTAGAACCTGTTCACTAATAAGATTCGTTCAAAAGATTTGTTCACCAAATCACTGAATCATGTGGCACTTGGCAGGAGAAGCCTGCCACTCCAACGTCCTGAGATGATACACAGCTGAACGGTTCAGGATTCAGTTGAGATCATAGCTTCTGGGACCGGGAGACACAAGTGTTTGGTAGTGTTGCTTTGGCAAACAGGTTTGTAAAAATGAACTTGTTTGTAAGTCATGATGTTTTAAGAGTACTGTCCTATGGTATGCTATTTATCAGGTCTGCTCGGTAAATTGGGCTCAGTGAGTGATTCGTTCACTGGAGGTTTAGACGAATTCAAACTGAACATACACTGTTCTCTCAAAAACCGCTGCAATGATAGGATGCTGCAGGTTTAATGCACTACTTGTTGCATGCGGTGTCTTATATTGTATATACAGCAATTTAAAAAAAAAAAAAAAGGTAGTTTTGTCCGACAAAAATGATTCCAGAGAGTGTAGTTCAATGCCTGATTCGTTCAACAAGTGATTCAGGTGTCAGTGCATGCAGTCCCTCATTCGCCCGCTGCTCGACTGGCAATGCTGTTTCTCACTTCAGCTCAACTTAAGCGAGAAACAAACGAATCACTTGAAAAAGTGATTCGGTACGTTCACTAAAAAAGATTCGGTTCTTTTGAACGAATCGTTCGCGAACGACACAACACTATCGCACCACCTGTTTCATGGCCCTTTTCTTTCCCTCCCCTCATTTACTGCTTTCTTTTTTCTTTTTCCAAAATAAAAGCACAAGATGCAAGTGAGTGAGGGTGCATAAGTGTAATATACAAGAACTGAGATTTAGCCACACTCTTTCAGTAGACAAATCTGCACAAAAGAGACAAATAGTTTGGTGCATGTGTGTCACGGTGGATCCAAAGTATGTAATTAGTTGGTTCTATATGTTCTGTGCAATATGCTATTAAGTAAATGGGGTCATCCAGGTTGCAGGAATAACATGTACCCTGCAGCCACTGTAATGGAGTTCACTCCACTCCAGTATATCTCAAACCCATTAATAATCTACACTCATAGCCACTTTGGATACAAGACTGATTTATTTTGTGCTGCCGAGTCACAGTGCATTCAGTGAGGTGGATGGATCTAAAGCAAAAAGAAAAGAAAAAAGCATTCAGACCCAACCTGAAAAGCTGGAGTGTCTTCCTCTGTGCCCCCTTCCTCTGTTTTTCCCCCCTCTCAGCTGACTAGCAGATGTGTGTTTGACCAAGCGGGAGGCCGGCGCTGGATTGCAGTTGGCTTCATTAACATTGTCCGCAAACCTCAAAATGTGATTGCGTAATGTATACAGGGTGGAACTAAGGGCAGGCATGCGTCTCCGAGCTTTAGTAGTCGGACACAGAATCCTAAAAGGAGACCTTCACCAGCAAGCCCACGTTCGGAGAGCGAACATAAGATGAAATGTTTAATTAATGATTTGAGAAAGCCTATCAGAATATTTGAGATAGTGTTAAAACCCTCGTATGAATGCTTCAAATACTTG